ACTGCTCTCAGCCATTCAAATCAAGAATTTTTTCTTGTATACGTACAGTTTCCTACTTTTACAAAGAAATGTATGCAGTGCTTGCAATACCGGACCACCACAATCCGCCCGCCTTAGCTTTTTTGGAAAAACAAAACAACAATAAGAAAAACAAGAACAAGACGATTTTCGAATATTTCAATATTTCCTAGCGTTTCAATTGTCTATTTGAAATCTCCCATATTTGGTAAATTCAATATTGTCAATTTTATTTCACACTTAGGTTACCACGTGACTAAAACTGTCATGTGAACCCCATATTGGGCCCATCACATCCAGCTGTTACTACTCTAACCCAGATAGTACCACTAACATCGTTCAAAAAGCTTTGTCAGGATCATCAGCATACTGCATGCTTACAATATATGTACAGTCTGTAATAACTGACGTAGTGGACTTGTAAGCAGGTGTATTCTGTGGAATCATTTTGACCTGTCTGTGACCTTTTTCTAGTCACGAATCAGCCAGTGGTTATTACAGAATATCAGCTTATTTTCTGGCCAAAGTTGTGTGCGATATTATTCCATTACGCCTTGTGCCAATCACTGCCTTCTCAGCCATTGTTTATTTTATGACAGGTACGTGAAAGACAATGTTATAAAATAATTAAGATAGTACACTACACATTAATGCAAAATATCTCGTTGATTCATTTACTTATCAGAATTATTATCGGAGTTGGTATAGTGCTTCTTAATGCTGTTAATATTTCCTTCTTGCAGGTCTTCGTGTTGACGTTATTAAGTTCCTCATATTCACTTTGACGCTTCTTCTGACGTCACTCGCTGCTTGTAGTGTGGCTTTCTTTGTCAGCGCATGCGTACGGACGTTCGCCATAGCTAATCTCCTTATCGCTCTTCCTTATGTGTTTATGATGGTAAGCAAATTTACTGAACTTTCTGTTAAAAAAAAAAGAGAGAGAGAGAGAGAGAGAGAAAGAGAGAGAGAGGCCAATTATTCATTTTTTAAAAAGCAGTCCTTGACGATGATGAGCAAGTTTTGACCAATTATAGCGCCCATACTTCTTTGTTCGTGTATGATAAACATTAAAAGCTGATAAGCGAACCAGGCAGTTACCCTCTTTTAAGCGATCACTTGAATTATCAAAGTTCCATCAAGTCAGCCTCCTTTTACAGGCGCCTGCCTCGAGACTCGAGCGAGATGAGGCGAATGGCTGGAAACAAGTTTGATCATCCCGCCGTTCTTTGTGCTTAGTGAAGGTCAGCCATCGGGTTATTAGGAAAGCTTTTTGAACAACGCACGTCAACCAAAAGTGACGCCTTTTCCCTGACACTTCCAAATTTGTATCGCTAAATGTCTCTACTCTTTACTTTATGTCTTTATAAGGACAATTTGTTCGTAATTTCAAGGAAAAATCCACTGCTCAAGAACGCAAAAGTTCACTTCAAGTTGACGTGTGTTGCTGCAATGTACACGTTGCTGTGCAGTTCCTATAATTGTACTTGCTATTAAAAACAGCCGTTGTATTTTGTTTGTTAAGTAGTTTTCCTTTGATTCCAGATTGCGGACTGTGCGAGGGGTAACTACAAATATATATTCTATTTTAATTGTTTCGAATCAACAAATTTTTCGAAACGGATTTCACTATTAAAAAAGAGCGACGTTTCGACCGTTTGACGGTCATTTTCAAGTTCAGAAGTAAAAAACATTAGCATGCGCCTATATACAATTGTGAAAAGGCCAATGAGATGCTGACTAAAAAGTATCTTATTAACCTTTTTACAATTGTATGTAGGGCGTTTTCACTCACGTGGCCAGCATCTATGCTAATTTCTTAGAACAAAAGAAAGCATTCACATGAGAAAAGAGTTCACCTCCCAGAGGATTTTCTTGGAACACCAATATGGCGGCCGTGACGTCATGTGAAAACTCTCTATAAGCGCATGCCAATTTTTTTTTACTTCTGAACTTGAAAATGACCGTCGAACGGTCAAAACGTCGTCCTTTTTTAACGTTAGTTTTTAATTTTTTCTCTGCGAAGATTCTACACTGGTTTGAGTGCATCGAAATACGCGAGTAGTAGACGCCATGGTTTCTCTCTTTCATTGCAGGTATTTGGTGGTGTACTTGTGAATCTAAATTCTCTGCTTGACTGGCTGTCATGGATAAAATATATCAGTATATTTCGCTACGCTATAGAGGTAATAAATGAGAGAGTGTGTTAAATTTAGAAGTGATATTTCTAGAGACCGACAGTCATTCTTAAAACACTTGGAATTCTATGTGGAACAAACTTAATAGCCGTGCCCCTGCAAATCCCATGATAGTCTGTAAAATTCATTTAATTGTAATATGGCCGCCCTATGGAGAAAAAAAGTCTGTTTTTGCTTAGGTACAGACCATTGGAAAAGTTATGGGAAGGGGTGGGGAATTTTCGAGCCGCATGAATTTTTGTTAACATTTCCCTTGTATGCATTTTTCTTTAGGCCAGTGCATAATATTTTGGGGGGTTACTTGGCGTGTATGAATATCTTTTCAGTTAATTTTCCTTTGAACGAATATATATTTTTTGTATTTCCCCCGCCATTAGTTTCCTTATGGTCCGTCCCTTACCCTAACGTGAATTCAAACACTTACAATTTTTGATTCAGTTAGTTATTTTTAGTTAGTTAGCGAAGCTTTGTCCACCCAGCCCTTCCACCGTTTATTCCAAGTTCTGTGCGGTATTTCGCTAGTACAGTGCAGTAAAATACAATCCTTCAGATGCTTTAACAATGTCGTGACGTTCATTTGGATAAACTGATGTTTGCATTTATTTTGTTGTTATAGTCACTTGAGATTAACGAGCTCCATGGCATGATTTTCAATTGTACCTCTAGCACCAGCCCTGAGTGGTACGTATACTTAATGTAACGTACAACATTACTGGCAAGCAGCTTCACAGTTTACGTGGTTTTGCAGAAATGGTCATAAATTTTGCTAGTTACACAGCCGTTTTTAGTGTCGTCACGCAACGCTCCTCCCGTTGTATCGCGTGGCGACACTAAAAACGGCTTGCTTGCTTGCTTGTGATATTTCTATAAGGCTTTGTTCACACTACTTCTACATCAGATAGTTTTTGCGCCGTCACGAAAATCATACCGGACAGCGCTTCTGTTCACACACAAGAACGGTTGTGGCGGCGCGATTTTTGTGACGGAGAGAAGCGAGCGAAATTGGATTGTAACATATCGGATAGGGTTTTTTTGCCATACTTCGGTGCATTGTGAACACCTGATCGGCCTGTCGGCTAAGTAAAGTGAGTGAGTCAGGCCTGGAGCCCACCAATACGAAAGCAAATATTCAGGAGTGAGGACTGTAATTAATTTAGTGCACCAACCGCGTCGGCACGATGTTTGATGACTTATGCCGCCCCGGACCGTTACTGTTCATACTATATTTATCCGGTATAGTGTGAACAAGAGAACACAGCCTAAAAAGTCCGATTTTCTGACAAATCTTTGCTTATAACCGTTAACGTATTCAAAATCTACTTTTTGATGAATGTGATGGAAGTCAAGACTCTTGTGGAAGTATATAAGTTCAAGTTAAGAAAAATCCAGGTGAATTCTTCTTCAATAGTTAAAAGTTTATTACCGCTAAAACTATATATATTATTTTTAACAAATCTATATATTTCTTTCTTTTGCTTTTTACTGAAGTCCATCTGGCGATGATTACTTAAAGACACAAGGCATTTCAGTGGATAGTCTGTGGTATAACGAACTCATTCTAGGTGCCATGACAGTCGCATTGATGACATTTGCCTATATCGCTTTAAGAGTGATCAGGAAGCAAAAGTAAAGCTGTGCCGCGGTTACCTGTTCACAGGACTGATATTAGAAGAAGGCGTAAAGCTTCATAGTCTACTGTTTCGTGACATGGTTGTTGATTGTCGATTATAAACAGCATCAATAACGATCCTGGTTTTATTGGTGGCGCTGATTGTGGGATTCCTCCGGCTGAAGCGTTATAGGATACCATAAAATTCCGAAAATAAGCCCCGGGGCTTAAATTTCTCAAAGACCCTTTTTGAGGGGCTTATTTTTGAAGGGGCTTTTATTCGGAGGGGCTTATGTACGGAGGGAAGTTTGCGTTTGAAAATCGATAGGGCTAGCCTTATAGTTGGAAGCAAATTTACTGTTTTTGCTTTGTTTTACTTTGTTATTGAGGTAATTTTCCAAGTACAAGTCCCCGGGGGCTTATATGGAGGGACGATTTAACGGAGGGTTTTCGCGTTACCGGTTTGGGGGGCTTATACATGGAGGGGCTTATTTTCGGAATTTTACGGTATTAAAGTCAAGTTTATTTTTTTTATTCTTTAAACCCAAGCACAGGTACATATAAAATACATTTTAGGTAGTATAAGAAAAGCCACACAATTAAATATACGAATAGAAAATTACAAATTAATTTTGTAGATGGATACTGGATCGCCTGAAAATTAAGAGTTAATCGATGGGATGACTCAAGAGATTTTACAGCTCTGTCAATCTCTCCCCGATTTTTCTTGAGGGGAGGGGAGCGTCTGTACACAGGCTAGTCTGAAGGGGTGGACCTACGTATGCATCATACCTTATTATAGGAAATTAACCTTCCATGAAATTAAGGTATTGGAAATTGACGCGACTTAAATTAACGCGAATTTAATGGAAAACGACTTTCGAATAAAGAAAATTTACGTGATTAAGATGGTGGTGACAACTGGAACAAATTTATTTCAACACTGGATGCAAAAAAATTCAAAACGGAACAAAACAGAGCTGACATCACTTCTGACAGCGGCCACGATGAAGATGAACTCGAAATGTTGTTAACCTTCGCCTTAGCTTTTGCGAAAGATGAAAAAGGGTAAATGAAAAGAAAGAAAACTTGTAGTTAATGTTTTTTAGGTGTCAAGAATGTCTGGACCGGTTCCAAAATTGGGGTTAAAATACTGGAAATTAAGAGCGCAGAAATTAACGCTGCTCTTATAATTAACGTCGCGGAAATTAACGTTCAACAAAATTAACGCGACTTAAATTAACGCGAATTTTAACGATTCGCGTTAATTTCATGGAGCGTTAATTTCCTATAATAAGGTATGCTCGCTAGGATTGAGCCAGAGCGCAAAGTTGCGACATTTGCTTGACACTTGTTGTTTATAGAACTTTACCCTATCTTTGGACTACTTTTAAATTGAGTACAAAGCTGTTCACTTTTAAAAAGGAAGTTTTAGGGGAGGGGGTCGTCTGTACACAGACTACTTCATGTAAACCAGGGTAAAATTTCGCATTTCAAGCACCCGCGCGTATTGGCGGTAAATCGCGTGGCCACCCAAAAAAACACAAAGCCGAGTCTGTTTTTCGACTTAATATTTTAATGTCTACACTGACGTGGATAACAGGGAAAGAGCTAGAGCGAGAGATAAAAAACAAAGGAGACGAATTTCTTTGGAAGGAAAACATGAAAGTTTTTATATAGTGGCAGCGAGAAATGCCAGCGGCCACCAAGATGAAAATGAGCGGCATTTAAAAATAAAAAAGCGAACGGGAACACATGGGACATTTCCTCCATAAAACGTGTAACTAGGAAGTTTCACGTTGTAGTCGTGCAAAACAATGGCAATTTTGCTAATTGGACCTATTGTTGTTTTTTTTTACTGTTCTCGTTGTCTTCGCCGTTTAGCGTTGACACGATTTAATTTTTGGTTGAGTAAACTATAAGGACTGCTTGCTGATGAATGTGATGTCACCAGCCTCTGTTAGGGATCCATTTATCGACTATTGAGTCTCCATCCACAACATAATAAACAGGATGCATATATGCAGTGTTGCATGCCTGAAAATTTAAAGTAAAATGTACAAGGTCACTTCCATAGCTTGATTCTTTCATCAGTTTAACCTGTATATTAATACAGTGCAGGTTTGCAAATAATTATTCTTTTTAAAAATGACTTGTCTCTGACCAGATTAACATTTGCGTGGAAAAAACCAGACAGGTTGTAGGACACATAAGTTAACTAATTCTTTGATTACTAAGCAAATCACGTCCGATCAAAGGTAGGATATGTCGGGCATGGTTAATTTTTGTCCGAAATTGTTCAATGATCAACCGTTATTTGTAGCACTGCAGTTTTACAGGACATCACTGTAGGGGGGGGGGGCAATCAAGATTAACAAGCAATAACTCAGCAACTTTCTATTTTGCCTGTGCCACAGACGAAGCTAAACTCTGGTTAAGTCCGTCTGCGAAACAGCGCCGAAATCCGTGTTCTGGGCCACCATCTATGTACCAGGATTTGAGTACGCGCCAAAAAAAATATTCTGTTCTGACTTTATTACATGTGAACTAAACATAATCTTAAGGGACCTTTCAGACAGCTAGTTACTCTTTGGATTTTGGCAAAGGAAAGAAGATTACTTGTTTATTAATCACATGTTAGTCTTAGCTAAGCAACATATTTATGAATGTCGTAATAAATGCACTTATCCTTCCTTCACACTTTTTTACAATAAAGTCAGTTATGTTCACCAGTTAGAGAAGAAACGAATGAAATCGAATAACAAAGACCAGCAAAGTAAATGGGAAAAGTTTCAGTTATTTTGCCCGCGATAGTGAGAATTAAAATTCAAAAAAACTTATGTCCTATTTTTGTAATAGTAGTAACAGTACCTAAATATTCTTTTTAGTAGTTATTATTATGATGTAGGTAGTGTATTTTGTGCATATAGATGTGGTAGAGTGTACATGTTTTATCATTTAAAAAAAGCCATTGTCAATTTGCCAATCAGGATAAAAGGAAATTCAAAACGTACTTCCGGTAATTTGGTGGCTCAGAACAAGGATATGGGCTCTGCCTCGCAGACGTTACAAACGAGGTTAAATTACCTCTGCGACGCAGGCGACTTTCTAGAAATCTGATTCGATAAACTTTAGAATGATAGCATGACTGAGTGTAGTCCAATTCGGCCTGTATTAAATCACGGGTATGATTACTGAGGCCGAATTGATGGACACGAAGTTCTGTTGTCAATTAATCATAAATATAACAAATGTTTACGTTTTTAAAAAATAAAATATCTTCCCTGAGTTTTTTCGGAAGTGAACCAAAAATAAAACCATTCAAGTGCGTGCGCGCAATGGCCAGTACTGTCCAATTGCTTAGCCATGACACGTATTGCCCTATTACAGTGTGCCATTACACAGTAATTTTCAAGGAGTTATAATAACTCCTCTAGTGGGGCTTATTTTTTGGGGAGATTTTAACTCCAGAAAAGAGTTTAAAGAACTCTTTCTCAGGAGTAAAAGTGACCCCAGATATTGAGGAGTTTAAATAACCCCAAAAAAGGAGTTATCCTGTACCTAAAAGTTTTACTCCACTTTCAGAGTTAAATTAAGTCCCAAAAGAGTAAAAACAACCCATGTAAGGAGTAAAAGTAACCCCGTTTCGGAGTTATTTTAACTCCAGACTGGGAGTAAAAAGAACTCTCTTTCAGGAGTAAAAATGACCCCAAATTCGGAGTTAAATTAGGAGTTAAAATAGCCCCCAAAAGGGGTTATCCTAAAATTTTTACTCCATTTTTGGAGTTATAATAACTCCCTAAAAATTACAGTGTATGCTGAGATCAGGGCTGCTGATAGCCAATCAGTCTGTAGAATTTTGTAAAGTTATGATTAGCCATAAATAGGTCACTGTTAATTGCAGCAGAGATATAAAATAAACAGGAATTGCGCTTTTAAAAAGCAAGAAGACGAATACTGGAGTTCTGCCCAGAGAACCCCAAGGCATTCTTAAAAAAACAGCCCAACAAAAAAGGATTCAGACCGAATCCATTAGGAACTTGAGTAATCTGAACTTTCAGAGGACAAAAACCTTGTACCAGAATAATTTAAACAATACCGCAATCTCTTTTACATTTTTGAATGGCTATAGATATAATTTACTATCTGTAATAACACCAAAGACTATTTTTCATGGGAGCCCGAGAAGATAAATGTCAAATTTCACGAGGATTGTGAAAACACAGGTAACATTTTGAAAATTTCATGTGTAAGATGTCAGTTTGTGAAATTTGACATTTATTTTCTCGGGCTCTCATAAGAAATTTTCTTTGGTGTTATCACAGATAACTAATTACATTCTATAGCCCTTGAAAAATGTAAAAAAGAATGCGATATTGTTTAAATTATTCTGGTACAAAGTTTTTTGTCCAATGAAAATTAATAATACTCAATTTTCTGATGGTTTCCGTCTTAAGTTTTATGTTTTCTTGAATCTGTCATTGCACGGAGAAGAAGACTCTGTTAGTAGGAAACCAAGAGAGGATAAAGGGGACAGAGAAGGCATCCTCCATACACACCCTATTCCATAGGTAATTCGTCTCGAGTTATTTTTAAGACCACAGATCCCAAGGGGGAGTAGACAACAGCCAATCACATAGCGGGAATGTGTTCCGCGTGGATGACCCACGCTCAGAGCCACGCGTCCTTCACGAATTGAGGCAGAAAAAAATGGCGGAAGACGCGGAGAGCAATATTGCTATTCGTTTTGTCGACGAAAACGACTAAAGAGAGATTTCTGCTAAAGCTGTGTCAGCGAAACGGAAATCAAAAAAGAATCGCCCTTCCCCTCTTGTATAGAGCTAACAGTACAGCAGGGAAATCCTTAACACAGTGAATATTCTCTCAGGATCATTTATAATTTACAGTTTGAAGAGAGCAATTTCTGGTTTATTCTTTTATTAGTCTTTTATTATTCAACAAAAATAACACTTGGTGTCCTATAATAATAATAACTTAATAACTTCTAGAGCGCTATTTACATTCACTGATCAACAGCGCTTAACAACTTAAAAAAACTACAATAAAATTAAAATTTGTAAAACTAATTACACGTAAATGAATATTACTTGCGACTTGCTTTATTGTACAAACGACCGGTTTCAATAGACCGGCGAAATTTCTCATTTTATTAAAGCACGGAGGTTAAGATAACTTCGAGTTAAACTGATTTCACGGGTTGTCAAAGAGTCGAGCGATTACCTTAACAACTTAAAAAAACTACAATAAAATTAAAATTTGTAAAACTAATTACACGTAAATGAATATTACTTGCGACTTGCTTTATTGTACAAACGACCGGTTTCAATAGACCGGCGAAATTTCTCATTTTATTAAGGCACGGAGGTTACGATAACTTCGAGTTAAACTGATTTCACGGGTTGTCAAAGAGTCGAGCGATTCCCTTTTCCCAGGTGAGCGCCGACTCATTTCGCTCCAATATTCAGAAATGCTCTCGATTTCTTTACGCTTTCATTGCCTTTCGCCCGACATGTTTTGCATGGCGTTTAGTCATGCGAAACCTCCACGAAACATCCACGCAGCGCGCGAGTTAACTTTATCCCGATTCTAAAAATAACTCGAGACGAATTACCTATGGAATAGGGTGTGTATGGGGGATGCCTTCTCTGTCCCCTTTATCCTCTCTTGTAGGAAACTGATCTGTGTACATGGGGTAGAATACAAATTTAAGCCGGCGGCCACACTTACATGATAAGGTATCATCTTTAGTAATTTACCAATTGGGAAGAGAGAAACATCCAGAGATCCTTCAGCTGCTTCTACAATGCCAATTTCTTGCGTCATTTTTACAAGCCTAAACGTTAGAGTGAAATTACTGTGAAACCAATCTGTCTGTGGGAGAAGGCAGCGTGACCTAACGGTTAGACTGCTAACTGGTAGCTGGATTTGTTCACGGCAGGCTCAAGTTCAAATCGACGTAGCTGCTCACTTGTGGCATTACTACCACATTCCCTTTGAGTTCTACTGTCTTTCTTTTATTTTTAATTCTGGTCGCCTTTACCATAAATAAGCTAACTAACAACACAGATCAAGGGAACTATATGCATCCTGTGCTGTGATACAATTTCAAGCCGTTTTGGTTTTGGTTGTCGATCTCAAGCCATGAAAACGTATTTGAATTTAGCCAAAAGTAACCTATATTATTTTGTGGAATTTCTTGCCTCGGAAAACGTTTTTGAAAATGGTTAAGGCTGACAATCAGTAACTGGAACTTAGAAGAATGGGCCAAACCCCATCCAGTGGATAATGCACTGCGGCAACACAGAAGCTGCCAAACTCGACAACTAAACGTGCGTACTATGAGATCTATTTTTAATGATAACATTAGGGATCATTAGGACTTTAATGGCTTATGCTCTTCTAAAGACAACAAACATGCCTACTCTGAGTAACAGAAGGTCTTAGATGTGTGTACATTTATTGCCAACGAGACAACCGAGCTAAGAAGCGAGATTGCCTCGGCGGCAGATTCATAATCCCGCACGATGTAGGCAAAACCTCTGAAATTCTGCGTAACCCTCTAAAATTTGCATTTTTGACCATATTTGGGTGTAATTAAGACCCCATATTTGGGTAGTGACGTCATGGTCTTGCATTAACAACGCGTGGTCCGAAATTGGGTGATTCAGTGTACAGCTGTTCGTTGTCTGTTCAAGATGCCCTAACAGGTGAGCAAGCTTTAATACGATTTCTAGTCTGAAAGGGCTATTAGTGCTCTGGTCTGCTTTATAAATTGCGTTTAAAGCAGCAGGTGATCAAGGAATAGGGTTTTACGCTCAAATTTTTGTCAGAACCAGCTTGTTCTTTGCAGCTCCATTTACAATGAGGTAGCGTGTTCGCTTCTCGACTCAGAGCCAGGGTTTTCCGTGTTCTCTTTTCCTTTGTGAATTGAATTTCATGCGGTAGTTGATCAAGGCATAGGATTATATTCTCAAAACTTACATCAGAACCAGCGTGTTCTTCGCAGGTCGATTTACATTGAGCCAGTCCTCACCTCCTGTGAGGAGTGCAACGTATTTACGGACTTTTTTTAGAATTTATTCACGTCTTTAGATTTTGTCAACCAGCATGTTTTTTTGCTGCTCGATTTACATTGAGACAGCCCAAAACTCCCGTGAGGAATACAACGAACTTGCGGACCTTTTGTTTTGAAGACTATCATTGTGCCTTCCAAGAGAATCTTTGTCCTGTGACACTCCCTCATTAGTTCTTTGTATTTTATTCAAGTTTATATTTTTATACCTCTGATACATTCCTCCCCCCCCCCATTCTTGCGCTTTTCACACATTTTACTTTACACCATTTTTTTCTTATGTATATTACTACGCGAAATAATATATAGATTTAGCCAGGGCTAAAAGCGAAGCTTCAATTAATAAATTTTTAGCTTAAATCAAACAACAAACTTTTAATCCAGAATTTTGAGGGAAAGGGTAAGTTATTTTAGAGTGAAACATCTTACATCGAATTGATAACCTTATATGTACACCCAAAAAATAGCAAACATCTTCGATCACATTCAAGATCACAGTAGATTAGGCCTCGAAAACAAATTCTTGGAAAACAAATCACGCCGAATTTTTTTGCGTTCGACAGGTTTACTTTACAAATTCTTGCCAACAAATCTGGGGGTGTTTAAACCAACCTTTTATAATTTTTATACATCACATTTGAGGTGAAACAGTACTATTTATCATACAGACCTCGGACATAATGCAATATTTCACAATTTTTCAAGACAAATTGCACTCAATCAATATTCAGGACGATCAATCGTAAAGCGAAACCGTTCAAAAAGTTCCAAAATCACCCATATGGCCAGCCGGTTCTCGTTTCTATAGTGCGAGCTGTCAGTGTGGTCGAGTGTTTGAATGAACTTTAATAGAGTTAAGCTTCAACATAATAGCGAATTTATTATTATTTTTTTTTGTTATTTAATGGTTTCAGTTATAACGATGTGTAATCTTATGAAGCGTTTGATACGCGCGACATTTTTGAGTACTCCTGCAAGCGATGTTCATGAACGATGAAAACAAACGGCACAGACAAGCGATTAAAACTGCAGGAGAGACTACTAACAATCAAAAAAAGAAATATAATTCGGTGAAACATTTATAGAGATAACAATTTTCATTCATGAAGACAAGTATTAAAGTGTCTCTAAAAATCCTGAGTCTCGGCGTGAAGCTTTATAAGCCGGCTTCCCGGCGCGGGTGTTTACTGTTTTCCAAGGTGAACTCCTCGAAGCAAGAAAATCGCTCAAAGTTTTCTTTCTACAGCCAAATTTATAACTAAATATTCTTCGGAACGTTTTCTTTCTATCTGTGGTGAGCAAATATATCTGAAGGCTTTTTAAAGTTCTGTAAGCTTATATCAAACCGTTCAAACCTGATACTAGGTCAGATCATTGACTCAAACTACGGCTACAAACGTGCATAAACTTGCCGCATAAACTGTCAGCGTGAACTGTGCAAGACTTCATGAAATTAGATATAACAAAAACAAACATCAAATACAATAGTTACTCAGGCTTACCATTCGAGATTCAGTTCCTGAAAGCTATCAAGGAAGGCCACAGTTACTTGAGACTTTTAAACCCTCTTACGCATTAAGCAAGGTGAAAAAAGAAAACGATGCCATCCGAAATCGAATTACCAAATTTTGACAAGCGACGCGTTTCTCAACCAAAAACCCAGTAAACAAACCAGCCATGAATAACAGAAGACTCTTGATAGCAGCTGATAGCAGAAGAAAAAGACAGTTATAAACATTACAAGTTGACATAAAGCTCTTCACCCTCAGCTGTCAAAGTAAACAATTTTCAAGATGCTGCATGATTTTCGCATGAACTCACCTGTCAAATTTTGACCAATCAGAGTATAAAAATTGGACGTAGAGCGTGACTAACGCGTGACCATGGTAAGATAAGGTCTTTCCCGCCTGTACTTTTAAAAAAACTGGCTGAATTTTCGCTTCCGAAGCCAGTTTGAAATCAAAATCCTAATAGTGCGGGGCCATAGTGACATAAACACAACATATTTGATATGAATCCTTGGAAAAAATAAACTTGAGCCTGCGATCATTTCAAACTGGTAATTTGTCAGCGGATAACTTCAAAAAATACTCGACCTCGATGGGTCGTCACTTGAGCCCGCGCTACGGTCAGGTGATACTGGTCAGCGGATGCCCTGTTTTGACAGCTGTCAATTGATCACAACATTGATGTGCAATTAGTTTTCTCTTGGACTCCCAAACTAGCTAAAAGTGTGAGAGTAAACATTGGTTGTCCTGTGGTGCGGACGGACGGTCGGTCGGCGGTCGGCGGTCGGTGTACGGTCACGTGATTACCAAATTTTCTGGGATGGGTAGATTTACTAAGCTATGGGGCTCCGCCCACGCGCGCTTCGCGCGCGTGGAGCTCCGCTATTAGTCTTACCCGTCTTATCCCTAATGACGCTGTTGCTCGGAATTTAATTATTACTTTTAATTTCAGCAGTTGAAGGCCTCATTTGAAATTTTTTTTCTTTCTAAAGTTTATAGTTTTGATAAAATGGAATTTTCCATGAAACATAAGTGCTAACTTGCTCATAATTACTAACAAAGCTTCAAGCTATGTTGTTATTGTTTAATAAAAGTGAAAGCCTAGAGTTTGCCAAAGTTGTTGATTTGAAGTTGAGTGCCATCCTTTTCTACAGCGGAATCCATTTTAAACCTCTAAAATTATGAAAAAAGTATATATGGCGAAGATCTGAATAGGCACATTCCACAAAAGATAAACAAATTCGCCTCGTTGGCACTTGCCGGAAGGTACCCCTAGTATAATAATGTAAAGCTATTTAGATAACGACAACAACTCCACCAAGCACTCTCCTGAAGTTAAGAAGCAACACACGTTACGATGTGAAGAACAAATATTACTGGGTACAATTGCAGGTACTACGGACCAAAAACTTCTTCTACCATTAAAAATTTTGTGACACACATCAAACAGATGACCTTTCACGCACGTGACAGTTATCTACAGCAAGAAATAGCTTATGTCATAGACTTTTCATTTCCCAGTCTTTCTTTTTTTAGTTTCCGTTATTAGGTAAATGTTTTTGCAATTATCTTTTAAATTTACATTATAAAAGATTAAAAAATCCTTTAGACGTGTAAACAGTTTTACTATGATTCTTTTTTCTTTTAGCTAATTTTGCAATCTACGCCTTTTTTAAAACTTGACGCTCTAACTACTTAACTAGGAGGCCTACAAGGCTCCAGGTTTTTAAGCACAGTATGATGATGTTTTTCATTAAAAAATATTCATAATGGATAGTGATTTACCCAGTAGATATAAATACTATCCAGCTTTGTTAACCCGAGGTTAGGCCTAAAATATAGTCAGGGTTTAGGTTCCCACAACCCCACTGATAATTTCCAAGATTACCACTCATGGGTTAGTGCAATTGAGCCAAACATAGCTTTATTACGATACGTTTCGGGTATATTAAGATATACATTAAGATAATGGTCTCCCTAAAATAACAGTATCAATAATCTTACTTGAGGTTAGGGTGTCCTTCAAAGAAACAATATCCTGTTTTCAGTTTTCCGAAGCTATCAAGAGATAATCCTGTCCAGCCACAGTCTATTAAGATTTGCCCTCTGTCAGGATAATTTCCTATCACTCTCGTCAAGACTCGCACAGCAATGTCACTAATATCACATGAACCGATTAGGAATTGCTGATAATCTAAGAAAGAAGAATGCACGTATTACCGGGGCTTTGTCTGCACTTTCACAACACATGAGGCTGGTGCTGCAAGCAGGCATGCTATAACAAAAACAACAACAACTTACTGGGGCAAACAAAAGCCAAATTGTTAAGGTGGATGCATGTAGACATCACATTGCTAGTGACTTCATGCCTATGAGCTTGTAACTATAGTAATTTGATTTTTTGCGTCTTTAATGACTGGAAATTTCGCTAAGTGTTTGCTTTAATTTGTAATCCTAGACTGGTCTGTATGCCAAAGCATCGGTCTTTATTGCAATATACCAATACTTTGATTTCTGTGGTCAGACTGGGCACTTAACATAGACTTTGAGCATCCTACATAATAGAGATCCCTACGATCATTTGTTTACCTTTTCGGTATTCTTTATAGGTTTCAACCTGCATTCACACTGATTGATCCATATGCCTTCCATGTTTCAGCAACGCTGGAATCTTCTGTGATGTTGAATATTAATTAAAAGTTACCACACTTACATTTATTTACTACCACTCCAATCCAGCTAACGTACCAAGCTGCAAACAGTTCTGTTCAGTTGACTACTCTGTATTCATGCCTACTAACCATAAAAGACATAATTTCCTGGATGAAATTCCGTGATTCCTTTTAACAAATCATCTGGTGGCTTAGAGCAGCTTGGAGTTGATCCAATCCCCACAACAGGACATTCGATGCCAGCTTCTTGCAACCTGCAATTAACAGTAACTTGACTATAACTTAATTCTCGCCATTTTCACTTCCACAATCAGGCCCGTAGGAAGGGGGGCGCGACGGGTGCGCCCGCACCCCCCCCACAAGTTCCAGAGGTCCACTTTATCATTGATCAAAAGTTAAAACAAAGTGAATTTAGAGTATTGTTATATTCTAATTCATTGATTGTATAGTCAAATTGAAAAGACTGAAAGAGCTCATAAACCTGACCCACCCTTTCCACCAAACTTGTTTTAGCCTTCGTAAACTATAAAGAAGGGGATTTGGTATACCTACAAGGCATTTACCCCTTGCTAATACGTCACTTACTCGTTCATTTTTTGAGCTATTTTGAAAAAATAGCTCATATGTCAGTGGTGTGAGCGTATGTATCTTTGTGGCTTTGTATGTTGGGATGTTTGTTGCAAGAGCCAATAAGGTTGAAGGTACTATGAGTTGATGCTTAGGAACCAATGAGATCTTGGCATCTATTTAAACATGGCATTGGTAAAGGTCGAGCAAGGGCACTTTGAGACCGCCATCTTGATTCTTCACAATTTTTTCGTCTTTTATTACGGCTACAGGTGTTTGGAAGAATTACATTAAATATCTTCATGATTCAAATGCTGTGTACAGTGATGCAGCTGTTTAAGGGTTGATATTTTAGTATGGATGCTGCTTCAAGGCATTTCTGACCTAATTCGGCTATCGGTACAACGCACGTCAGTATGAGTTCTGTTTCACGTGCTACAACTGGGTAGAGTATAAAAGATCATATATTTTCAAAGCTCTTCCAATGAAGCAATAATTGATATTTAGATATAGACTTTAATTCGAAAGTATGCGCTCTATAAAATGTGGTTTAAGTTTAAAAAGGCAGCTTATTTTTGAGAAAGCTGTACCGAGTATTGTTAATCCTGTAAACAAGCTTTAAAAATATTATTCTCTCGCTTACAAAGTTCAACAGACCTTTTTCGTTCTGGCAAAAAAAAAAAAAATAATAATAAGTGAACAACATGATACATCCTTCCTGCAAACTAAGTATTATAGTTTCTGAAACGTATTTTAATTAGTAAAGATGCGTAACTTAAGTAGAAACAGTAGCGTTAGGGAATAAAATTGGAAGAAGCTAGTTGACAACAATAATTAGATACTGTTGTATTGAGTGGAGTAACATGATACGAGTAGAAATATATTTCGGCAGTTTGATAATTTTCTTGGAAGTTAAATAAATGTTAGGCTATCAACCTTGACGTTGCATGAAACATAATTTAATTGCAGATGTTGTAATAAAGCCGAGGTGATTTCTTAAAATCGCTTGAGAAAATTTTGTAGTAAAACAATTTGCCTTTTTTTTACGTACGAATTGTAAGAGGGCCAAAGACCAACATCTTCACAAGCAAATTGTGTGCATCAGTTATTTTTATAATTCTGTTTACTAGATTACTGTGTGATAACTCGAATTCCCTCACGTACGAGCCACAAAAGGGGGCAAAAGTCCAACACTTTCACGTGCCAGCTGTGACTGTACATCTCATGCAGATTGGCTTTTCACAATAATAATAGTAACTTGGACATATGAAGACCTGTTTCGTTTAGTAACCAATGCCCTAAAAAAGGCTCTTGTCTTTTAAGAAGCAATAGCTTTTAAAACATGAAGAAATAAGTTGTCGGAGTTAAAGACTGTCTCACAAATGTTAATAAATGTTAGGTTATCAACCTTGACGTTGCATGAAACATAATTTAATTGCAGATGTTGTAATAAAGCCGAGGTGATTTCTTAAAATCGTTTGAGAAAATTTTGTGGTAAACAATTTGCCTTTTTTTTTTCACGTACGAATTGTAAAAGGGCCAAAGACCAACTTCTTCACGTGCAAATTGTGTGCAAGAGTTATTTTTATAATTCTGTTTACTAGTTTACTGTGTGATAACTCGAATTCCCTCACGTACGAGCCACGAAAGGGGGCAAAAGTCCAACACTTTCACGTGCCAGCTGTGTGACTGTACATCTCATGCACATTGGCTTTTCACAATAATAACAGTAACTTGGACGTGTGAAGACCTGTTTCGTTTAGTAACCAATGCCTTAAAAAAGGCTCTTGTCTTTTAAGAAGCAACAGCTTTTAAAACATGAAGAAATAAGATGTCGGAGTTAAAGACTGTTTCACTAGGTAGAATCGCACGTGAAAACCTCGTGAATTATGATGATGCAACCATCTACCACAATGATAAAAATCCTGGTATTTCGTAACTATTCAGTATTCGATGAGTCACATTTTGGCTTAAGAAACTCGGAGGAAACCTTAGAGTTTTCCTTCTAATCAACGTTTGGTGAGTAGAAATTTATTTTACTTTAACAATTTGTTTAACTTGCACCAGATGTAACAGGGAAAGACAGAGGAAAGTGAATATATAGGTTGAGGATCGACTCAGCTGAGCGTTTCGCGTTTTCATTTATGTAGCGCAATATCCAGTTTCGCACAAAACCAAATCTACATTTAGGATGAAAAAGGTAGATTCATCACTCTTGGTAAGGTTACACCGAAGTATTATAGTTACAATGAAGCATTCAAAATAGCTCATGCACGTTTAACGTGCCTATGTTGTCCTTAACTGGTAAAGTCTGTTTTGGAGGATTCGTAGCGTAGATTTAGCAAACGTTTCCTTCACTGAGAGGTCATGTGGTCTTTTGCTGTACAGTTATTTCCTGTAGTTTCTTATCTTTGCTCTATTAGAAATCGACCTCTGATCGCTAGCTGTAGGTGTTAGGATTTTCCTTTCTCATTTTTAAAAGCGGCCCATCAACCTAAAAGTTTAGGGTTTGGTTCCTTAGTTTTGTACAAAGTGTTGGATCTGAATTGTTATTTTAACAGTACAGTATGACAGGGTATGAGATTCCCTGCTATAGTTTTGACATGCTGGACCAGCTTTTTTGCGTTGCGTGCAGGACATTGAGGTTTCTATTAAAGCTATATGCTACGCATCAAACGTTCGTAATACAGACTCGGACAATGTAGCCACCCCCAGTCAAATATCAATACATTAAGTAAAATTTTTGTCTGGCTCTTTCACTATTCTACACTAGACACAAAAATATTGCAAATATTCCTGGTGGTACCCAATCTCCAGCCAGGTGTCCCCAAAGGTAAGACCTAAGTCAAGACCCAGGACCTAGGACTACCTCGATCTAAATCTACAAAACTCACACCTAAGACCCCCTCCAAATGTAATTAACTCTCTATCTTAACCGACACATCTAAAACATGAAAACCTCCATAAAATGGACACAGAGAAAATCTCTTTGACTTTCAATAAGTTGGATAGTGATCTCCCTACAAAGGACATATTTGATTACTACTACGGTATCAGAGTTTGTCTAAGAGGGAGATGATTGTACCACCTACAGGTACGTAGCTATAACTCGTTCAATACCCAAAGAGGAGTCAAATCGATCATCCCACTTAACAGACAAAGATGATCATCTGGACACTCCCTCCATATAATGGACAGAGAGAAAATCTCTTTGACTTTCAATAAGCGCTTAGCACTGAAAAGTATAAACACTATTATTTATTATTATGATCATATCCTATTATTGTTAGTACTATTGTATGCATGTTCTCATGGAAGATGCAATTCATTCATGTTTCTTTAACATTAAAAATATATTGTAGTCTGTATAATTATTGTATTAAAAATCTTAAGAGTAGCAATGGAGGTAGAACTACATAACTGGGCTGATAAAAAATAACCACATGTGCTGGAGAAGTATTATCTAAGTAAACAAGCTTACCTGTTTAAAATGATTTGCAGTTTTGTCAATGCTTCTGATGTTGTCTCCTTAATTTTTCCTACACCAGCACAATTATATGCATTTCCTTCATGAATATAAAGTCCTTTGAATGTCAAACACTCCTTTGAAGCTATCTCCTTGGCCAGTTCCAAACCTTTAGGATCATCATATGACACACCCGCTGAAACAGATGTGGAAATATTTACCACTGAACTTCACACTGTCTGCCAAGATTTGCCATACCAACAAAATTCGTAAAAAACATAAAACTTTGTGTATTTTTTCCACACGCCTTGATGCAAATAAAGTCTGCACCACACAAAAATTCGCATATTACAAAAAGTTAAGACAATTAAAGATTACAGAATTTTTCAAGCTCATTTATAATTCATAAAGAAAATACAAAGTAAATTAATGTTTAGTGAGTGTTTGGAAATCAGATTAAAAACTACTCAGTTTTGCATCTGTAATTTCCTCTTCTAAAATCATTTTGTATGGGAAGTAATATCACACATTCGACACAGTGTTTCATCACAAGATGAAACACCTTGAAGTTCATCAAAAATACTCTGCTGCACATTGCATTTTCAACTCTCTTCTCAGTCTTTCGTGCGGTGATGAAACACTACGTCTCATGCTTGATATATTACTTGAAGTAACAAACACTACCATTTGCATTCAATTTCCTGACAGAATAATGGTGGATAATATTAGATTCAGGATTATCTTGTCAGTTCCTCTAAAACATAGGACTGATTGCCGTGTGCAACAAACGCAGACTGCAGACTTGCAGACTGGCAGGTAAATGAGGTAAACATTGTTGTGAAAATTAATGCTCTAACAGATTCCCTATCCCTAAACTAGACTTTTAGAAGACTTAAAGTTTAGGGATAGCGAATGTGTAAAAACAAGTTCACAACAATGTTTACCTCGTTTACCTGTCAGTTTGCAAGTCTGCAAGTCTGCAGTCTGCGTTTGTCGCACACCGGACTGATTGTGTCTAAACATTGAAGTGTTTCCATTTGGGTGATTGATTGAGGCATTAATAAATGATTCTACACAAAAGCATATAATCCTTGTCAAGATTTTGGCATATCTTTGTCATTGTCATCATTATTATGACTAATCATTAATGACAATTAATTTTAATTAATAATTTATTTCATCAGTTGAGGTTGGGGGACAAAGGGTCACAGTGTGGATGGGGGGGGTGGTTAATGTTCCTTTCAGGGTTACCCAGTGTATTTTAGTTAAAATATGAGACCAAAAGGTAAGAGAACCAAATGAACATGTTCACCAGGTTAACAAAACATTACATTGTTAAACAACTTCTCTTTGTCAGTGCTACTGACAGAAAAAATACATAGAGAACAGTGTGGAGAATATGCACACTGATATTGGGGTTAAGAGAAACCTACCCCTGGATAATGGCTTTTAAGCTTTGTATGTATACTGCTAAATCCATTTCTGTTAAAATACTACACTCATTGTTTAAAAGGAATTACCTCGGTTATAGCCACAGTTAACTTTAAGAAAAACTGACCATCTTTTCCCTTGTGGAGGTTGGTTAGCTACCAATGAATCAAGCACCACATGGTTATCAATTAGTACATGAAAGTTTTGAAGTCGAATCAACAGTTGGGCGGCCTGTGGTACTTTGTCAGGTGATAGTGGGTAGGCATAAGTGATGTCATCAAAGCCTCCATCAGCGTAAAATTCTGCTTCTGCTAAAGTTGAAACTGAAAGGCACCTTTTTGTGCCACCAGTCATAAGTTCGCCAGCTTGCCTGAAGCAAATGAAACAAAAACAATCTTTGATTACAGCAGGTGATATTACAAATATCAAAGATTGCTGACAAGCCTTACTTTTTGAATACAATTGTATCAAATATAATTTTAAAAAAATATAGGCTTAAAGAAAATAATAGGAAGCACTGGCATAGATTATCAGTAATAATTTAAAAGCTTATTAAACATTAGGGACCTCAAGGTACACCATTTCGCTCTACAAGTAGGACAACACATTTGCCACATACTTTATATAAAAGGCAATCATGATTTGTCAAATGTTGTGTTGCATTGCATCACCGTTCTATCAGGTAACCTAGCCATTTCTTCGGTGTAAGAGGCTATCAACCCATATTTATGGCTACAGGCTCATTCACTAGAACTGAGACGCAAAGTTGCTCGACATACTACCATGTACAAAATGGTGAACAATAAAATTAGGGTCAATATTCAAGAGTACATTGCACGCCAAACCCATGTTACATACTCTTACCATAGCAGCAAGTTTATAGACATTGGTAGTAACAGCAATAACTATAAGTAGAATTTTCTTACTAGAACTCTAATAGAATGGAACACTTTACCTTCCTATTTATTAGATAAGCCTTCCATGGACACTTTTACAGTCAAACCTGAGGTCAAGCGTTCCCGCCAGTAACAAACTAATGAATTCATTAATGGAAAAATGATTTCGTTTTGTTGATTCTATAATCCATTCATAAAATGAATAATCCAACAGTCAAATTATACCTCGATTCAATAATTAAAAGTTGATTTGGTTCATGAACAAAATCTACCTGTTCTTTACTCTTGTCTGTTGTGTTCAATCGTATTTGCTTCCCTCTTCCTACCGTTTACGATTGCGTTTTTCATTGCCTTTAATCAAAATAACAGCTAGAAGAGACAGAACGCAAACGCAACCAGACTGACAAAGGCTGAGGATCGAAATCCACCAATCACCACATATACACTGACCTCAGTTTGGCCGTCGTGTTTTCTAAGAGGTCAGGCCTAGGTCTGTTGCACTGATTACTGGCAGCAAACTGGCGTACATGTAACAGTTTGTTTGGGTTTGAACTTCAGAACTTGCCCACACTCAACTCTCAGAAAAAATGAGGAAAAAACAAAATTCTGAGGTCAACTTGTGGAAAGTGTAGTTTTCAAAAAACAGTAATTGAATCAACATTCGATTATGGAATCAAGGCTAAATATTAATATTGGATTGTTCATTTTACGAATGGATTACTGAATCAACAAAAAAATCATTTTTCCGTGAATGAATTCATTAGTTTGTTAGCGATGGGATCCCTTGACCTGGTTTGACTGTAAATCTGCTGTTACTAATTCTTTTAATCTCCGTCATTGATTTTATTCATCATCTTATTTCACTATTTATTTATTGTTGTTGTTTTTTTGTTTGTTTCTTTTTTTCTTGGCATTCACAGTGATGGGAAACCTTTGTGAATTATAACATATAAATAAAAATATAAAATAAAATGAAGTAATTTTACCCATGCCTGTACAGGTGTACAGGGTGTATGCGCATGGTCTCTTTTAAGACAAAAAATTCTCCCTGCTTTATCCCAGACTTAAATTGATGTGTCGCTTAGAGTCCCTCATTTTCCCATCCACACACCTCAATCAACACCTTCAAAAACTCATTAATAATTCATGAGCTGAACAACTTATCACGTCTGCTAAAATCTGTCACGTGCTCATGTTGTAAACCCTGGAAAAACACTGTCAAACTAAAAAGCCTGGGGGCAGCATTTGAGTTCAGTCTTAGGGGTGGGCTGATTGTATTTTGCTTCATTGATATTCTTGATTTAGATATTTCAGCCTCATCAGTATTCTTTATATAAATAATACTAATAAGGACGACACTTTATTTCATTGCACATGACCTGTGAATATTAATTATCAGCAGAGCAACTGACGCAACAAATGGTGGGTGAATATTCAGTGTTTTTTCAAAATAACACACATAGTAAATTTACTATTGCAAAAAATTCAGCTTTGTTCTTTCAACAATTTTAATCAGCCCAAAGTTCAGTGACACAGCTGTAATATTAGCTATAGCAGTTTCCAAGTGTTGCACTCAAGACTTGCCAGTTGTGAATACACAAGGCTCGAGTACTGGATTTTTGTTTACCTACCATCCGGCTATTCCAGTCAATTTTTCTAAGAATCCTTTAGTGGAATAGTTGACTTTGGGGTACTAGTATTTTTAATTAACTTCCTCTCTTCCTTGCCACTTTCAGGCTTCTGAAAAGCTCTGGAACAAGACGCTATGTCCTCTTCGGCTAGTGTAGTTCGTAGACTGGAAAATTTCTAAACATGCGTGAGATCTGATTTTCGTACATAATAATTTGTATAGGTAAGAGCATGATTTGTAGTGATATTTGGCATAAATACCACGAGTGATATTTCAAAATTGTTATACGTTATCAGGAGCGGTATTTATGCCAAATATCACGTGCAAATCATGCTATTATTTGTTTATACTACTACCCACACAAGGTTTGTAATTTTCACTTGTAGGTATTTCAAATTAATCTGAAATACCACTGCTCTAAGCCAATCAAATTGCAGAAATTTCTCGTGTAGTAGTATAATGTGTTTTTCGTATGCTAATTTCCAACGTTCACAAAAGCGTCATTGTTATCAACTCCATTGCATTGAGACACGCTTTTCCAGGAATGTTTCTGAAGCCGTTCAATAAACTCGCGAGTCGGGTTTTATCGGGGCGCCGAGTGGCTTTATACCCCGATAAAACCCTTCCGCTCGTGTATTAAACATTACTTATTCCACCGTTCGAAGCTGTAGAAATTACAGATCATGATACTCACAGTGTCCTGTGTGTCTTCATATTCGTTCTTAGTTGGACTCCAAGACTTTTGCACTTTTCAATCATGACTTTGCAGTTGTTTTTTACAGCTGCTAAGTCTACAAGAAAGGCAGGAGAGCGCAACTGAGAGACTTTTTGCATCTTGGATGAATGGATAGAAAACTTTTTCACAAATTACAAGGTCAGTGCTTCATGTATGACCCCATGAAATGTCCTAAGACCCCAGTGCCATAGTGAGTGTAATAGCTGTAGTGAGTGTATTAGCTGTAGTAGCTGTAGTAAATGTACTAGCTGTGGTAGCTGTAGTAGCTGTGGTAGCCGTAGTAGCTGTAGTAGCTGTAGTGGGTAGTAAGTCTACAAGTGTAGTAGCTGTAGTAACTGTAGTATCGGTAAGTAAGTGCAGTGGCTGTAGTAGCTGTAGCTCTGGGTCAAAGACTTTGTTTGTTTGTTTTTGTGTTCCACCTTGCTAAATATATCATAGTCTTATCATCATCTTGGAGCATTTGGTTCCGTCGTGTCAGTGTCATGTCTGGAGTCAGAAACGGGCATAGGACGTCTGTGTGGATCTCCATGATCACGGGAATCACAACAGCCCCTCCCATAAAAGTTGAAGTTCCATTATTGGGTCATTATTTATTCTGCAGAACTCAAGATTGTTTTTTTTCTGTAATTATGTGGGATGAATAGTCAACTTTGTTATCTGACGCAAATCAACATAAGGATTTAATTAAGAAAGTCTAGTCGCCGAGAATAGCTAAGCATTACTGTTTCCAAAATGAAATCTTGTTCACTAAACTCCAGTAACGTCACAAAATTCAAAGCAACAAACACACATGTTAGCAAAGCATTCGAATTAGCACCTGCTTCGAATTTCGCTCTCACCAGTTTTGTATTCAGAGGATACCCAAATCACTTTGACAGCGGCGATCGCCATTTTCAACTTGGCGGAAGAAAATAGCTAGGGGAGCTTAGGGGGCTATGATCAAGCTTGAATTTAAGCCATCTCCTCGAGTCGCAAACTTCACTTGCGACTCGGGAGACGGCTAAAATGCAGAAAACTGATAACAGTTAGAAACTAACGCTGAGCTACCACCGCCACTGCAACTATTCACGGCGAATGTGAATCTTATCCACTAAAGTCCAAAGCGACGAGCCTAAGCTCTTCTTACGGTCGCAAAGCCGTAAATGGATAACCGTTAACCGCATGGCAAACAATTACAAGAGGTGGCGGTGTGAGGAAAGCTTGGAAACCCGCCTCCTCGCGACCCATTTCAATATATTTTGAATTTAGAAGCAAGCCTTCACTCATTACTGTCATTTGCATGGACCCTCACTCGCCCAACAAATTATCTGCGACAAAATATTGTTTTCTCATACTCGGAGATGATACCAGTTTCTTTTTCTTTATTTCTTTATTTTTCGTTTTTTTGTTATTATACGTTATTATTAATTTTTACAAAAATTAGTTTATTATTATTTTTTTTTTCATGAAAATTATTTTTATTTTTTCATGTTCCAGGATGTTCCAGAATGTTCTGTCATGTTCCGGAATGTTCCGTCTTCCGGGTTTTATCGACGCCCTAGTAGCTGTAGTAAGTGTAGTAAGTGTAGTAGCTGTAGTAAGTGTAGTAGCTGTAGTAAGTGTAGTAGCTGTAATAAGTGTAGTAAGTGTAATAGCTGTAGTAAGAGTAGTAGCTGTAGTAGCTTTAGTAAGTGTTGCAACGTCAGTAAGTATAGTAGCTGTAGTAAGTGTAGTACTAGGTGTAGAAGTGTCGTATCTTTAATCTGCTGTGATCTGTGTAATTTTGTGATGACTAAATTTGACCACTACATTTCACCGATTTTTTCCCGGCGCCATGTCACAGTTTGTGATAGGTACGACTTTCACGACTTTTTTCCATTGAATTCCTTAAAACGATGATGGAGATTTCTCTCAAGCTGAAACCACAACGTTTGCTTCACCTTTTTATACATACGTGATTGAGTCTCAGCCACAAAACAGATTTTATGGACAGAAAACTCTTTAGTGAAGTGATCACTTCCACGTGAGTCATCTTGGCCAAAAAAAGCCATATAATAAATAACTCGTTAACCTCAAACCCCTAGTCTTTACAGGAAAATCTCAAACCTCGGTCTTGGTCTATAGCTCAGTCAATACAGCAAGACCTCAGTTTGAGTTTTTCACCTAAAGACCTCTCTCTCGGTTTAATATGTAGTAAGTATGTAATATCTTTTGGGCTTGTTATGTCAAACAAATTACTGATTGATTGATATGCTGTCGCAGCTGTAATAACAGCTGTTCGTATGTGCATCGCGGCCACAAGCAGAAACATAAAGGTTCGGCGAAAGGCAAAATCCTAGCCTTGGGAGAGAATGCGAGCCTGGCATTTTTCAGAACAATCCCGAGACTTTTTAACCTTTTGATTCAGATGACCAAATTGAAAGAATCTGTTAAATGCGAGTTCTTAACTCTGGAAGTCTTCCTTAAATTGCTAATAATGGAGGGACCACTAGAAAAGTAATGGGGGTGAAGGAACCGCCGAACCCCCCCCCCCCCAAAAGAAAAAACAAAATGTCTTTATTATAGTATTTAATCTGTGTTTTTAACATTTTGTGGCAAGAAAATGATGCGAGAACTACAAGAGCCTTCAAATCGGACTAAAATTTTACACGACTCTTATTTTTGCCCTTTTTCATACAAAACCACTCAGTAATGCCTTATTTAAATACAATTAATTTACAAAAAGAGGTATATTACATAATTATGCAGAAGATTAAGAAATCGCGGATTATAGATATGGCACTGAGTCCCATTCGATCGAAATACATCCGTTAAGGTATTTGAAAGACTATCTAAGTATATTGAATTGAAGATTGAAAAAGCCAGACTGTCGAAAGTAGATTTTAAAAAGGGCTGGAAAAGTACGTTGACGAAATTCCGAGCACAGCCAGCATCAACGAGCTTCACAAAATTACTCCGGCTGCTGGGAACAGCTCGTATCCTCACAAAGGTTCCTTCGGTGAAGTGAACTCTGTGGTACCCAAGGTCCACGTTTTGGACCCGATGCTTCAGCGACTTTGCGCAGTATTCATTTAATTTAAAAACCTTTGAATGCAGAGGCGTATACAAGGCGTGTTCTTGCCGGAGTTTTATTAGGATCCACGAAACCTCCTAGATGCATCAGCTGACAGCAGGTATCCGGAGAATTGGTTTAAGAGGTGCTGGCATGCCAAAGCACATGGGGGGGCGGCTTTTATGTTCCATGGCAACTGTGATGAATGGGGATCAACTGTTACTATTATTCAAGTGGGCAATTATATGTTGGTGGATGCAGTGACGTGTCCTGGTATGCAAACGGTGCGTCCTTTATTTGACTTTAACAACCCTGACATATATCGGACGGGGAATCCGAAAATATCACTGAATCACTCAAAGTAGGAGGTCACTATAATGTACTAGGCCGCTAAGAATGTTGGGAGGGTCTTAACCACGTGCTTTTGCTTCTGATGTTGTGACTGTAGTCGCACTAAAATACGTTGAGTTGAATCTGGTTGTTTGAATGTTTTACTACTCCGGGGAGTACTACAGTTACGTTTAAATTTTCTTGCCTAAAGGTGATCAAACAGACTCCTGCGAGAATTTTCAGCTCGAATACCATAATATATTTCAAAACAGAGTATTTCGCCTGTGATTGACACCTATTTCGCGAGTTTTCACAAAGGGCTCCAAAATTAAGGTATAGCGATTTTTAAAAAAGGTCTCTGTTTATTTGCTAGGCTCTTGTCGGAATGGAGATTACAGCAAAGCCTTTATTTACTCACTGAGCAATAACAGTGGTTCTGGATACGCGGTGTACAACTCAGTGAAGCTAAATGTCAAGTCAGATGGACAGTCTAAAGCTGTATACAGATGTCATTCCCACGGACCAACATTTGGTTTTGGATATGACATTCGCAACGGTCTCCAGAAGGGTTAAGTAGAAAAACGGACAAATATCATTATCTTGTGCTAAAGGAAGGCTAAATACTTTGTCATTTAAACAGCTGCAGCTAACACAGTAAGACATATCCTAAGACTGAATCTGAGTATCATGTGAAGAATTATGGAGATCGAGGAGGCCGTAGGCCGAGGCGGATAACACCCTCTTCGATCTCGGATGTTACTCAGCCTCATTCAATGATTGTTTTATTATTCATTCAAAATAATTCCTGGCTTAAAAACAAGCTAAAACATGCTTACCTCCATGGATGTTAAGTTCATCTTCGATAGTGCATGTTTATCGGCAAGTTCAGAAGACAAAAGGTTGTTCAGGTGTGCAAATATTCTCCTAACAGCATATGTCATCCGTAGAGTTGTCTTTTTGCTGTTCTTGCTATGTTTTTAGCCAATAGTTTGTTCTTGAAGCCCCCTCTCTCTGCAATAGGCTTCAAGAGATTATAATTTTAATGTATAAAGTTAAAAATGGTGTGGCCCCTGACCACATAGGTGAACTTTTCAATTTTGCAAACAAAGGGTACTCCCTAAGAAATGCAGCTTTTGAAATACCTCGCTACTCAACAGTAAGATATAGAAAACACTCTATTAGGATCCTGGGCCCATACCTTTGGTCCAGATTATCCTCAAGTGATCGACAGCGACCCTCGCTGAACAATTTCAGAAACAAATCGTCGAATACGAAAAAAAAGTAAATATCCTAAAGAATACTCGACCGTCGATAAAGTAGGAAGTGAAAAAACTTAATTGGTTATCTAATCTCCAAGCAAGCGAGACTTAACGCCGATATTAAGAGCATTCTTGTTTTTGACATGTCGTTAAATTCTTCCATATTTGTTCGACAGTAGCTGGTTATGATGAATTATGCGTGGCATTTTTGCCAACCAGAAATGGAGAAATATTTTGAATGAATAATAATACACATTGCCAGATCGGCTTGAAAACAAAAACACAGCACCGTAATTATACAATGCTTTATTTACTGAAAGAGCTCCTGTTTATTGTTACATTTCTTTCACGTCAGTTGTTTAACCAAAAGGACTTTGAACTATTAAATACAACTGAGTTTTACGCTCATTCATAATTTGTTTATATGTGTGGTTGAGAGACACTTAATCCAAGTCTGGAAATGGATCTGACAACAAGGGTATCAAGCTTAAACCTCTTTTTCGACATCTTGGAACAATTTTTTTGCCACAATTAATTCTACAGGTACTTCAAACATTTTTACCACAAAAGTTCGCAAATCGGCTCAACACAAGCTTTGCTGGAGCTAAAGTCGTTTTGAGCCGTGAGTTTTTTGGAAAAGAAAAACAAGCAAACAAAACAGAATAGAATTTTGACGTCTGTACACTCTAGAAAATCAGAGGCCACAATACGAAGACCTTCAGCCCGGGGGAAAGGGGGGAACTCAACAAATTTTCATACAAGGAAGTTCCGCCCCGAGGTCCAACCCCTTACCCTTTTATACACCATTTTTCACGAAAAAGGTACCTCTTTCATGTACCTTGTAATGACAAATAGTACCCCTTTCACATACCTTGTTTCGAACTTTGCAACCATTTTAACTGCTGTGGATGCACTGTCATTTAAATGGAAATAAATCACAAAAATAGAACGTTTTCTCAACTTTATAAAGCCGTGAAATTCATCTGTTAGCCCTTTGGGCCATTTTACAGACCCAAATGACAGGTTTCCCTACCCTTTCATATACCTGAAGCCTGAAAAAGGTACCCCTTTCGGGCGTAGCCTCCTCGTATAGGCCATTATAGGGAGTACCCCCTCCCCGGGACCTGCAGGGAATCCTATTCATCCACGACATACCTTATTATAGGAAATTAACGCTCTATAAAATTAAGGTATTGGAAATTAACGCGACTTAAATTAACGCGAATTTTAACGATTCGCGTTAATTTCATGAATCGTTGATTTCCTATAATAAGGTAGGCCTCACGAGGGAGCCAGTGATTCCTTCGCATTTGGCGCAAATATAGAGACGACGCAGTACGGTAAAGAGTGGAATCAAGTGAAGAGCGGGCGAGTCTCAGCACATGATAGTGACCTTATTTTGACCTGGGATCCAGATCACTCTCTTCCCCTAGCTTTGCATGAAGCTTGATTCGTTCGAGATCTCGGACATCTTTTGGCGTTTTCAAAAAGGGTTTAAGTTGAAAAAGATATGATATTTACTGCCTTTAATCCAGTAACAGTATTAAAAGTCAGTTAGTTAAACATTTGATACAAATTTTTACACCTACGTTTTCCAAGATATTTTATAAATTAAATTACGTGCGATGATAAAGAGAAAGTCCAGCTTCGATAGTTTTAATCACACAAATCCTAACTCTCGATACAGCGGACCAAGGTGGACTCTTGGTGCATTTTCGTAAGCTTTCGGTCTTCGATAGAGTAAGCTGCATTTGACATATACCTGACGACACACTGCGTTTAAACAGAGGAAAAACCTGAAATAACATTTATCCATTTGCACTCTTGCGTTGTTTAATAAGCTGCGTAACGTAGTCTTCACGTTTCCGTCTTAGATTCTGTAGTTGGACTGCCTTTGGAAAGCTTTTTCCTATGTTTTTCAAAATGTTTGTAAAAAGAAATTTGCAACTTTTCTCTCCTTTTATCCGCCGCAGCCTGAAAGTAAGTTCATGATAATTATTGCACGTTTGTGGCAGGCAATATTTTGCCTCTGCATTCTCCAAACCCAACTCTGTAGCCATTTCCTTGGCAGTATCCAGTCATAATCACTTCATCTCCATCCTGAAGGAACTTTCTGGTGACACCTTCTCCCAGATCTAGTGGTTTAGTACCCTTCCAAGAAAGTTCCAGCATCGAACCGTAAGAATCCGGCGTCTGAAAATACAATGTGAACGCACACATATTATATGTCATGTAACAAATTCAAGATACCTAACATGAATAAGCCATGGATAAATATTTTTGCTTTCGAAACTACGCCAGAATATGAGTCAAGGAAAACTTAACCTGCCAGCGAATAAAGAGCCTCTAGTAAACTCGGACTCGATGTCATATGCTGGCAGAAGTTTGCTGTTGATTCTTGTTCGTCCTCCCAGAGGTTTCTCTTGGGGAACTCTGGTTTTCCTTTCCCCAAAGAACATTTGTAGAATTCTACTTCTGTTGGAGATATGGTAGACAAAGTACCACAGAGTGGAAAGTGGATGTGTTCCTACTGAGTCAGCATATTACTTGTTGATTCATTATTATTTTTTTATCATTTACTTACTTATAGATTTATAACAATGTTCGCATATCCGACTGCGCTTAGTTACCAACAACACGAAGGCGCTCTTCTGCAGTTTGGTGTCAAAGGGGGAGGGGTAACGAAAGGAATACGCGAAATGTGTCATGAACTATCACAATTACAAAGGGACTGTCTGATCGACTGATAAAACAATGTTTTTAACCACCGTAAATTATTTAATTGCTGCATATATAAAAACACCTCACCTCTCCGCTGATTGTACCGGACCCCATAAGATCCCCAGGGCGAACATTACACCCTGTCACTGTGTGGTGAACTAACTGCTGTTTAGGTGTCCAGTACATATTCTGTAAGAAAAATAATTTATTGACTACACTGAACAACCAAACTAGCCAGGTTCAAGCTAAGATTGCACTTGTTGCTGTTCAACTTATTGCTACGAAATGCCTCCGAAGATTCCACGCCGTACGGTTGCTCAAGTTGCATTGAAAATTTATGCTAATGACCTGGAAGCCTTGAGTTTTAGTTTGTCGGGTTATGGCCTCTGATACACACGTCACACTACGAGATCTCTTATCCGTCAACGTTAGTGGAGTGGAATGCGCGCGGACGGAGAACGGCGAAGGCGTGAGTGGCCGTGCGGACTAAGAAACAAGGGATAATGCTTGCTGCATCCTAGATTTTTGAATAGTCTACAATTCTAACAATGGCTCAGAAAATAACCTAAGGTAAATTCTTGACGTTACACACTAGGGATCCAGCAAACAAAATCATTTTTTGGTGACTTTTTTGAGCCGCAACCAACTAGATGGGCCAAGATTAACATGTAGTACACACGCATTTTATGGACCCTGTAATAAGCCCCTTTTCTCCCGCGAAGCCAGCCTTGCTTGTCAGGTACTGATTAATCCAGACAAAGTTTCCACTTCTATTAGAAATCACTTAAGTACGGTATTACTATTTGTGATTGGAATTGTTGTCGAACTTCTCCACAACGGCCACCTCGGGGACAGAAGAAAGTGGCCGTTATGGGTAGGTAGCCGTTATGGGGAGGTAGGGGTGAAAAATGACAAATTTATTTAGGGGAGTACAAAATGTTTATTTTGCCAAGTTTATGATTACTGTATCCTCTAATGGTAACCTAATCATATATAATACATAGAGATAAAATACACAAAGTACTTAAATAATGTTTTGAATTGATATGTTAACATGACAAAACGAGCAAGGCTCGCAACATTCGCTATAAGTGTTATATTGCCAAGTTCCTAGGCCTCATTATTACGCGCGCCCAAAGCGTTTCGGGTCACGTTGTCCATTCTCCTCGGATACGTCACCGAAGTGATTTGACCGAGAGGGACTGGGAAAACGCCGTACAGGGACTAGGCATAAATTGTTATAGACAATCTATGCTTACTGCAACAGAGTAAATGGAACACTATCAAAATATGACTGCCGCGATTAAATCATCAACGCGCCACTAGGGTCAAATTTCGCGACCATTCCTGACTTTTTCGTCAGTCGCTAAAAAACTGGCCGTTGTTGAGAGGTTATTTTTGGTACAAACATTAACAACAAAGGACTGCAAAGGACCGCAAACGAATATGCCGAAGAACGTAGGATCTATAAAGACCTGATGAGCAAAAATGACAAGTAGACATATTAAATTCTGCAAGCAGAATACTGCAATGCTGATCGTACTACGTAAGAATTAACTCTGCAAGAAATCAACACGACACCGAAAGAACTCAAAACAGAGCAGGATTTTAGCCATAGACATCTGTCTCGCCCTTTTTGGGGATCGTCAGTATGGCGCAACAACCAGAGAAAGCTCTGGTGAAAAATATCCGCGCACTCTATTTCTGGTAGTAGAGGACGTGCTGTACAGAGGTTTAAACAAGAGTCAATGTATGGACTGCACGCCAGGACAAAAGAAATTGGGCCGTTGTGGAAAGGTCGCCCTTAGTGGACGTTCGACTGTAGCTTTTTCACAGAGGGCACAAAACGTTATCTTTATTTCTCACCTTAAAATTGGTTGTACAGATAGTTACAGGACGCTCGATATTTTCACCTGGGTAAACAAAAGTGAACACTAGATATATGTACGTGCGCCACTACTTCCATTTGGAAAAAAAGGTTGGTAGATAATGTCATAGAATAGAAGCACGTAAGGATGAAGCGGGAACCGGGAGGCAGAGGGACCGGTATCATGTTTTTTAATACTCCTGACTGAAGGAAAGATCCCGGATAAAAAGAGGAAATTGCTGAGGAACCGTTCCTTCTCCCAGCGCGAGTATAGTAGCAACCGATGTTGTCTTAGATGAATTGTTTGGTTTAAAGCTGTCGAGGATTTCTTTCAGTGCGTGCATCGTAAAGATAGTACGATACAAACTGTGCCTGTGGATGTGATACCGGTATTCTAAGTAATTTTCTACATACAGTTTAAGGAAACTTCCAGGTTAACATCAAAAGTGTAAGGATCCGTGTGCTGGAGGTATGGCAGTGGGGTGGGTTCCTAAAATATTGAAGATAAAAAAATATATTTTAAAACAAGTATACACTTTTTAAAAAATACTTACTGTTAGTGCATGACCTAAACAAACCTAGCGCATTCATAAGAGTATTGCTTTATACGAAAACCGTACGTCTGGTTACGAAAAAAGAAGTTTTTTTTAGGAGGAAAACTGGCCGTGTTAAAGATAAGCAAAACCGCGTTAAAACCTTTAAAACGTCGGGCTGGTGCACAAAATGTCTATGACGGTTCAAGAAGCGATCAAATATTGAATTGAGTGGGAAATAGTTCTCAACTTGTTAAATCTCAAATTGGCTAGAGCAACAGGAATTATCAGAGCAATGCTTTTTATTTCCACACTGTTTATTTCTTCAGATTTAGACAGGGGGGGGGCAAAGAAGAAAATGTTTTCTGAGACAGATTTCAAGATCGTTAACTTTTAATATACATCGTTACTATTTAGCCCACAACATATAAGATACGTACACAAACGAAGATAACGGACTCACCTGCACTGGATTTGCAATAGCAAAGTCTTGGAGAGCATCCATGGTTACAACCCAGGGCGAAATAGTAGTTGCAAAGTTTTTGCCGAGAAATGGACCCAAAGGAACATACTCCCACTTTTGTATATCACGAGCTGGAATTGGAAAAAAAATTAATAACCCGTGCAAAACATCCGCCTTTTGGATGCTACAATTCCCTGATATTGGTACCTTTAGGTCACTTATAACAAATACATACATGCCTGCCTTCACTTCTCAGTTTTGGGGAACCGTAATACGCCACTTGTACATCTCCCATAATGCACCTTATTTGCCCCTCTCCACTCCCCCCCGCAAATTTTGCATAACCTTTGTTTTTCATTCCTCCTGGGTATTATAACCGTCCCCAGAGAAATTGAAAACAATGCTTATGCAAATTTTGGTGGGCAATAGGGTGCATTAAGGGAGATGTGCAAGTGGGGTATTCACGGTTCTGCACTGAGGTGAAGGCTTTCCCCACTATGGCTTTCATACTGGTGTGAAAACGTCGTACCTACCAGGATACGTTTCGGTCTTTCATGAGAACGATTTCAATGGTTAACGATGTCAATGGTTATTTGTACGAACAGCACATTTACACATCACAGAGATACATTAGATTTCGTGCATAGTTAAACAAATACAAGGCCATAAAATGGACTGGAGACAAGCTCTGTAATGCCAGTAATGGTACAAATGTTGTACCAGTATCTAGGAAACAAACATTTTAAATCACTAAACATTTTGGAACGGGTGACCGATAAATATGTACGTAAAAAAGTGATGAATTTCACGCATACATGTATGCTGTAAATGAAGCAAAATTAGTTAGCCAAAGTAAAAATTCCTGTCGTTATACAACCTCTCTTGAGATGGCATTAACTTACCACTCCAGTCGTTCATAATAACCATTCCAAAAATGTGTTCTTGTGCCTGAAAATTTACAAATTAAAATCAACAGTTTGTTTTTGCTCCTTAAGTAAATCTATGTACAACATTTTGCTGATGCAGGTAGAAAATGTAATAACCTATTATTCACTTGCATATGATAATTTATAGAAAAGTGCAATTTAACACTTGTAGATAAACACATATCCAAGTTAAATCAAGTTAAACACTTGTTCTTCATTTCTCTCAAATTTTCTCACTATAGTGGTGCATGTTTATCAGCTCGCAGAGGGTACTGCTAAGCTTGTCATCCGAAAGGTTTCATAAGCTTACACAGTTTACATTTCATAATTTACCTTTGCATTCTGAAAATAGAGCCTGATTTCAGATTAGTGCATGATGAGTCTTCGGTAAGATACAAGTGTTAGCTTGATTCAGTCATATGATGTGGCTATATCCACACCAACACTGTGAAACACTTAACAATTATTCCACGAGCCAAAATTGAATACCAGGTGGTAAATAGCTCGTGACGTACAAAGCATAGAGTTATCTTTCACTAACCACGTATTATCCAATAAGGACAAATGGAATAATTGTTTCAATTACATTCTCAACCTTCGCTTTCGGCCCATTTTTATTAATCTCCCCTGTAACTGTACGGGATTCAGGCCGTTGGCCGGTCTAAGTAAATCACTGGCACTTTTGCACTCATTTTCCATATAAGAGACCGATCATAAAGTACGGGGGCGGGGGGCTACAAAAAATCATTTTAAGTACCGGTTTTTGTGGCCCACCTCCGAATTATTTGAAAAAATTGAGGTGGCCTACCCCTTGAGTGGCATAGAAAAACTTAGTGGCCCACCCCCGAAACAAAATTAGTCATGTGGATAGGTACGTAGGCAACATTGGCTTACCACTTTAATCAGAATCTCCAAAAAAATCTCCTCGATCGAAATGTTGTAACACTTCGTCCCACTCTTGAACAGAATTCATCTTCTATCCTATAAGTCGCTTCTTTATCATCATCATCTTCGCTGGAACTTCCAATTTCTTGAAGAACGACATCCTAGTCTTTGTTGCTGTCATCATATTCTTTGTTGTCACAACCATTGCTGTCATCATCAGTGTCATCTGCATGAACACTATCATAGTCATCATCGTTGTCGTCCACTCTCTACTCCTCGTCGCCATCATGAAAATCGACATTTTCTTCCACATTAACCTTTCTTGCAGGTTGCTGACAAGTTGCTTTGTCAAGCTGGGATTTGGCTAAACAAGTTGAAATTAACGCTAGCTTCTCGTTTTTCTTCATTTTCTTATTTCTCAATTGGTGCTTTTCCAGAAAGAGATTTTTCAGTGTCCCTGCGATGAACACAGTTTCTCTCTGACGTTTACTGTGACCTTTTCGTTTTGATCTCTGGGGTGTCCTTCTGGTGAAGTGATCGGAGTTTGGTCAAATGCTAAATATTTCAGACCTGGTGTAGCCGTTTCATCAGGCTTTGGACGTGGAACCCGGTGCAATGAATCGCTGGAAAGAGGAAATCTCATGCGGAACTCGTCAATGGAAGTGGTCGCGAAATGCACGACATTTTGTTTAAAAAATTTCATTCTGAAGGCAGACGCCCGTATGATCTTCACTGCCAGCTTTCAGCTATCTCATTGCAAGCAGCAATTGCAAAAGGTGGTTCAGAAGAGGAACCCTTAAAGCCAACTGACCGTCATACAAGTAATCAGAAGATTAAAAGACCACAGAATTATTGAAAGAGAAATCTGAGAAGCTGAAGAGCAGTATCCAGAGAGAGAATGCCCAGCGGTTCACCAAGTCTGGGAAAATCATCACTGGGCAAGGGTGGGTGCAATGCTTCTGAATCAATGAAACATGTTTGGGAGTAATTGCAGAATTGCAAAGAAACTTCAACCAGACTTTGATGAGAGTAGAGGCCCAGAAAGAAAAACACAAAAGATACTTTTGTGTCTTAAAAGAGAAGAGTGAAAGAAAACAAAGCTAAAGCTAAGAGGCGCCGCCGTGAAAGGGCAGAGAAAAACTGTTAGAGAGTGTTATCCACCACATTAAGTTAACCATCATCTTATGGTGGTGTTATAAACTCGGATCATTGTATCATGATAGACCTTAAAAGCTTCAAAAAGAGAGAAGGTCGCTGGTTAAAGCCATTGATAAATAAAGGCAAATTTACAGTGGATGCTATCGAAACAATCAAAGGATATGTGTCACCAGTTTTGTTGAGTGTTAGAAGATGATAGTGATGATGATGTTGATGATAATGACGATGATGATGGTAATCCTCCTGATGATGGTAATGGAGAAGATGATGATTAGAAGAAGACAAAAGATAAAAAATATGTTGATAAAGTTTAGCTTGACGAACAGTGAAAATGCTGTGCCCACGTAGTAAAGCTTTGTTCTATATTTTATACTACAAAAAGCTTTCTGTGATTCCTTTTCAGGTTTATAGGTTATACATATGTAATTGGAAACAAAATGTGTATGTGAATTCCTGTATGAGCTCTTGAAGCAAGTACAGCGCTCAAATGATAGAACAGCAAGCCTTTCCACTGATGTTAAGAACCTAAAGGAAGATATGAAGCAGTGCAAGAAAATAGGGCGCGAAATTGAAGACCTCTCTCAATACTTGCGCCGCGACTGCTTGGAGCTGACAGGCGTTTTACCAACCGAAGAAGTATCTTGTTTTGACCTTGTTTGTTCTATTGGGAAGGAAATGGGTATCGAGCTGCAAGATGAAGACATCTCCACGGCCCACCGTTTACCCACTTACAATAAAAGTGCAGAAGACAAGATTATCGTCAAGTTTACGCGTCGCAGTATTCGGGACGAGTTTTACGGAAAGAGGAAAACAATCGCCGGCAAAGAAGTTGGTAAAGTTGGCACTCTACGGGATCTTTCTCAAGACCCAAAGAAGAAATTATATATCTCCGAGTCGCTAACACAAGCAAGAAAGAAATTGTTTGGCAGCATCGACAAGTTTAAGAAGGACAACAAGTGGAAATATATTTGGACCAACAACGGGCGAATATACCTCAAGCAAGGAGACGGGGAAAAGCGTACGTTCACATTCAACTACGCAGACGAGTTCGCTGACTTCAAAAGTAAATTTCCTCTTGGATAAGTGAAGTCTATTTTTTTCTTTTATTTAGTAGGTGCATATGCCCAAATTTTGCTGTTTCTAGTACCGATCCTGGTAAGTCATTCAGTTGGAACTGTTCAAGTTATTTAATTATAATCACTTGACACGACTGTGAATTATTTATCGGAACTGCCATTTTATGGCTTAACAGACAGGCGAGAATTCGCGAAAGCTGTGGGATCATGGGTGTACGATACTGTTCTTACGCTTGAAGAAAGAGATTTATTTGAGAACGTTCTTGAAAGCCCTGACAAAAACGATCAGTTCTTGAATATCTTAGGAAATTTAAAGATAGAGTCAAAATACTACACAATCAAGCAATCTGGCACGTGCTTTCAAAAATTTAACACAAGAGGCTTCTCAATATTCAATTGTAATATTCGGAGCTTAGGAAAGAATTTATGTCTGCTTAATGATATTTTGATAACCGTGAAGGAAATGCCTAGCATTATAACTATTTCTGAAACTAAGCTAAACGACAATAATCAGCATCTTCACAATATTAATATACCTGGTTACAATTTTGTTGGTGTGAATTCTAGAACGAATGCTGGGGGAGTTGGTATTTACATAAAACAAAACCTGAATTTTTTTCGCAGGCGGGACCTAGAGTTTTCTTCTGACGGTTTTGAAACGTGCTTTGTTGAACTACCGAAAGGCAAAAGAGTATTATTATTAGTTCCATCTATAGACATCCTCACGGCACCGCCGAAAATTTCTGCGAACTTCTTAGGCAGAAATTAAATCATTTGAACAACTGCGGTTATGAAGTGTACATAGCCGGCGATATTAACATTGATTTTTACAAATATCACAGTGATAAGTTTACTTCTGAATATCTTGATATGTTATTCGATTTGGGCTACATGCCTCTTATCACAAAAAGCAACCCGGATAACCGATCACAGTGCTACTCTCATTGACCACATCTACTCAAATTCACCACAAAAGTTTTAAAGTCTGGAATCTGCTTGGCAGATCTCTCAGATCATTTGCCATGTTTTTGTTCAATAGCCACCAAACGTCCAGATTACGCAGGTGACAGGTATTATAGGAACTATTCAAGATTTAATGAAGCCAGATACCTAGCTGACATAGCCACGGTAGATTTCTGTAGTTTAGTTACTAATGATGTGAATGACAGTATGGCAAAAATTATTTCTACATTAGAAGGAATGACTAACAAACATGCACCCATTGAAAGAGCATCACGATGTAAACGAAAACTATTAAGAAAACCTTGGATTTCTAAAGGAATATTTCAATCTGTTAAACAAAAGCAGCGTTTGTTTAAAACTCATTTTTTTTCTGGCGACCCCTTAAAATTAAATATTATAAAGCTTACAATAATAAGCTTACTAAAATCAAGGACTTAGCCAAGCAGAAATACTTTAAGGAACAGTTTGAAATTAACAAAGACAATATGAAAACAACATGGAAAATGATTGACTTATTAATAAATAGAAAGAGAAAAACTCCCCTACAATAAGTAAGATAGTCTATAACAACAAATGTTATACATCTAAATTGAGCATATGTAATCAGCTCAATACATATTTTGTTAATGTAGGCCCAACTTTATCAGCGCAACTACCAAATCATATTAACTCTAATCCTACAAGATATATTACCAGAAATTTTCCAAACAGTTTTATGTTTAGGTATATTCACTCGCATGAAGTGCGTGACTTAATTACGAACCTAACAACTGATAAGTCATGTATAGGAGTCCCTGCAAAGTGCTTTAAGGTGGCCGGAGATCACATCTATGAGGCAATGACTAAAGTCTATAATCTTTCCATAGAGCAAGGTATTGTGCCTGACATTCTCAAAATTTCCAAAGTAACTCCAGTGGACAAAGGTGGTGATATCACTGACCCGACTAACTTTCGCCCTATCTCAGTACTTTCTATATTTGCACAGATTTTTGAAAAGCTGGTATGTAAACAGTTAAAAGCTATGTTGAAAAATATGCCATTTTAAGTCAATACCAGTTCGGCTTCAGGAAGGGCAGATCGACTGAACAAGCCATTCTAGAAATCACTGACAATTTGAAACAAGCAATAGATAATAACTTACTCACATGCGGAGTCTTTCTCGACTTCGCTAAGGCCTTTGATACTGTCAACCATGCTATACTGTTAAATAAATTAGAGAAATACGGTGTTCGGGGAATCCCATTGAGTTGGTTTACTAGTTATCTTACCAATAGACAGCAATACGTTAGCATTGACGGTGTGGAATCTTCTAAACAAACTATTAAATGTGGTATCCCGCAAGGCAGTTCTCTTGGTCCCCTCCTTTTTCTACTATACATTAATGATATCCCTAACTGCTCCGATAAATTGTCCTTTAGAATATTTGCAGATGATACCAATATTTTTGTGTCTTCCTCAAATGCCGTGGAATTACAAAACTTAATTAACCATGAATTATCCAAAGTTAAAGAATGGTGTGACTTAAACAAGCTATCCATCAACTTAAAGAAAACTAATTATATGATAATTAAATCACCTAAAAAGAAGACAAATATATCATGGGATGTAAAATTAACTAACAATGATGGCTCCACCTACGGCTTAGAAAAGAGAACTTACATAAAATATTTGGGCGTACTTATAGATGACACGCTATCATGGAAACATCAGGTGTCTTATTTATGTACTGAATTTCTAGAAACACAGGAATTGTTGGCAAACTCAGACACTGCACCTCCCTTTTACAACTTAAACAACTATACTATAACCTGATCTATCCTTATATATCTTATGCGATAACCTCCTGGGGCAGTGCATTTACTACTCAAATTAAAAAAAAATCCAAACAAAACAAAATCATGTTATCCGCGTTATGTTCTTTTGCCACCTTGTTTGGACCAGATACAGACAGTGCATTACCATTACTTAATTTATTGGATTTACTTACTGTTACAAATATCTATAAACTACAGCTTCTTAACTTCACTCATCAGTGGCATTCTAAAAATTACCAAATATTTTTAATCAGCATTTTCGCTATGCAAGTGAAGTCCATACATATAATACGAGATATGCTTCAAAAAGTAACTTCTACAAACCACGTTCCAGGACCAATATTGGAAAGCAAACAACAGCGGCTATGGCGACCGAATTGTGGCAACAGCTCCCTACCCATATAAAAAGACCTTTCAACTTATAACTTTCCTAAAACATTAAAAGAATACTTGTTGGCCGAACAATTAACTTACTGAAATTATTTTATTTTAATCATATCGTCATGTACTATGATGACTGTTTTTCTTCTTTTTTTTTTGCCATCTATGTGCTTTTTTTTTTTTTTTTTTATGGTGTGTGTCTTAAGATGTTTTGTATGTCTAGTTATTGTGATGTCCTGTACATTCGACACTACTTTCAAAGAACTAGTTGCTAGCTCGAAAACCTTACGGTTATCTAGCCGCTAGGCATTTCCTTCTATGTAATAATATTTAGTTTAAATTGTAATTGAATATTCTACGTGTTAAGTTACTAATTATTCAATAAGTTTGACAAACCCTGTAATGGAAATGTGAATAAAGTGTTGTTGTTGTTGTTGTTGTTGTTGTATAAGATCAAGTAACGTTTGTTGTTGTTAAGTAAAGTTGTGAGATGTGAATATTTTTACCATGACCCACCCCTACTGCAGTGCATTATTTTTCCTGACCCACCCTTTCTGTCATGATGAAAAATAGTGACCCACCCCCAATTTTTCATACCCCCCCGTACTTTATGACCGGTCCCTAAGGTCAAATGTAGGTCTAACGTTCGATAACTGCTATTTAATGAAGCAATGGGAAATCCCGGAAATGCATTTTCCTAGGTTGAGAATTTAATAGAAGAAAGTCAGCACTTCAAACTGCCTCCGTAGAATCTTATGCCACTTGGAAACATAAATAGTTGCATGTGTACCTTTTCAATAGTTATTGGTTCTCCTAGATTATTTCCAGGACCACAAAAGAATGCCTGTTGACATAAACAACAAAATCAGTCTACCTGTTAATCAATTAGAGCTCTAAGTAAAAGAACTACTGCATTTAACACTGTAACTCCCGCCCGGTAAGCTCAGTTGGAAGAGCGCTGGTCTGCCTAGCGGGAGCTCGTGGGTTCAAATTTCGAACGAACCAACAAGAAGAGTCTTAAAAAAAAAATTAATAAAATCTCCCCGGCTAGGATTCAAGACCTTGTCTCAGTAAAGATGATCGCAGCCTTTTATTGGGCGGTGACGTTGTCCTATTTTATACTTCTTTCATTGGTCAATTCGAAGGGAACGTACAAGAACTCACACTTTGTCAAGTGTTCGAAAAGTGCAGGAGACGTTTCCCGGTTATGTGGTCACACATCATTCATATCATGATGGGTTGGGTGGGTAACAGTAAGCTGTGCCGCATAAATAAACATATAGACTGGAGCGATTTTCGTATGACCTTGAAAAATGGTTTCGCTAAGTGTTCGTTATTTGTTTCATCAGCCAGTGGATGAAAAGATTAAAACATGGACTCTTCGTTTTCCCGCCGAAGAAAACCTTAATATGGAGAAGGAATTGTTCGATTGGTTAATTGAATAACAAAACAAAAAACAAACAAAACAAATTTTATTGAAAATTGGAAAATAACTGATTACATTACTTTCCCACCCGGAAATAGCTTATGAACTAATCGAGGCGGGGGGAGCTGAAGACATATTACAAAACAAGATTTATATATAGATGGACTAAATAACAGTGAAGACACTACAAAACAGTAAATAGAATTTAAACTAACATAAAACAAGGCATGTACATAACGATTACGAAGAGAGGCTAACCTAAAGTATTAAATAACTTGATAAGACGGGAGACTTCGACATAATCATCTTCTGACCGCAAAACATTTAGTAATAATTCCTTTATTTTTTTACGAAAGGACGAACGTTTAAGTATTTTAATCGAATACGGAATAGAGTTCCAAATTTGGGCACCGATTCTCGTGAAAAAGGCATACATTTTATCGGTTCTAGAGAACTTAACATAAAACGAGTCGCTAGAGACAGATCTTGTTCTGTAGTTATGAATCTGACTTGTTTTAACGAACTGATTGAGAATACTAACTGGTGCTGTCTGTCTGTTGATATCATACAATAAATAGCTACAATCTCTGAAAAATATGCTAGGTAGGGGAGGGCAATTTGATTTGAGAAACAAGGGTACGGCGTGTTCCTTAGACTTACTGAAGTAAATGAGTCGTAAGGCCCGTTTTTGTAGAGTTACGATCATTCTTTGAAATGTCAAGGCACAATTTCCCCAACCACAAATACCATAAGTCAAGTAAGGGACAATTAATGAGTTGTAAACTGAAAGTAAAACACGACGCGGTATTGCAGTATGACGTCAACGCGAAGTATCGATTGATTTCTAGAAAGTTCTCGGGCATGAAGTTTTTTCACCTGAGCGTTCGCTTAACCAACCAAACGCCACGCGCGTTTGTGTCCGTTCTATAAACCAATCAAATCGCTCTTTATCCGTTTGTTGTTTCTGTTTTGTTCGCGCGTTTTCAGTTCAAGTTCATACGACAATCGCTCTAATGTAATGAGGATACGTCCCTTTGGACATTGCTTAAAGTTGTAGATATGCTTAGCTATACGGCTTGTTTACAGATATCCCTTGGAAAGAATAAAAGCAAAAAACAGAAAATATGAATTTGAATTACAAACTACTACATGTAAGATTCTGGATTAGCTATGATACAATAATTCACAACTCCTTTAGCTGAAATTATGATTCAACAATAAAAGTTATCATAATCCCAAAAATATATAACTTTTAAACGCCGACCCTGCTAACAAACTCCTTAATTCCGGCTAAGCAGGCAAATTATCAGGCAACGAATTCCAGTGTTTGGCGAAATAATAGAAAAAATTTAAGAGATATTTGGTGCTATTCACCCGTGGTATAGACGATACATTTACAACCCACAGATTGTAATTACTCGTTCTTGCATTAAGAAAACACTTTCCAATTTGTAAGGCCTGAGAGCTTAAGCAAGGAGAACGCTAACGTCCCGGACGTCGTGAATAGCAACCGGAATCTGAATGCCTTTGTTTTGACTCCCGCTGTACGAATTTATCGAGTCAGTGCACAAAATATCAACTTCCGGTTGTCATTTTTGACTTCCGGGACGTCAAAATTCTCCTTGCCTAAGGTCCCTAATATATCATTTGGCCACGTGTCTACATTTTTTTAATGCTTTAAAGTAATAAATATAATTATTAAATTTTTAGAAAATGCTAGACATTTTAAACATTGTTTACACTGTATCTTTTTAAAATCAATTTTAAGTAGTTTTGGATTTCTAAAAGGGTTCTTGGCAAGTACAATAATCAAAGAGAGCTACTTCCAAAAGAAACACAAATATGTTTAAAATAAGAAGGCGATGTAAGGAATAATTAAATATTTATTTAGCATCTTATGGTCACCTCTGTACGTGTATGTTATGTAATGACATACCATTTCAAGCTCAAAATCCAGTAATTTGCAGGGTCCAAAAACTGGAGGTTTCGCTGTAAACATTGAGATTAATTATTTAACTCACTGTGGTGTGTGCTTGATACTATAAATGTTTATATCTGTACCCAAGAGCCATAATAGTCCTATTATGGCTCTTGCTGTGCCTGATTCGTAACCAAAACACTTGGACATAACGATTGGTCACAAAGTCCACAAGACTTGGAATGAAGATTAGCGCAGAGAAAAGAGATATTTAAGACAGCTTTGCTGTAATAATCTGGAGAGAAACCCTCGCTCTGAGTAGTTTTCACACTCAGTTGGAAATGAAAACAATTGACCAAGGTCAGGGTAAGGGATAATGACCTTAATACTTGCTGTAGGTGAAAGGTAATTAGCTGTTGTTCCCGGCTACACAAACAAGGTTTGCTAACAAGTCACAAGATCGTTTATTTCTGTAAATCATTTCCAGAATGTCTTAACATATTGTTATTCATACGTATCTTCTCAGCAATGTTTTAGTTTAAGTCGTCATGTCATTTGGCCAATTCCTGGATATTTGTTACATTAACACAATAGGTCAGGAGTGATAGGGGATACTTGCAGTTAAGGTTAATCAAGTCTGACATGCAAACTTAACACTGCAGTACTTACTGTCATCGGATCTCGTCTGTCCTAGAGGTCGTCTGACAGGAGTCCCGGATATCACAACTGAAGATGCTCTTCCATGATACCCCACAGGCAAATGAACCCTATTATGATAAACCAAAAAAATAGTCAAAATTGTTGTCAGCTCTGGGGCCCGTTTCTCGAAAGTCCCGGTAACTTTACGGGCCCGAAATCAAATATTCAAATCGAAATATAAAGAATAAGAGCGCGGGTCCTGGCAAGCAAACTACTCCATTTTGTTTCATTAACTGACAGTTTTATCGTGTTAGATGCAAAACCATTGAAATCTCGATCTTTAATGCAAACGGAGACCGCTTACCGGGCCTGTTAATTATCGGTACTTTCGAGAAACGGGCCCCAGAACCCTACTTGTAATTTTGTTAACGCTAGATGGATTACAATTAGACTACGAGCAGTCTCTCTTTTTTCTGTAGTCTGTCGAGCAAAACGCGAGACACGCAAATGGCCACGCCCGTGACTGATGGCGCGAGATGGGAGAGGCACTGCCGCCTTCGTTTCGCGCGTCTCGCGGGTTCGCCGCTCCCGCGCGCGTGCATTGCTCTCACTAAATCTGAAGAAAAATAGAGACTGCTCGCAGTCTAGATTACAATCAGTTGTCTGAAGTATGTGCAAATGTGCAACCTTCGATTCAATACTGTCAAATGTCAAACATAATTATTTTGTTGCTCTAAAATTTGTTAAAACTATCCCAACCCCTCTCTTTCAGGGAAAAATTTAATACTCTGTATATTTCATAATCTCTTCACATTGTTCTTTGGCTGCATGCTAGGAAGTAAGATATTGTTCGAGTGAGGCCTTTTTACTGCTGCAATTAAATATAAAGATGGAAATTTGACCTATGGCCAATCAATGGCAACATCAGGGATGATGAGATGGTGATCCTGTAGATTAGTAAAAGCTAGGATTTTATTTTATCCTTCATTACAGCAGCTGAAGGCCTCATTACCTCGGCGGAGCGCGAAGTAAAGGATTCGCGACGCTCAGGAATGTATCAAAGTTGACTTTTTTTGACACGATTGGGCAAGCAAAGTCTGTAGGTTTTCGGTTTTATTCGGCTATTTGACGAAGTGAGAACCGAATTAGTTCGAGATATCTCGAGATCACTTCGATTTCTTTGATTTATTCTTTAAATTTTTCGAGGAAGAAAGAATTATTATTTTGGCCTTCCCGAGGTTTGAACCGACTCACCTGTGTGACCCGTTGGATCAGAGGAGACTCTAAGTTGAGGGATCAGCCGATTGCGCTACTCGGAGCCAAGATAGTTCGGCAAATGAAAAATAGTTACCAAATTATGCACTAGTTTCGGGACAAGCTTGGGCGTACAAGTTTGTGACTTTTCGGCTTGTTTCGGCTATTTCACGAAATGAGACCGGACTACTTCGGATCGGGATATCTTGAAATCACTTCGAGTTTAGTCTTTAATTTACTTGAGGAGTAAATAGAGGATATTACGTGGCCGCACAGAGACACGAAATTTCTCTTCGAGTGTTAAAAAACACTTCACGAGTGAGCACACCTTTGGAACTGTTTTATGATGAATTTAAAGTTACAAAATGCTGCACAAAGACATTTTGTCTTTGTTGAGTGTAACGTAGAAAAATCATGCGTTGCGTGACTTTCTCGAACGTTCTGTACGTTTTTGGATTAATCATGAATAATTGATTAGGGCATGTTTACATTTCAGAATGAGTTAGAAGATTTGCATCAGTCACTGAAATCACAAAATATGTCGAAAAGCTACTACTATTTGCCTGTTTAGTATTTTCTAGAACCTTATCTCAACCGGCATACAAGTTCCAAGCGAGTTCTTTTGAAGAACTAAGTTTTTTCCCACGAGCTGGACTGCTGTGTTAAGTCAAGTGTGACGAAGGTCGATTTTCAAGTTCTGTGTTTACAAGTTGGTGGAAGCCGTAAGATATCTGAAGTTCAAGTGAGAGTTTTGTTATTATTGGCAGAGGCTGTTTAGTTTTACTTAAGTTCAAGTCAAGTTTGTGTTGGCGGATGCTGTGTTTTAAAGCCCTGTAAAGGCTATGTTCCTCTGGTATTAAACTTCCTTGTGTTAATCAGACATCCCTGCGCGCTGATAGTCAGTGAATAATTATCCTCAAAACATTCGAACTCGGAACATTAAGTTTTAGCCAATTCCATGCACAAGGTAATTGACTCCTTACCCATGAGATTGCTATGCTGTTAAATTTAAGCCTGATGTGACTAAGAAAAATAGAGAATTCTTTTTTCACTATTTGTTTTGTTAGACTTGTTATTCACCGCCAGTAACCTCATTTTTGACCTAGGTCTAAACGTTTAGAGCCAAGTCAAATTTAGAAGGATTTGTACGGAGTCATCAGAGCATAACTGGGCTAATATCTCACAGACCATTTGGCCCGAAATGCTAGTTTTTGGCAAGAAGGCCTCTTGGATATTACTCTTTTCAGAATATCCTGACAAATCCCATAACTTCACAAATTAAAACCTTACTCTTACCATATTTCATTTCTTACTATTTCTCCGCATTTACAATTAATCAGTTCCACAACCACGACGCCGAAGTGTACGCTCCATAGCGTCTTGTTCGAACAATATCTTACTTTCTTTTATTTCGGTATATCATTTATAGTTTCACAAATACCGTAAAACCTACACTTACCAGTTTGGCATTAAAGCATTTTCCTTTCCCCTAAACATCGTACCAACATTTGTTGCATGGTTTTTGGATGAATAAAAGTCTGTATAATCACCTGAAATACAACAGCACTGTAATCAGGAAGGGAGAATGAACATAAAGATCACTAGAACTTCATAATAATAATAATTTCAAATATAAGGTAGGAGTTGCAGGTGGGTTTGGTGGGATTAGATGAAACCTAATTGAAGTGCCCTGATTTTGTTCAACAGATAAGTGTGAACTCCATGAAAATACACTCTTATAACTGCCACAAAAATATTCTAGAAAACGGTAAATTGGTAAAAGCAGGTTTTTGTTAAAAAAGTAGCACATGTTTTGTAGAAATAATGTAAGCAATTAGAAACGTTTGATGCTGACTACCCTCCGGCAGGGAAGAGGTAACTGCAGTTGTGATGGACAGATATGAAGTGAAATTGAAGTCCTCTGTGTTCATTTAATTCAACAGCCGGAAACAGAATAGTGAGATAAGACAATCTCATAAGAAGACACAACTAATCAACAAAATACTGGGAAAAGGTCTTAAGATAGTTGACCTCTTTCCCTTCAGTGCAAGTATCTAGCCTCTCATTTGCCATCCAGAGCATGTGATAGGGCTAAGGAAAAAGTGCCAGTTGCAAAACCAGTACCAGATTTTACTGCCTCTCCCCCTGCCAGGGCAACTAAAACACTGCATCACAGAAACTGTATCTGGAGTACTCACTAACACCCAAGTTGATCAAAACATTCAGGTTTGGTGACCTCGTGCCCGGCAGAGTTTTGAATGAGAAGGTAATGATCTGAATTAACAATTAATGAAGAAATTGTTCCAGCCATTGAACAAGCTTCACATATATTGGGTTCTGCTGTACTTAAGATTTCCATTCAAGGCTTCAGCAGAGAATACATTAATTTCTTTATCAATGAATGACATGGAGGTCTCTTTGTTGCTGACTACTGTTGGCACCCTGGATGCCAGTTAACGAACTGGCAGGTTGACTTCCACCCACAAAATAAGTAGAAAACTCGATTTGCAGCTCTCAAGTTCTTATATAAACGTCATGTCATTTGGCTTATGTAATTCCCCAAGTACATTCCATAGAGTTAGAGGATCGGAAGTGTCATATAAAACTTACCTGGCATGTGAGATATACTTAACTTATTGTCATAGAAGGAGTCTTGTGGAGCATTTAGGAAGATTTGCCTCTGCACTTATTTTGTCTTGACAGACTTCTGTCCTAAATTCAAGATTAGAAGGTGGTGGAAAGCATCTGCACCTTGTATAAGAGTATAACTACACAAATGAAGTGTAGCGATAAGGACAATGTGTATGGGAAAGGAAAACACTCTCAACAACAGAGAAAAGAAAAATGGCTGTTACTTAATTAGGTTCAACAAACATTTTTATTCACAAAACCAGACGAGATGACATTAATTTATCCACAGTAGAACCTACCAGATCCACCTCTTTGCTGACATAACCAAGGGCCCATAATACAAGAGAGGCCATGCAAAGTCCAGCCTTTCAAGCTGGAATCTCCATCATGGCCTGAACAACAGTTCCCTAGTCTGCCTTAAGGACTACATAGTGGGAACACTTTCTCAGTGCCAGCCTACACTGGGTTTCTAGGGAAACACAAAGAGACTTCTTCTTGTGCAACCAAAGAACCCAGCGGTCTCTGTAAAAGAAGGCTGGATCCCAGTTCGTGTATTCAATTGCCTTAACAAGCCCTGCAAAACTTACAGATGCAGAGGTATAGGTGATCTCTACCCATTGGTCGGCGAGGAGGAATCATTCGAAGAAATCAGTGTGTGTGGGCTACAAGGTGGTAACCTCTAGGGATCCTGAGGAAGATGGTGAGGTAGGGTTGGAAAATAATCATTAGAGGGCGTTGACAGCGGAAGTTTCTCAGTGGAAGAGATGTTCCCTATTAACAATGATCTGGTTCCAGAGGAGAAAAAACGTAGGCATTGTGAGGTGTTGTCCACTTATCCCGACTGCATTTCGAAGAGGCCGTGGGATTTAGGTTCTGCAAAGGGAGTGAAACATACCATTGACACAGGCTCTGCCAAGGCAATTCAGATACCCCTTCGAAGAGTCCCGTTTCATAAAAGGCAAGAGGTGTATCAGCAAGTGGTAAAATGCTTGAAGCACAGATTATAGAGCCGTCCGATTCCCCTTGGTCCTCTCTGGTGGTTTTGGTGGCTAAACCTGACCTCCTTAGAGGTCATTGGTAGATCGATGTGGCAGAGCAAGATCGGGAGAAGACAGCATTTGCAACCCCAGATAGCCTTTACCAATTTTGCAAACTGAGTTTCGGCCATACCAATGTACCTGCGTGTTTTATGAGGGCTATGTACCTTATCTTGAAGGGTTTATGCTGGTCAGACTGTCTACGGTATATAGATGACAATGGGCCGTTTAAACGAGGAAAAATAAGACGCGTCTAACATAAAAAGCGTCCTAAATAAGACTCAAACTATCCCTTGTAAACGGCACATTTCGTTTGCAATTTAGCTAAGATGCGTCTTATTTAAGAAGAGCCCCTGACACATGTTCTTTGATAAAACGCATCTTTGCTAAGTCGCGTCTTAATGTGCCGTTTATACGGGATAGTTTGTATCTTATTTAGGAAGGCCTAATGAAAGACCCAACTTATTGTTTCCTCGTGTAAATGGCCCTGTTATTATCTTTGGCCGTACACTACAGGAGCACAGGGACAATGCAGATGAACTGTCCCGTCTTCCCTGGGACGAGGACGCATCAGTTAAGGACCAGAGAGATGCCACCCTGATTCAGTCTGTGAATATAGAACCGCTGTCAAGGGACAGTTTACGTGTGACTCAGAACCAAGATTCAATCCTTTTGCAAGTTGAGAAGTGGCTAACCTGGTGTCAGGCCCCCTAGAGGCAACGTGGATGGAAGAGGGGTGCAAACTATTATTGTACTGGTTACAGTGGGGAAGGCTGTTTTTGAAGGACAGTTTGGTGTATAGACGCTGGGAACATAAAGTGACAGGCCAAGATAGGAATATGCTTACCTGAGCGTCTCATGCCACAAGTTTTGTGCACCTTGTACGAGGATCCTTCAGCAGGCCAACTTGGCGTGACAAAGACTCTGAAGTCGGCGGAAGGATGTCGAGAATCATATTAGGAGGTGCGATCCATGTGCTGAAGTCACCGACCTGTCCAAACAGCCTAAGGCACCTCTTATCAATGATAAGGCCGGTCACCCCTTACTAAGGGTCGCAAAAGTAATTATGGGTCCCACACCGATATCTACTTCAGGTCATGAGTGGTTGCCGGTGGTCTCCGATCATTTTACTAAGTTTTGCTCTGGCAAAGAAAGTGATGGATGAGTAAATATGCCAGTTTGGTTGTTTCAAGGGTTTACATTCTGATCAGGGAGCTAATGTGGAAGGAGCTGTCTTCAGAGGACTGTGCAAGTTGATTGACGCAGAGAAAACAAGGACCACACCTTACCATCCTCAAGGGGATAGGCAGGTGGAGAGACTGAACAAATCTCTGGTGAAGATCCTGTGTAAGCTGATTTCTGATTATCAACGGGACTGGGCGGATTTTGTGCCAAAAACGGTTCTTGCCTACAACACCAGTGTACAGGAATCGACTAGATTTAACCCTTACCGCATGATGTTTGGCAGGGAAGCTATTTTGCCATTGTATTCTATCCTGAAGTTCAAAACAGCACCTTCACAAGGGTCGTCGCAGACATACCCCGATTATGTTGTTCAGTAAAAACAGCAGTTGGAGGAGACAGTACAACTAGCAAGGAAGACCCTCAAGCAAGCGCAGAAATTTCAGAAAGCTTATTACGACACCAAGTGCCATGGTCAGCAGTTCCGTGTAGGAGACCGGGTGCAGTGTGGTATAAAAGCTCAGCCAGGATGAGAAGTTGGAAATTTCTCAAGCCCTGGTGTGGTCCTTGGAGGGTTGTGAGGGCCCTGTCTGGTGTTACCTATCGCATTGACGAGGAGAGGAGGAAACAAGGAAAACGTCGTCAGAGGAAGGTGGTTCACTTCAATTATTTGAAACCATGCTTTACAGCACCTGATATCCAAGAGGAACCCTCCCAGGAAGCCACCTCCACGCATGTGAAAGAAACGCCACCAGTAAAACCTTGAGAGATGTGCGGCAACTAAGACGTTGAATTGGAATGGCTGAAAAACCCTGCTGCTATTGGCACAGAGCTTTCTTATCCCTCTCAGGAGAGTGAAGGGATAGGGTACAGATGGACTAGTCGTAAACCCCCCTGGACGACGGAGTCAGCTATTTCTTTAGGAAGAATTCTGCAAACGACTGATTCGAGATGCTTTTCTTTTTCAAGAAGTGGGTGGTAATATTTTGGTGGTATTCCTCTCTAGCTTGGTCACTGCTGGTCAACTTTCCTGAATTTAGTCTAGTCATTGACAGATGCCATGCATAACAGTCAAATGAACTCGGGCTTGTCCATGAGAACAACACCTAAACCTTTGTCCAGGTTAGTTATTACTATGTCATCACGTTTCCTCAGTTGTTGGATTGATCTTGCAAGTGTTTTCGATGGTTTAGGGCCTCTTTTCTCTATGTAATTCAGTACTACTGAGAGAAGGGTAGCTGCCGCTAGTAATTTTTTGTCATAACAAGCTTGGGCTCAAGTTTCTAATAATTTAATGTGCCTTTCCGAACGTTGCCTGGATCTCAACGGTGGAGATGCGAGGTTGAGGAATGGAAAATGTTGCATCTCGGCTTAGCACGAGCTTGTCAAAGAATGTGAGACAGTACGATGACAGGTTCTGGTTGGTTCATCCATGTCGACATCTCTGTAAAACAACCCTGCAATTTTTGGTGAGTGGCCCTCTGCCATTTTCTAACAGGCCTTCTCACATAGCAGCACCATAGTCTTCACAACACAGTTAATGGAAAGACGAAATGACGCGACAAATTTCAATGAAGATCTCTTATATTTGGAGGGGCGATTTAACAGAGGGTTTTTTTGCATTACGAGTTTGGGGGGCTTACGTTTGGAGGCGTTTATTTTCGCAATTTTACGGTACTTTTCTTTAAAGTGATGTCTTTAAAGTGATCTGCTATACAATTCTTCTGCGATGACATTTCTGGCAAACTGGTCGGAGGATCGTGTCCACTTTTTGATTTTGTTTCGTCGACCATGGCAAATCGCATTTGCTCATTAGAGTTTGAGTGGAACATACTTTTTAAAGAAAATTGCATCGAATGAGAAATTTCTGAGCCAAAACTACCGAGGGATATTTAAAAAATGTCGAATAATAAGTCACTATCCAGCGATAAAGTACAGTTGTAAATAGAAAAAAAAAAGATTATTGATGAATTGGAAGGCTACTAGACCAGTTGGGATATCACCAAAATTATTGAAACTCCCAAGACCCACTTTTGTAGCCACGCTTCAGGGGCACCCAACGAGAATATATTTCAAAACCACTTAAACTTAGCATTGTTAAACGTATTTTAGTTTTTAAACGGTAGATATAGGCATATTTTTATCCCCTAAAAAATTTTCATCTGTTCGGATTTCCTAGCTGAAAGTCTTGTGATGCGAAAATTACAGGGATCAAAACTGAACTTTTCGAAAATTTCAGCCAGAAAAAAGGGTCCCGAAAATTGTAGGTGACCTTTTAAGGGTAAAAATCCGTTAAAAAGGGGCAATTATACCATTGTTTAGATGTTCGAAAATCCTAGGAGAGGTAGACAAGCAAGAAATTTTACAACAAATGTTCCGACAATTCTAGATCTCAAATCGTCTTCCAAACAGATATTTTCTGAAAATTGTCGTTGGGTGCCCCTGACGCTTATTTACCATCCTCCTGATCCTCTACAAGCGCAGTTCTTGTACACATGATTGCAGGGCTTATAGTGATCAGAAGGTGTTTAGACTAACTCCTGTGCACAAGAAAGGTGATCATGAGAAAATCGGAAATTATCCCCCCTCTTTTTGCTTAGTGTCCCTTTCAAGACTTTAGAATCATCATTCATATGTTGCGGACTTAATTGTGAGTCATATGTTTCCATGAACGATGAAGATCTCATCATGGACTATCTCTCTCCCATTTTTTGAAAGGGAAAAGCCCTGGGGACGAGGTTGACACTATCAATGGGCCTGCCAAAAATTAAGATCTGCAAAGCTTCTCCTCTCCTCACCCACCTGACTGAAAATTGGTGACATTCAATTGATAACAGACTACAGAGTAATTATGCGCATAATAATCAAAGACTTGATATTCAAAAATTCCTTTTGAAGCTAGCCAAGCTCTTTCCTTGCCAGGATTTGGCCATAGAGGAGCAAAGCTGCCCACAGTGCTTTTTGTAAAGCAAGCACTAAGCTACCTTCTGACGCTAAATAGATGCACCAGCTTCCAAATTCAGGCATACGCGTCTATGTATTTAAAAACTGACACTGCCCCTTCGACTTTTATTACGCTGATTTAGCAGCAGAACAGGAACGTCAGTTGATGACAGGAAAGCACATGGAAAGCACTGAACTTGAATTCCGGTGCCCAATTTATACCACTCTACCATTGGTCAAGCCAGTTGCTTGATTAGCGTGTGCGTTGTCAACTGACGTTGCCGTTCTGTTGCTAAATCAGCCTATTATTATTGACAGGGTATACAGGTGGAAAGTGGAACAAGATATTCATTGAAATTTTCTAGTCAAGTTTAACGGCTTTCTTGGGTTTTTCTCTGGCCAATTTGTGTGTAGGAATTGGCCTTATTCAGACTTGGTGTGAAAGACCTTTCTCCACTGCACAAGTTACATGTAGGTGTCAAAACTGTCAAATTACAAAGTATGACGGTTAAAAAAAATGGGCAGTTAAGGTGTGAATGGGTCATCGCCTTTGGCTAAGTAACCTACATAATCATACCAATCAGGGCTGGCAGATGCATTTCCACTTGATTTTGTGGTATAAGACACCTTAAAAAATGAAATGGGAAAAATTTTATTCATTAAGCGGTAGGTTAATAATATACATGGTAATTACTTTAGGACACTTTTCACCTATTAAAATTAAATTCATCAGCTTACACAACACCCCTATCTTACTGGCCACACTACAGTGACAAATCCTCTGTTGCATTCTGAGGCAAATCATTAACTCAATCTGCAGCTTTTGCAGTGGAAGTTCACCTTTAGAACCCACATTAAATGTGCAAACATTTAAAAACAGAACAATTGACTGTATTCATAACTCACAGTGAATGTAGAAAAACCATACTTTGTGTCATTGACAAGTTTAAGGGTTGTTGTAAGGGATGAAAATTTTAAAGATTCTGTAGCACTTTGACGTTTACATTTCATGTCCCAGTATACAATACCTTGACTGAAGATTAGAATTATCTCGGAGAATTCCCTGAAATCAGTGAAAAGAAAAAGTCACAATTCCATACTTTCTGCAGGAAATTCACTAGCTTAAATTGCATATCTGTTAAAAGGCTGTTTAAAGAAAAACTGTCTACAAAGCCAATGAGAGAAAGGTAAGGGGAGTGTCAGGGAAGCAACTTGTCAGGGCTTCTGATGTAAAGGGTTGATGTGCATTTTCCTGAAATTAAGTTCACATCATACATACAACTGCATAATAATGTATCTCAGGTAACTGTTGATAAAAATGCATAAACAAAAATAATAAATTATCTTCTTAAATACTAATTTTAGTTGACTCACCAGTTTTACTGTTTGTGGAATCATCTCTCGAAAAAAAGGAAAATTTAAAAACTTCTTCGCTCAGTTGATTGCCAAGTTATTAACCTCAACCATGCAACTCATTTGACATTTAACATCAGCAACACACAAGTCACTAGTGTTACACTAGGCCAGCACAAAAAGAGCTCATAAATGGCTGTCTAGGAATGGAGACTATAGATACACTGTACAAGAACAACCAGAATTTAATGGCACTACTTTAAATCCAAAAAAAATATGAAGGGCAAAAAATTAATGGGCAAGGCAGGTCAAGCAATGGCGGATGCTTAACCTAAGACACCCTGCACACTTGAGCCCAATAAACTCCCAGCCGTGTGTGAGAGAACTGTTTTCCACTTCTTTCATTCCTCAGCCAGCAGAAAACCATACATGATGGACCTTTAATTTCGCTTATAATGTGACCTCCTGGAAATGCGCCCGCAAAATTTCCCAGTGTTATTCTCACCCTATCAGAAAGCTTTACCTGTGAAATCTACATTATGTAAATATCAGCCTGCATCTTTGGCAAATCAGGTAAAAGCAGGACCACAAAGAAAGGTGTTAGCTGACCAAAATTACATGTACAGGTGTATTGACCACATTAAGGTCTCATTTTTTAAGTTATCTGCAGACCACTTAATGAATTTCTATCGACTGAAGGCTCCAGTTCTAGTCTTTTCCTAGAGGTTGATTCATGATCAGCACCCAGCTAGTATAGAGGAAACTATAATGGTGAAAATTGTGTGTTCGCAATAAACTTTTCAAGAAATGAATTCTTTTTCCTTTATATTTTACGGCATTTTTTATTTTTAAACCAGAAAGACATTTATTACAAAAGATAGGACCAATATGATGATGATGATGATGTTGATCCAAAAAGGATTTCAGTCTGACTGTTTTCAAATTTCTCTTATTGTCACTTGGGTAGTTTTTGACACGAGCGTTAATGTATTTTATCTACAAACAAGTGAAAAATTATTCTACACTAAAGAAAATGATACTTTACTGATGATTTGACATGCATGAGTGTTTCAATAAAAATGACTGAAACTGACAATAAGTTAGTTCTGTGCTGGGGATGGAAACAAAATGTTTATCTTAGTTTCAGAATATAGTTATGTTATAATAGTTATTTTGTTTTCATTAATCTTAGTAATATTAATTTTGTTTTCAAATGAGAACTCTACCCTTGAAACAGAAACCAGATGTTTTCGCATTCATTGCTTTGCTTAAAAAATTTATTGTGGTGTATAATGTAGAGTTTGAATGGTTCAAAACATCAAGGTAAAAGAGATTTGTAGTGATATTTATGAGTTAATGGGAACATACAGACTGTACCAGCTCTACTCAGGTAATTAAGTCCTACGTGTACACATTTACTAGCTTTCCTACTGACTATCGTCAGTGTGAAATTAGTGTCGTTATAGTTGGGGTATCAACCCATAGTGCATTGTCACTTCACCATTTGGGTCTGCCTGCATGTACTTTGATTTCTGAACTTCTTGATCAAAGTGTTTTACTGTGATGTTCTTATTTGCAATCTTACCTCATTACTAGACAAAATCCGTTGTAAAGTATCCCTTGTCTCTTTCCAAGCTTCCCTTCCAAGACCCATAAAAGCATTTAGAGTTGGCTATAAAAAGGGAGACAAGCCTGTAAATTTTTGATGTTACTGCATTAATCAGTTTAAGTTTACACAACAGGTTACAAAAAAGGGCATTTAGGATTTGGATATTATTATTATTATTGTGGGGGAGGAGAAGGGCAAGGCAAGGCAAGGCAGATAACATTCTATGAGATCTGCACTACACACTGTATACTCTTCAGATCACACGGAACCCAATTCCAATAACCGTTTTATCATTCACCCAAAACAATTCCTTTCCTTGATTGATGTTAAAGAGGAGGGGGGCATAAGGGGGGTAGGAATACTGCAGAAATGCATAGAATTATGTATAAATACTACACAGAATAACAATATGATAAGAAAACCGCAAACCACATTGAAATTACCCAAAAGTTCTAAATACTGCAAACCGCTTGGTTTTTGTAAAACTGCAATACCGCAACTTAAAATAAAAATTTCTGCAAAACCACACCAAAAATTGAGCAAAACCGCATCACAACAAACCCTTATGCCCTCCTCCTTAAAAGTTCCTGTGTTCTTGTCTGTTTCTTGGCATGTTCAGGATACAAAAAGGGATGTTTAGTCTAGCAGATTTCCTTAACAAAGCAGAATGATGTCATGAGGTTTTCTTTTGCTGTTCTTGCTATGTTTTAGGCTGAGTTGTTCAGCTATTTCTTCTTTGCAAAATGTTTCTACTTCTCTACTAAATCAACACAACCTTTTCTCCAGGGCTTCTCGGTTACTGTCCCTTTTACTGACTATTACACCAAAAATTAAAGTTTGAAAATTTGGTCAATGCTAGCTGGTTACGAAGAATTTAAACGAATGAATAAAGGTGAAAAAGGCGCACACGAGCCAAAGGCCCAAATGGCCGGAGCTTATCCCAGTGTCATGAGCATGAAGCCCCTTGGAGTATTGCTACTCCCCAATGGACGGGATGCTGGTCCGTCGCAGGGTTACCCCCTAGCAGTCTGTCACCAGCACCCATTTATTGCTGGTTTTCAGCTGACATCACAGCGGCCAGGTTGGTGGACAAGAACAAAAGCGTTTCCTCCTCTGGGAAAAAAAAAAATTTTTTATGCAAATTTTGCTAAAAATTTTTTATTGTTTTGTCTACCAACATGGTTGCCTTGTCACGTGGTTGAAAACTAGCAATACACCTGGGTGAAGAGAGACAAAGTGGAGTAAAGTTCCTTGTCTAAGGAAACAACGTGACGAGTGAGGTTTAAACCCTGGACCTCCAGATCCGCAGTTCGAGGTGTTAACCACTCGGCCATACGCCTCCACAAATGAATGAATAATAAAATTATAGTAAATAATAACTGTTATTACACTTCAGCTAGTGCATCAGTCAATTCCAGCTGCACTATTTGACTGTGCAGTCAATGAAAAATGTTGCAGTGTTGACGGAGGACGGGGCATTTGTCCCCTTTTTTCGTCGCCACCCCCGGGAATTTACCATCCAAGGCAGCTGGAATTGACTGATGCATGACAAGTTTAATTTTTATGGTACATTCACTCTGCTGCATGATATTACTGAGAACTTTGCCATCATCAATATTTAACAAAGGAACCGCAATTGTTACACACACCCACAGACCCACCCTCTAACACACCCATATATTTTAATTGCTCACTGAACTAATCATTCAGAGAGTGTTTATGCTTTACTTTTTCTCTTGTTAAAACAGATATCTTACCTCTTGAAGAGCTGCATTCCTTTGGGACATAACGGGACCAGTGAAAAATTCAGAAATTCCACACAAATCTAACACATGTTCGCCTATTGCAACTCCAATGCGATGCCTTGGCTAAAAGATAAAGGAATATATGCATAGCAACACTTCAAGAGAAAATGGATTCCATTATTAAAAAAACACCATTCAATGTACTCACATTAACAGATGTTGAAAACACTCCATATGGAAGATTTTGTAAAGGAAAATGACTATCTTGAGAGACTTGTAGGAAAGACATTTTCCTTCAGGAAAGCCTCGAGGTCACAGTACCACGTTGAAACTGTTCGAAAGAGGAAAGCTGGACCGAGCGAGAAGAACAATAACAGTTCATACGTCATTTAAAACCACCAAAGCGTCCATCTCTTTCGATTTTCTGGTCAGCCTGCAGGGCATCACTTTTAAGCCATTATGATGAATCTTTTCTTTGAACTCCGTCGTCGTGAATTACACTGATACCTTCAATCCGCGATTTTTACTCTCCCATGCCAGCTGCCCGTGAGAGTAATTTGTTTACCGACTACAGTAAATCAACACGCTGTGGTGCGTCATCATTCCGATTGTTCCTTTGTATTCAAGCGCCGTCTGGTCACGTGATTTTGTGTCTGAAGAAACAGCCGTCTGGCTCTGCGTCCATCAAATTGGTTATGTCATGAAAATATTCGCCCATAAAATGCAGAAGCTCTCGTTGACCGTCACTTTACTAACTCTGTTGACAGTTCTGCGAATTGGTAAGTCGTATTCGAGCCTATTTGCGTTGTTTTTTATTGTTTGTTTGGTTGCATGCGAGTCACCTAAACTGAATCTCCACCAGACACCAGGTTGTCTGAACACTTCTGCATAGACGAGTGTTTCGAGTCCTTTTGGATTTCATTTTTGTGGCCAAATCCTAAAGTTTTTGATACAGAATTATTCTGTTTTCATTTCCCAGTTATGTAGTTAATTTTATTTTCAGAATACGTCATGGATTTGATATTATTACTGATTTTGTGTTACGAAAATCTTGAAACCTACACTGTACATGATACGGCCGTCCTTTTGTGCGAGAACGCGCAGTCGTTTTCCTCGACTTTCCCTGGGATTTTTTAACTTTTGGATTTTCAAGAAACCGAAATTAACAAAACAGATTTTTCCTCGCTCTGAAAATGGTAATATGTGTTGATGATTTGTGAAAGAGTAATTTTGGTCAATTCAACTGAATAATAATGCGAGATTCTATAATTAAACTGGCTCGTGATTTAAACTCTTTTCAGTTCACCTGGTTGACCAATAGTTTTCTAAATGTCTTTTATTTTTCTTTGAAAAGGTAATGCCGTACGAGTAAAATTTTCAATTTTTAGGTTATGAATATTTTAATGCATAATAACTCACATGTATCAAACAATAGTGTAATTCTTTTATAATTTTTATAATCAGTATTTGAGATTGTATTTCTGAAAGACTGAAGTACAGACAAGACAGTTAATCCGAGTAGTTATGTGTAAATATAATACTCTTATTAATATTAAAGCCGAAGCCTGTGGTTAGTCTGTTCTCATTTTCTTTTTTAGTGTTCCAAGTTTTTTTTTCTTTTCTAAAAGAGCCTGATCCACGATCCAAGTTCCTACAAGAAATACATTGAGTATTTCTCTAAGAAAACTTCTTTGGGTTCTAACTGTAATTTGTTTTGTTAGAGAAACTTTTCCTTCCTGGGATTGTTCAGTTATACAGTAGAACCCCTTTAATAGGGTCACCAATGGGCCAAAAGAATTTGGCCGTATTAATGGGTGACCATATTAACAAGGGTTTTTTTACAAGAAAATGTATGGCCATTTCTCCAGGTGGCCAAATTAAAGTGGGCATAATAACAAGATGACCGTATTACCAATTATTGGAAACTGTGTTGAAAGTACATGTAAGAGATGAAAATCCTAGGTTAATGAACCTAATGAACTTGTTGTCTTATATACATGTATAATGTAGTGACTCAGTAGGACTTAAATAGGCAAACTAAATTATTTTATATCACTGAAAGTTCTGCAATACTTGTGGTATTTCAGGGGAAACATAATTAACTGTAATATAAAAAACAGAAGGAATTTTATAGTGAAGGATTTATTAGTAAGTCTGTATTACTCATTGATATACCCTCAGGGCAATATTGGTTGGGGTAATAATTACAAGACAAGACTTTTTTTATCATTCACTGAGTCATCAAACCTGCTCTTTCAAAAATTGGAGATCCTTAATGTTAATCAATTAAATAATCAGCAAACTATCCTTTTGTGATTGACCTATTTAATAGTAAGTTGCCATAAAATTTTAGAGATAGTTACATTTTGAATAGTCAACTTCATTCGTATTCTACACATTGAAGCAATAATATAAATAAGCAGTTTTACAGAACAAACTACGGCTATTATTCAATACAATGTAAAGGGATGAATTTGTGGAACTCTGTACTAGAAGATTTAAAGAATACAAAATCACAATGTAGTATGAAAAAGAAATTTAAGAAGTACAGTTGTATCTTTTGTCACAACAGTGTGTAGAGAATGCTTAGTAGTGTGCAAGTTTATAAAATGAAATTAACTTATAGTTAGATTTATAGTTAGATTACATGTATGCTGTTTATGGCATCCAGACCTGATAAACAAAAAATTTAAAAAAAATAGTAAAGTCCGTAAGGGTTTCCTAAATTCCCCATATTAGTGTAACTAGAAATACGTGTATCGCAGAACCTCACGAAGCTTGGTGGGGGGGAGCCGATAAGGGGTGGGAGGAGAGGAGAGAAATGAAGTACATCATGTCACTGGGGAGGGCAGGTCTAATATTGGAAACTGAGATGTACTTTTTAAAAATTTGAACCTAGGGCTCTGGCTTTAAAAGGGATCTTCTGAGATTTAAATGGGGTTGCTGTTATTAGCCAATGCTGCATAGGTCCCATCCCGTGTTCACCACATTTGACCCTCTTACATGTGTAATTATGGTCAAAAGGAAATGGGGGTGATAGTGGATACTGATGACTAATATGCAGTTGCATTTGCTTAATAAAAGCTCACCCTTAAATGTAAGAATTATTTGTGAAATGTGTCAGTAGTAGTGAGTGGATGGCAATGGTAGGAGATAATGCTGCAGTGAAAACAACAACTAAATGCTGGTAATTGGAGAAAAAATTTATTGTTAGGTGAACTACAGCTATAAAAGTGTTTGCACTTTTTTGGTACGTAAACACACTTGACAACTATTGTTTGTAACAGTAAAGTGCAAACATAATCACTGAAATAGAAAATTACAAGTAGCAATGTCATTAAGGATGCAGTTCATGAGAATTATTAAAGTGATCATGACTTATGATCATTGAATATGCTGGCATTCATCGTCAAAGCACTGAATCCATGTAAAAAGTACCAATTTTTTATCACCTAGGCAAGTGTTCAGAGTTATTCGTGTACATGCATAAGACATGATAAGAAACAAATACCAGAGTGAATTTGTATGAAATGTCCACAAACAAGTCATGTTGAAGGTGATCAGTTTCTCCATTGGTGTGCATTCTAAACAGGCATGAGCTTGTTGAGACAGTGCCAGAGCCATAGATTTTTATTTTCCGGACTGAGACGAGACAAATGAACACTTTGCCTGTATTACATGCATTTATCGTGAATGTAAAGCTAAGTGCAGGATTGGTTGATCTTAAATGGGAAACCCTCTATCTGTTTGCATGTCGTTTAATTTCTTGAAACAATCTCAATCTTCTTCTGCCAATGGCACAAATGTTTTGTTTCTATGAATATGTCACCTCTCTCTGACTTCTTTGAAAGAGTGAAATTTTATGACTGACTTCTTAAATTAATTTTTCCCTAACAGCGAAAGGAATTAACGTTCCTGGCATGGCAGCCATGTCACACACTAATATTCTGAGGATATCCGAAATACAGATGGTCTTTTGGAATAATAGGAACGAAAATATAGGAGCCCAGCAATAACAAATTTTTGTTGTATTTGACTTAAAAAGACACAGCTTTGATTATGTATAAGGCTGCTATACACACATGTATATATATTTTACTTGTGAAGGAAATTGAATAAAAATAATTTTGTTCAGTAGGGATTTTGTTTACAAATGTAACGCTTCCCTACATGTCACACATTATCGGTGTTCTAAACTGTTCATTGTAAAATAAAGCTTACTGTAAAATGGTGAAAAGGCTGATTGGCTGTCCTCAGTCCGTTGGAAAGATACTCCTCATGTCGATCTTACAGATGGTGTAATTCCTGCTGCCTAGGCCTATCGTTGCATCGAAGAACGGATAATTTTGACTGTAAACCGCCTCGTTACATCCTCTGTGTTTAGTTGACAGTGTTTGCCTTTGCTTTGCCGTTGCTCGCACTGAATTTAAAGTCGACTTTCTCGGTCTTGCAGAGTTTTGTTTGTAATTGTTTCCCACCGAGGATTTCCAGCCACTTGTTGAATCCACTGTTGTTGAGTCTGCTGTTCTCTTTTATTTGCCTGAGATATTGGGTGGTGATTCACCGACCGTAAACATTGTTATAATTCACATATGAAAAAACCCTCTTCACGGATAAAACCCGGAGCTTTGTCATCGATGGCAATCGGTTGCCTGGAAACCCAGTATGCACTTTGACGTCACTACTCTGGATGACATCAAGGCGGACACCAACCAAACTTGATAGATTTATAGCCAAGAGAAAATCACACTGGCCTTGTGATGCTCGTGTGATACACGCGCGCTTCGCACGCAACGAGATTATAAACCTCGCGGCTCGGCGCTTCGCGATGAATTATATCTGTTCAATATAGTAAAGTTAATGTTGTTAATATATATTCACAGGAAAAAATAACCGATTCCGATTTTTGGATATTTTAGGGAATTTAAAGAATACCCACAAAAATCCCAAATTTGGAAGAGTGAGACAAGTCCCAATCAGGGAACTTGGTTGGGAATTCCCTGGTTGAGACTTGTGTCACTTTGCCAAATTTGGGCTTATTGTAGTTTGCGAAACGAAATGGAGCGAAGCAAAACAAAACGAAATGGAACGAAATGAAACGAATCTGTAGTTTGCGAAATGAAAATCTGTAGTTTGCGAAATGAAAATCTGTAGTTTGTGAAATGAGAATCTGTAGTTTGCGAAATGAAAATCTGCAGTTTGCGAAATTTGGATTTTTCGTGCAGTTGCAAACGTAAGAACAATAGAGGAAAACTATCCCCTAGGTCGCCATTCAGAAACTCATGCAAAGGTTGTTATGAAGTTGTTTGAACCGCCAGCTGCTTTTGCTGAACTAGAGAAGAAGCTATACTTATGCCTGAATTGCTGTCGTGAATGGCTCCTTAGCCTGTATTTGTAGCTAGTTGCTTGTGATATTTTTTATGTCGGATGAACAGGCTGCAGTTATCTATCGGCGAATAGCTTCATGATCAAGAAGAAACAATGACTTTCCTCCAAAGGGAATTCCTGCCGTCAAATGACACTTAAACAACAAAATCTTCTGCTCGAAATACTTTTTTCCCTGCATTTGTTTATCTTTACAAAACATTAAAACCACCATGTTCGAAAGTAACAACAAAGCCACAATGATGTATTTTATCGGTTCGTTTGAATATCGCGTGACGTTTCTGGTTAAGATAAGGCCACCGGAAGTGGACTTTTTGCATTCTTGAGCAGTGGTTCTTGGGCAAATTTTCAGGCAGATTGTCTCTATAAGAGTAATGACACTTATCAATACAAATGTGGTGGCGTCAAGGCATATAAAACGGGAAGAGGTCTTGCTTCCGGTTGCTGTCCGTCGCTCAAAAACACCTGAGCTTAAGTTAAACTTTATGCGTGCAACGAAAACGTCACGCATTCCGCGCTATCTGAATTTTCTGGGCGAAACGGCTTTTTTTGGGGGAATTTTCTGTTTAGAATATCCGAGTAGACACAGCGAGAAAGTAAATTGTCATTTCGCAAACTACAGATTGTCATTTCGCCAACTACAGATTGTCATTTCGCAAACTGCAGATTTTCATTTCGCAAACTACAGATTTTCATTTCGCAAACTACAGATTTTCATTTCGCAAACTACAGATTCTCATTTCGCAAACTACAGATTCTCATTTCGCAAACTACAGATTTTCATTTCGCAAACTACAGATTTTCATTTCGTTTCGTTCCACTTCGTTTCGTTTCGTTTGTTTCGCTCCATTTCGTTTCGCAAACTACAGTAAGCCCCAAATTTGGGATTTTTATGGGTATTCTTTAAATACCCTAAAATATCCCAAAATGGGAATCCGTTATTTTTTCCTGTGATTATTAGTTTTTGGTATATACAGACTCAGTGCTCTTGGTAATTCAAGCAATCTGATTAGTTTGCTATCTCAGCCTATATTCACTGCCCTAGGCGGTGAATATAAAGCAAAACAAAATCACAGTCGTAAATTGGGTGTTTTGCCAAAGACTTCATGGAGTTGAACAGCATGATTTATTGTGAAGTGATTTACTGTAGCTGGCTTTTTATACGCTCGAAGAAATGTTTACCACCACAGAGCAAAAGCAATGAGGCTACTTTGTCACTGTTTTGTGAACTCGGGATTTCCCCACAAGACCAATTTTGCCTATGAGTTAATTTTTATTGGACATAAAAGGAAGGCAAATATTTTTGAAAATTGTATGTGCTAGCAAGTTAACAAGGCAAAGAACGCTGCAGATAAACAACACTCACCTCGATTGTGGCCGCTGTTGACAGCATTAATTTTGTAAGAAGCGACAAAAAATCTTCCTCATTCATAGTTATGAAGCAAAATAAAGAAGATGAATTTGATGTTTATCATGTAAGGAAAGACTTCCAAGGCATTCAAAACAGTGATTCTGGGTGTTTACAGTTTTTTCAAGTAGAAGCAAGGCCATTTTTAGGTCCACGTCAAGTGTTATTTTTTGCATTTTACTCTGGCTAGTTTGACTAAATAATGCTTGTTTTGGATATGGTTTGAAAGATCTCCTTCCCCTGCCCAAGTTATGTAGTTGTCTATGAATGTGAGAAGTGATGACCTCTTGAGTAGGTCAAGGGATCTGGATCAGCATCATGTGTGATAACAGGCATTTCAGGGTCAGGGCTCAAAATACATGTAATAGCTGGTTAAGGGACAATGTCTGGCTAGAAATGGTGACTTTAAAATTGACCAGCCAAAAACGTCACTCACTGCATGGTCATCTTGACGGTCACACATGCACTCTCACGGCTGAAAAACAGCCAAATCCTCATTTGTAATAATAATAGACTCAAACAAATCCTCACCTGTGAATCGCAGACTTTGTCTTTTTGTTTAAAAAATACATGTACATTCACTTTCTCTGGACAGTAGAAAATCACATATAAGGGTAAGTAAACTTTTTTCCCAATAAAATTATTATCTTTACCAGTCAGAAACGAGACTTGACTGGGCACAAATTTCTTTGGCCAGTTAATATCGTGTTCCGCCACCTACTGAAAATAATTTTGAGCCTTGAGGGATGAATGTGATAAGATTGTTCATGGCTGTTGGGTGTATTTTTTTATATTTTTGTCACAGGGTATTGATATTATGATCTGTGTTATTTTGTAGTTGGTTGCAAGAGGATGCTGATTTGTAGATGTGAACCTTGTGAGGACCAAACCACCTGCCTTACAGATGGAGCATGCCTGGCCACTCTAGACAAAGTTATTGCAACTGGAGAAATTATGTGGAGAAAGAGTTGTACTAATTCAGAAAATGGTGACAGGCTTTTATGTTACAATCCTCCTACACCAACCAGCGTTGCCCACTGTTGTTATTATAACATGTGTAACACAGACATTACTCTTACTTTTCCAACAACCTCAACGATTTTGCCATCTAAATCAGTTAGAGGTAAATGGCTACTTTCATACTGTAAATAAGACAATGAACTTGCTTAAAACTACATGAAGGAGCTCTGAGGAGCTGCAGGACAGATTATATTTAAAAGCGACAGTCAGGAAAAATCGAGCAAAATCTTAATTTCATGGCTAGAGTTGAAAAATCAATTTTTTTCATTTTTTTGTCCATAGATACCTTTCAGGTAGATAAGAATCCTGATGTAGATTGTTCCCGCAAGGAGCATTTTATTTGTAAGAAAAATTAGAAGATCAGTTTTCGATGTCATAGTCTCAGACGGCCCTAATTTTTAACCTGAAAATATTCTATAATATCAACAATATCAACTTTCCTCGCATTTGCAAACAAAGTCGCATGGAGAAAATTTGGACACTTTCTATGAACAGAAAAATTCTCTTTCTTTCACTAGAAGAAACTTTCAGGGCAATAGCGAGGTTCGTCACACTGAAATAATGCAATAATGAGGGATAGCTTTTCAGGATAACAAAAGCTTAAGTTTAGTACTGATTTTCAAAGGCAATATTTAACATGACTTGTGGTATACACACTGTAACTCCAAATTCCTTTCATTTTAAACATTCCTTTAAAACATACCAGGGAATTGGCTTGGGTTATTGAAGGTAATCTCTGTAAGACACCATCAAAGTTCATGAATTTTCATGGTAGGCCAGCGGTAAATGTGTAAGGGCCTTGTTTTTTGTATTTCTTGTAGGTTTCCACATTGCAGAATTGCTTTTTTGTAAATCAAAGAGTGAGGCAAAAAGGTGAAACTGGGTCAATTTCAGCCATTTTGAAACACTGAACTCTACCAGCCGGCGACTCTGCGTGACATATGTTCGGTGACTGCACGTGCCATAACGTAGGTTTGAAGAGACATAGCCGTCAAAATGACAGTGACAGAGTCAGGATAGTAATGCAACGAAATTCTTGGAAGGGTAACATTTTGATGCCGACAGTGTTTTGAAGAATAAAAAATCAAATACGCTATAGTTCTGGTACTCACTTTTTATCAAAAAATAAGGACTTTGGCAATGGTAATTCGCTAATATGACATAACAGGAAGATAATTATATCACCTTGTTACATTACGAAACAATGAAATTTGGAGCCGTTAAATAAGTTATTTTGGTCACGCTTCACTGTATTTTAATACCAGACATCGATGCTTTTGTTTGGAGGCTGCCTTGAGTAACCCAATCCAATTCTCAGGGATGTGTTAGATGAATGTCTAAATGTGTGATTAAATGAGGACTGAGAAAATTTGGGGCTATACCACATGAAGTATAATGGCACAAAAAACTACTAAATTAAAGTTTTGTCGCCATAAAAACTTGTTCGTCATTTTTGAATTATGTCACGTCAGCGAGTCTCGATATTACTTTGACAGTATCTTCTGGTGAAAGAAGAAGAGTTGTTCTATTTATGGGACATGTCCAAATTTCTCCTTGTGGCTTTGATTGCAAATGCGAGGAGAGTTAATGTTACCAAATTTCCAATTTGAAATAGGGCCATTTTGAGACTCCAACCACGAAAACGTACATTGTATATTCTTAACTTTTCTCGAAAATAAAAGATTTTTTGCTAGAACATTATTTACATCAGATTACTTATCAACCTTAAAGCTATCTATGGACAAAAATGAAGGACATCGATTTTTGAACTCTTGATGCTCGATATTTCCTGACCGTTGCTCTTTAAGCCTTGAGGTAATATTTCTTGCCCTTTTGCCAACTTGGGGTGAAAACTTGCTGTGTTTGCTCAAAAAAGCACAACAATGAGAACAACAAAAATCTTTATTTTTCCTTAATTCTACTTTTTACAGAAGTGCGTGAGCCTGGAGGGTTTTCATGATATTTAATAATAGTAGCGGGAGAAAGCTGTAACATACAGGAGAATATTTTGAAGAGGCTTCATATCTGAATGACAAATAGTCATAGGCTATCGAATGCTAGCCTGAGAATTCTGTGTAGTGAGCGGAGAATTCTCCAATCTCCGATACCCAATGAACACCCTGAGGTAGCTAGTGCTAATTAATCTTGGTGGGCCAGTCAATTACATGTAATGTGTAAGGAATAATTTTTTTTTTTGTTTAGTACAGTATTTCTATATCTATAATATATAAAATATAGATAGGAAAGAGTGTACAGTGTACAAAAGTCATAGGAGAGAAAGAATTTACAGTGTACAAAGAATTTTCAGTATAATTATTGTAAAGTTTATGGAAAAAGCTGGGGTCATTTTATACGATGTACTTTTGTCAAGAGGATTTCTCCTTAGAAATGCACCATAGCACTAATGAAATTTTCCTCCTTGATGGTGCAGCACTCATTGGGATTGGTGTCTGTCTGGAAGGTTGTTTATGGTACCCTATATTTAAAAAGATCAATGTGGTCAAGTGCTTATGATAATGGATAAGTGACCATCATTGTGTCAAATATACTGAATGGTGGTATAGAATCACAAAGGGAACATTGTTACACAACCGCTTAAAAGTAAGTTACTTGCCCTCTTATGAGACATGAATGGTCCGATTCTTGTAGCACAGATTGTAATTTTCGCATCATGTATCTCCCTAACTATTTTGGCTAATATTCTTGTGCAATGTAAAAAATCCATTGTAAAGCAGTAAAGAACAATTAAGCTTAATGTAGACACCTGTCACACTGTATAACAAACACTGTCTTTTAATGTCAGTCACTCAGATATTGTTGAATTGTTTTCAGGTTCTGAACAGGGTAATACCAGTGGGCTAAGTACAATAGCTGTTGCTGCAGCTATTGCTGGTCCAATGTGCGTAATATGCGTTTTGATCATGGTTTTTATTTGGTGGTACCAAAGTAGACAGAGAAAGCAACAAGAAAGGTCAAAAGATGCACAAGGAACACTACAACCTTTAGAGGATGAAGCTGTTATCCCACCAGGACAGACATTGAAGGAGTTAATGGACATGTCAACAGGTAGGTTGGTAACTTATCATGCCAGGACTTAGGCAGGCAAATAAAAAAATAATGTCGTCATTTATTCCCAGCAGGAACTGAGGTAAAGAGTTCATTTTGCAACTTCTTTAGCTATGTATTTTGTGGGATCAATGGGCAACAAACTGTTCTGTACATAGCCTGTGAGCAAGCTCTCCTACTTGGGCGACTTAAACGAGTCTCGCGAGAACGGCCCCTCGCTCGCGCGCTCTCATGAGGCTCGCTTCGCTTGCCTAAATAGGAGAGCTTGCTCACAGGCTATTCTGTACAAGAAAGAGTTATTTTTAAATTTGGTTAAATGTAATTTAACTAAGTTAACCACCACGAGCTTAGCGGTCAAGCGGTTCACAAGCGTAGCGGTCAAGCAATTCACAAGCATAGCGGTCAAGCGGTTCACAAGCTTAGCAGTTGAGCGGTCCACAAGTTAAGCGGTCTAGCGGTCCACAAGCTTAGCGGTCAAGCGGTCTACAAGCTTAGCGGTCAAGCGGCCTGGCGTAGCGGGCATCCAGCGGTCAATCCCATAAGTGCAGGCTCACATGGTGTGTGGTAGCTTTGTACATGGCTAGGATCTGCGAGTTGTTCATCGGCGTTTGTGCAGTGGTCTGTGGGCGGTTCATTTAGCGTCTTTCGCCTTTTTAGCGATCTTTGGGCGTCAGTCTTACAGTGTGCTTTTTCTTGTATCCTTTTTCTTTCATTTATTTTTCAAAGCGTGCGGGTCGTCACGTTCGTTCAGGATGCGTACCACGAACAACAGCTTGTCAACGATGTCTTCCCGGTTACGGCGTCTTCGCCTTCTTCTAGCGGTTCTACCCTAGCTCCTACAGTCAACACCTCGGCTTCTCCGCCAAGTCAACCTGTTTCCCTGCGGACACACCAGCGCTAGCCCAGGCAATTTCAAAGCTCTCGTGGAATCGCTCCCTCCGTTGCTATCTTCCCTTGAGATTCCAGTGGCGGGGAACTCGAACACGGCCCTTGGCGTCTGTTCCTCTCTCCTCGACCCGACTTCTACGCAGTCTCCGGCATCCTCTAGCTCCAGTACCCCTGGCTCTACCTCCCAGTCTTCAGGCACGCTTGTTGTGCCCTCATTTATTTCAACGCACAGCTCATCTGGCGGTCCTTTGGTAGTCTCCTCTCTTCCCGCCACGTCCTCCACCAACTTGCCTGTAGTGGTTGGGGGCTCTTGTGGTGGCGCGACCGAACCGAGTCCCCACGCTTCCAAACCTCAACAAAGCATTTGTGGTGGGCCCTGGCTATGCTCCAGTCCCCTTTAAGCTTGTTTCTAAAATTACCGCGGGGGCTTTTTGTAGACTTGGCTGACCTCCTTCCGGACAACATCAGAGCTCAAGAAATCGAACCCAAAAAGCGTTTTTGGAGGGAAAACTGGTGGTATCAGGGTCGAAGAAACAGGTCATTGAAATAGCAGACATCATCACCTGGATTGAAGCCTTCACAATCTTTTCTATGATTCTTTGCCACACCTCCCCTCTCGCTGGAAAGATTTAAATCAGTACAAGTTACTCATCATCCAGACAGCAAGGCGCTTTTCTGACAAATCGTGGCTCCACTACGACATCGCGTTCGAAAAAGAAGCCGCAGCCTCAGGTTCAACCGACTGGTCTCGCATGCACCCAGACCTCTACAACTTTCACACCAGATCTCCAGTGACCACCTCAACTGCTTCAGGCTCCTCAACTTCCTCTGCCTCGTCACTATCAGAGCCTCTTGGGTCTTCAGGCAATCCCGGTCTAGCCAGTATTGCCACTCCTGGAAGACGGGCGCTGTCGCTGGCCCTTTGGTTGCTGTCGGTTTCGTCACTCCTGTGAATCGTGCCCGCAGGGGACCACCCCGCATCCACTGCCCTCACCGGTCCAGCGGAGAGAACGGTCCCGCCCCTTCTCAGTCAAAGGGGGTCTCCGCCGTCGCTAGGCAACCTCTAGCCAATTCAACTGTAAATAGTTTTGTTCCTGTTCACGTTGGTTCTCATGGTAATTTTTCAGCGTTAGAGTTGCGTTCTCCTTTTGTGTTACCTTCTCAGCAGCAGGGTCTGCCAAGTTCCAGTTCTTCGTTGTGTTCTCCAGCTGTTTGTCCTTTAAGACCAGTTTCTCAGCTTACTCCCATCAATGTGGATAGATTCCAGCATGAACTCTGTCATCATCCTAACCCAGACAAAGTTGCATATGTGGTCCAAGGCCTTCGATGATGGTTTTCACCTAGGTTTCAATTACAGTACTTCCCTGAAGTCAGCAACAGGGAATATGGCTTCAGCACTCCTGAACCCTCAGGTCATTGACAATTACTTGCAGTCGGAAGTTCAGTCAGGCAGGGTGGCGGGTCCTTCTCCCAGCCTCCCCTCCCTGTCCTCCACGTGAGTCGTTTTGGCGTCATCCCCAAACGCCACCAACCTGGCAAATGGCGTCTTATCCTGGACCTGTCTAGCCCTGCGGGGCACAGTGTCAACGACGGAATTGCGGGCGAGGATTATTCTCTGCAGTACATGAAGGTAGATGACATTATTGCAGGCATAATGCGGCTGGGGCGGGGTTCCCTCATGGCGAAATTTGACGTGCAAAATGCATACCGACATTGTGCCAGTCCATACAGAAGATCGCCAGTTGCTGGGTATGAAATGGCGTGGTGCCTTTTATGTTGATATGGTCCTGCCTTTTGGTGTCAGGTCAGCTCCATATATCTTCACATGTATAGCAGACTTAGTGGAGTGGGTGGCCAAGCAAAACTACGATGTCACCTTCCTGATGCATTACCTTGATGACTTCCACACTCTTGGCCCTCCCGGCTCCTCTGTTTGTCAACATAATCTGGACAGGTCAATTGACTGTTTTTCTAAGCTTGGCATCCCCTCCATCCAGACAAACTAGAAGGGCCGTCGACGTGCCTAACCATCCTGGGCATTGAACTGGACTCTCTTAATCTGCTGGCACGCCTTCCTCAGGACAAATTTGATAGGATAACTGCCTTGTTGGAAGATTGGTCACAAAAGCGTTGGTGTAAACGCAAGGATCTGGAGTCCCTAATAGGTCACCTTCAGCATGCCTGCAAAGTCGTACCCCAAGGTCGCTCATTCTTGCGCCGAATGATTTACCTACTATGTGCCTTTCGACGCGATGACCACCCGATTCTGTCTCAATCAAGAGTTCTTTCTTGACCTAGCCTGGTGGCAAGAGTTTTTCCAGTCTTGGAATGGTTGCAGCTTTCTTCAGTACCCCAGTGGGCTCAATTCCTGACTTCGAGGTTTCTTCAGATGCCTCTGGGGCTCTTGGTTATGGAGCAGTCTTCCAGGGTCACTGGTTTTCAGGTGCATGGCTCCCATCTCAGGTCTCTCAGTCTATCGAGTACAAGGAACTTTTCCCTATCGTCGTGGCAGCTTACCTCTGGGGTCCCCAGTGGGCCTCCAAACGGGTCAACTTCCTATCAGATAACCGCTCAGTGGTGGACATTTTGCAGTCTGGCACTTCAAGAGCCCCTACCATCATGTCCTTGGTTCGCTATCTGTCCCTGTTGGCAGCTTGTCACTCCTTCTCCTTCACTGCCTCCCCAGTTAGAGGGAAGTCTAACCCCATTGCTGACTCCCTGTCTCGCTTTCAGTTTCAGCGTTTTCGCCGGCTAGCTCCTCTTGCAGACTCCATTCCAACCCAGATTCCGCAGCAGCTCCTCTCGGACTTGGATCTTCGCTGTCAGATAAATACCACTTCTATTTGACTCAGGGTCTTGCCCCCTCCACTAGGAAAGTCTATGCTTCTGCCCAATGCCGCTTCTTGGATTTCTGTGCTCAGGACAATAGCCTATCTCCTTCGGGATCAGCTCTTCCAGCCAGTGAAGACGTGCTCATCCGTTTCTGCTGTCATCTTGCTGATACTCTTCACCATTCATCCATAAAGGTTTACCTTTCAGCAATTCGGTCCCTTCACATTGAGGAGGGTCATCCTTCTCCGCTGGTTGGTTGCCTTGGTTACAGCGGGTGTTGCGGGGCATCAAACGTCACCAAGGCTCAAATAAGCGTCAGCGCCAACCCATCACAATCGAGCTGATGCACATTATCTTCCAGTCCTTGAACTTCTCTGACTACAACCATACAATGCTTTGGGCTGCCTGCTGTCTCGGGTTTTTTGGTTTCTTACGTGCTGGTGAGTTTACTGTCAACTCTCCCTTCAATCCTGACATCCACCTTGCTGTCAGTGATGTCCAAGCAGATTCCCTAGTCAATCCTAGCAGCTTCAGGATTCATATTAAGTGCTCTAAGACGGACCCCTTTCGCCAAGGTTGCCATATTTACATTTGTGCTGGTAAACGTGATCTCTGCCCTGTGCGCGCCCTTACCCAGTATCTACACGTCCGTGGCTCAACTCCTGGCCCACTCTTCCTTCTCTCTGATGGCACCCCTCTACATCGCCAATGGCTGACATCCAGTATTCAGTCTATCTTCTCCGCTGCTGGGGTCACTGGTTGCTACACCGGTCATAGCTTCCGCATTGGCGCTGCTACTTCAGCAGCCTCTCGTGGCTTACCAGATCACCTCATCAAGACACTTGGCAGATGGTCCAGCGATGCGTATCAGATTTATATTCACACTCCCGTCAGTACTATCGTGGGGGTAGCAAACCTTCTCACTTGACAGGTATTTTCTTGTGTATCTTTCTCTTTTCCTAGTTGTCCTTGTAGGGTGCCTCGGGACTTGGGTAGTTTGGGGCCAGGGCTTCCCCCAGCCCTGAGCCCCTCTTTCCCTCTCCGATCTGGCTGCGTCAGCTTGGAGAGTCCCTTCGGCTTGGAATGGGGGCTCATGGCTGGGTTGCGGGGATTTGCCAGCCATGGGGGCAGTTTTTCTATCTAGGGGCTGGCTGGCCACAGTGGAAGCCCCTGGGTATCCCGGGCACCCACCTTCCACTTAAGCGAGGCAGTTGGTTATATTTGGTTAAATGTAATTTAACTAAGTTAACCACCACGAGCTTAGCGGTCAAGCGGTTCACAAGCGTAGCGGTCAAGCGGTTCACAAGCGTAGCGGTCAAGCAATTCACAAGCATAGCGGTCAAGCGGTTCACAAGCTTAGCAGTTGAGCGGTCCACAAGTTAAGCGGTCTAGCGGTCCACAAGCTTAGCGGTCAAGCGGCCCACGAGCGTAGCGGGCATCCAGCGGTCAATCCCATAAGTGCAGGCCCACATGGTGTGTGGTAGCTTTGTACATGGCTAGGATCTGCGAGTTGTTCATCGAGCGTTTGTGCAGTGGTCTGTGGAGCGGTTCATTTAGCGTCTTCCCCCCCTCCCATCCCTATTTTTCTTCCTTCCACTGTTTGATCAGTGTGACGGGTGCCTGGAATGGGGGCTCATGGCTGGGTTGCGGGGATTTGCCAGCCATGGGGGCAGTTTTTCTATCTAGGGGCTGGCTGGCCACAGTGGAAGCCCCTGGGTATCCCGGGCACCCACCTTCCACTTAAGCGAGGCAGTTGGTTAATTTCTTGCTACCTGAAGGGTAGAAAGGCACTTTGATGTTCAAATGTGTCATTATAATAATAACTGTTTTTTCCTCAGTTACTGCAGGCCAAAGGCCAAGGCTGGTAACACTTAGTGAGACCTTGATTGTCTAGGATATAACAAAAACCGAATCTGATAATTGTTTTATTGTACATTGTTTTGAGGAAAATAACAAACAACACGGTCGCAAGGAACCTAAATTGATAAATAAGAGGTTTGAACTTGAAATCCGTAAAACAGTGCTCAATACATAAAGTAGAGCGAGTATACGCGAGTATACGAGTTACTTGTTTTCTTCCGTCAACCATATGTAAATTGATAAATATGTTGTTGGAAATCATGCATTGCACGCAACCTACAGATTAGTCAATTACAAGATCAATCATGAACATAATTTATCTCGATAACTAACTAATCTGTAGGTTGTGCTGATTTCCATAATTAGCTGCAGGCACTTAGTTAGTTAGAAGGAGTTATGTGTTTAAAAAATTCTAACCAGTTTGCCAGTTTGAAAAATCTAAACCGGTTTGAAATGTTCAAACTAAAGATTACATTTGAACTACAACATGTGAAACCCCTACAGGGCTAATGAACTTGACTGATCTCTAAAGGAACACATTTTTCAGACAGACCGCTTTCTGTTTCAAGGATAATGAAGTATACAGTAATAGCCCGCGTATAAGAACCTGGGTTTTAAGAACCTGTTAGGCTAAAATTTTCATTTTAAGCCCCCTCCACATAAGAACCTATTTAGGCTAAAATTTATTATTGCAAAGTTAGGTTCTTATCAGTGGGGTTGCTGTAAAAGTGTATAGGTAGAAACTGCTGAATTAAGATCATCATCTAGGACATATGCTGTACCTTCACTGAACTGCCTACATAGGCATTGCTCTATGGTACAAATAAATGATTTATACTGTATTATCAGATGATATTTATAATATATATAGTATATTCAGATGAAATTCATATGAAAATATAAGAACCTATTTTAAGAACCTCGGTAGCCTAAATTTGCTTTAAGTACCATTTATATAAGAACCTATTTAGGCTAAATTGAAAAATTCAGGTTCTTATACGCGGGCTATTACTGTACGCCATAGACTGTGACAAACGGCTTAAACTTAATCCTCACTTACTTCTGTGATAAAATAAAATTTGCCCTTTCGAAACGTATCTGCGCAGAAAGGAAGAATCAAACAGCTGACAAAATTCTCCACTGTCTTGTTCGTGCATTTGAAATGAAAAGGTAACCTTTTCAATGTTTGCACCTGGCTAATAATTACCACCGATCAATGGAAAGTTAACAAAGAAACACAAATGGGCTGTAATGTAATTTCACTACAATGCAGTGCAAATAGTTTCTCGTCTTAAGTTTCCACAATTAAGATTGTCTTGGATACACCCGCTTCAGAAATCAAGACTTTTGCTTTTAGACGTAGGTATGTCATGGTCGTGTGAGTTATAAAGTTGCAAATTGCATGTTGAAGCAAGCAGTTTTAAATTACCCTAGACGTATGTAAAAGTAGCAATTTAATACTTGAGTCGCTTGACTGTACCTTCCAACAAAACGGGTTGAGACACAAAATAGCTGTTTTTCCTGTCAACCTAGCAAAAATTAACAGAAACTGTCACCAAATGAATGACCATTTCCATTCCTCCCCTCACCCGATGCTGTTTTATAGGGTAACACCAGAATTACACGTTACATGTAGTTTTTAAACCAAAACAATCCCATTGAAAAGGGTTTGGGGAGGGCGGCTTACTTTTCATTTAGACATCGCCTAAATAGAGTAATGAAGATTGCTTGCTTTGATTCAAAGATGCAATAGGCAAGCAATCTGTGTGAACGTAAAGGAGTCAAGTAAACAAGCAAGCGATGTAAATAGGGTAAAAAGCTTGTTGGAAAAAAAGCTCTGCTAGCAGGGTACTTGATCCCACTTTTACAAGAAACACAATTCCCAACAGTGTGGGAACGAAGAAATTAAAAGCGATGAACATGTTAAGCAATGCAGGGATAATTTTCAGTACTATTTTGGAGGAAAACATAAACTTAATCTGAAGCTTATGGTATTTTTTACGTCACATAAGAGCTGGCTAGTTTTTTTCAGAAATTTGGAAGTATTAAATTGAGGGATAAAATCTGTCAAAATATTTCTAATTTAAAACAGGTTTCGAATACAGGTAAGTGATCTCTCAATTTGACTAAAACGAACTTTACGATTTTTTTATCCGAGGCAAAAGAAAATTAATGTTACTGTTCCTCTTGTTATGGAATACTATAATCAAGCAAGTGATGGAAACTCTTAGGAATTATCATTGATCAGCACCTTTCCAAGAAATCTCATTTTAGTTTTTGTTTCTCAAAAGATCTCGAAAACTGTGAGGATTATTGCAAAAGCTCACTATTATCTATCATCCAAATTGTTTCTGACCTTATATTACTCTCCAGTAAATCCCTGCGTAACATACTGTAATGTTGCCTGGTCCTCCACCTATTATTCTAACCTAAAGTGTATTTGCCTTTTGCAAAAGCGCATAGTGTGGCTTATATCAAAAGCTCACTATGTAGCATATACCACCCAATTATTTAGCAAACTTAGCTTTTCATAAACTCTTTTTAAGTAGTAACCAGGTTCACCGTTATGAAACTCTACTAGCCTCTCAGTATAGACCTCATTTTTGTGGAACTAATATTAAGCAGTTCAGTATCCTTTATCGAGGACCAACAATCTGGAATTCTTTACCAGTTACACTAATCAGCTCCTCTTCCATATTTGTTTTTAAAAATATCTGAAGTCGTTCTGTCGCTTAAGTTTTATGTTTTCTGTACGCTCTGCATTCAAGTAAGCCTTTGTAATATAGCTTATGGAAGCCTATTAATATATGCTCCCAGCTTATTTAGACAACTTAAAATTTAATTAACACCTCTTGTATCGTTTTATTATTATGCAATGTGAGTGACTAAAAAAACAAATGAATGAATGACATGAACTCCAGTGGTCGCCAGCTTGATTTGAAACCCGTGATAGTAGATGGTAGTATGGTGCAGACTTAAAAAATAGATAAAACTGTCTCTGTCTGTTGTCTTTTGAAACACATTTTTAACTGAACAATGGTTTTTTTTTTTACAGGAAGTGGCTCGGGATTGCCTTTATTAGTTCAACGGACAATAGCTAGACAAATTCATCTGGTGGGACTCATTGGTAAAGGAAGGTTTGGTGAAGTTTACAAAGGGCTCTGGCGAGGTCAGAGTGTTGCAGTCAAGATTTTCTCATCTCGAGATGAGTGCTCATGGTTTCGTGAAGCAGAAATCTATCAGACAACCATGTTGCGGCACGAAAATCTGTTAGGTATGACAACTTACATTTTGTATACTCTTACTGTTTTTCCTTTTTTAAATAATAATATTATATACTTTTACTTGATTTGACCTGAGTGGAATGCTTTTAAACTAGTTGGTGTTAAAAGAGCCCTGCCCAAATGTATCTATTACAGTGTTGATTATGTTTTGTAATTGTACAATGAAGAATGGTGGAACTTTATTTTAAAAAAATGTTTTCTTTTTAAAACATCATGCCGGGTAAAACTTACATGTAGACAACTTCTATTTTATCATTCTTGCTGTGTATTTGTTCCCTACTTTCTATACAAATTAATCGTAACAAAAGGAAAACATAGCTGCAGACATATTCGTCATTTTGACAGCCTGTTATTTCAAATCTTCCCAAACTCCTAAAATACCAAAATAATTATACCACTACACTGCGAAATGACGAAGAAAACGAAGTATGTTAAGCTTAGTGCAGTGAAACCTATATTAAGTGGACCCCCAACTAAGCGGACACCCTCTATTAAGCAGACACTAAACTGGGTCCCGAAATTGATCTCTCATATTTCCCTTTATAACAAACCCCTATTCAGCGGACACCTCTATTAAGCGGACGCGGACACTAAAATAGATTATATTTTGCTAATTTTCTCGGTTTTCACATGACGTCACCAAAACTCAAACTAAGAAACTATCGATTCTTCTCAGTTTCTGAGTTTCATGAGGTAATACAGCACCTAAACACCTTTATTTAAACAAAGTTTTGGTTCGAAAGGGTTCTTCGTTTTGCGATAGAGGACGTTTGAATTTCTAGGCTTTCGTGTGACGCGGCATTTAGCTGGCGGCTAGGAAGAAGGCTCTTTAGTTGGTTTAAAACATTATCAATTTTGGGAGATTTTGCTATCTAAACATTCCTTGTCTCAGAATAAATATCACTTTAATCCTTTATGAATTTTTCAAGCGATGAATTCACGCATTACTTGGAAAACTCAAAAACGGATGTTTCTGTTGTTTTCTAGCAGCCATATTTGTGCCCCTCAAAGAGACACAAACATGGCGTCTCCATACAAAGTTTTATAAATTTGGGTGAACCGTTTTTCCGAATATCTCACATATGAAATATCCCACAGACCTGATTCTTGGCGAGGCCTTTAAGAAATAAGAGTTGAGACTTACATAACTGAAGCCTGAATGAGCAGGGCCATAGCCAGACATAGTTACTAACTGAAGTAAAATCGGTGCAACAATTAATCCTCTATAGCCGGCTAGGCGATATCTATTTTTAGTTTTTTTTTCATTTGTTTCACATAAGGCACATGAAAGAGACTTGAATTCTGGCTAGGCGATAGCTGTTTTTAGTTTTTCTTTTTAATTTTTTCGCATGTTTCGAAGAAGACTTTATAAAGTAGGAGCTAACTAGGTCTAGAGCTTTATCCGAGAAGCGATATGATTCTAATTTTTTAATAAGAAGGGGAGAGTAAAGTGAATCAAATGCCTTACTCATATCAGTAGGTAACATGCCAACTAATTTTCCACTATCTAGCTCCATTTTCCATTCTTCTACAAGTCGGATGAGGGTTGTCTTGCAGCTGTGTGTTTTCCTATATGCTGTTAAGTTATCACTGAGGATGGGGTCCATGAAATTTGCAATTTCAGGGTTCGCAAATACGCCAAATTTGGCGTAATTTACGCCAAAATTGTTCAGATGACTCCACTGAGGTTACGGAGGGAGTCACTTCGACTTCACAAATTTTCGGTAACAAACAGGGAGCCACTTCGACTCCAGAAATTTTCGGTAACAAACACAGTTTTGTCCTTGCCTTTTTCGCAACAAATACAATTTACGTTAATTGTAAACGTTGTAAACCTTAATTAAATCATCGAAATTAAAGAATTATACTGCACGACAAAACAGGAAGAGGGTAAATTACGATCAAAGTTTACTCAATGACCGCCATCATGGATTTGAGCTTTCCAGGTCAGCGGACCATCACAGCTAGTTCGTGTATCCCTCACGATAGTTTATACATGCCAGGACCACGTGCCGGAAAGTCTGAAAATGGCTTTTTTCGTTGTGATACCTGACTCCAAATATTACAAAATGACTCCAAAATTTGTGAAGCAGAAGTCACACCGACTCCACTCATCAATAAAATTTGCAAACCCTGTAATTTGTTTGCTCAATAACTTTTCATAAATTTTACCCACAACAGGTAAAACAGTGATTGGTCTATAATTGCTTGTGCCTTGTCTGTCATCCTTTTTAAATACAGGAGTCCATATTCCCCTTTTCCAAGTTTTCGGCCATGCTGCCCTCTCTATGAAAGTGTTAAAAATCATCCATAGTGAGGGGCAACTTCCTTTGAGATCATTTTTAAGAGACTGGGAGGCAAGCCATCGTGACCCGAAGCTTTATTGACATTCAGACATTCCATTTCTTTCATTACCTCTGCTGGCTTTAAGCTGGAGAAGGTGAAAGGTCGTCTATCAGATCCACTCAACGTTTCCCTTATGTTTTTTACACAAACATGTGCACTAAAATTTTCTTCCGTTAAGTTTAGGGTGTCTGTACGGTCAATGTTGTTTGCTTTTGTGGAGAAATAATAAGATCAGAATTCCAATGTTTAGAAGGTTTACCATTTATATTAAGAGTGATGTTGTTCCCAGCACATGCATCCTTTTTACGGTTTAAGAAGCGATTAAAGGTGTTGTAGAATTCCTTAGAGCTCAGATTATTGCATACCTTTTGCCAATAGGACCTAATTGATTTGCATCTTAACTTTGTAGCCTCCTTGCGCCATTTGTTCTTGAGTTCCAGATTTAGCTGTTTTCTGTTTTTGCTGAATTGTTTTGAGAACTTCCTTTTGTTTCTGATAGCTCTCTTCCATTCACTTGTCATGTAAGGGACGTCTTGTTCTCGTACTCTCAGCTTCTTAAAAACGGCGCATGTTCGTCCAAGACATGATTCAGTAGACCTTCCCAGAAGCTACACTTATCCTCGATCAACCAAAAATTTCTCCAACATGCCACGGTGCAATATGCAGATTGTATTTCAGGTCTTCTTCATGGATACCTTTAAGATTTCGAAAGGTGATAATTTTACTTGAATGATAATTATGTAGCCTTGATTTTCAATATCCGGTATACCAATGCATGGTCCCTCAGTTCTGGGTTAAAAACATCACACCCTTGAAAGAGGTATGGCTTTTTAGTGAGAATGATATCCAGAAGGTCTGTGGTCTGTTATTCTAGTGGGTTTCTCATTGAGGCAAGAAAAAACATCTTGCCCTCTTTTCGTTCAGGTCTCAAGCGATCTAGGTTGAGATCCCCAAGAACTATAACAAAATGCTTTTAAAGTGCAGCAAAGATACAGATGTCGTTTAGCTCTAACCTGAGGTAGTATTGCTCACCGATAGATTTTGGGGTCTGTAGATTCCAACTACTTCTGCATCATGTTTTCCAAATTTGGCTTCAACGATTAATGGTTCAATAGTTGAAAATTTAAGGTGAAATTGTAATTTAGTGGATGGCGTTCTCGAGGATATAAATGCCATAATACCACCCCACCCTTGGTGCGGTCACTGGGGTAGATGCATGTCATAGCCACTGATTTTGAACTGAGCAGTGGGATAAGATGCATCAATTTTTGTTTCTGTAGGAAAGAAGACTTGTGCTTTGATTTCTTTCATAAGCTGTTTCACTTCCTCAAATTTATTTTGGACTCCATTGATGTTCAAAATTATGCATTACAAGAATCTCTCGGTCATCATCATTCCTTGATTTAATAACTTCTGGAAGGGAATTCGCACTGGTGTTTGACAAGTTTGACGTGTTCAGTGTCTCTGCATAATGTTCGCCTTCGTCCAACAAAATTGATGCATCAGCAAAAGGTGTCACCGTTTTCACTGTTGTCAGTGTTGTCAATGATTGATTGGCAATATTTTTTGCTGCGATAGGGCGGTTAAAAAACATGCTGGGCAAATCCAGTTTGCTGGAGGCGTTTGTACTCCCTGAGCTTCACTCGACTGCACTTCATATGGCACCACAGTGTGCACTGATCACAACTTAGTGCTCGATGGTTACGGGCAATTACTTTTTTGCAAACGGAGCAGCTTGTACGGCCAGGATTTAATTCAATGTCTCCTCTAACAGTAAAACACGTAAATTGATATCTAGAATCAGAATTCGGATAATACGGTACTCGTGACGCCAGGAGGCCTCTCCGACAAAAGGACAATCCAAAATGACGGACTTTACAAACTTGTCCATCCAGGACGTTTGCAGACAAGAAACCAAAACTCATTGGTCTGTGGAATACCTTTCCTTACCTTTCTCTTCATTGCCACAGCTGGTTACGTACAAGAGTAGAAACAGAGTTAAAGGCCAAAAGTATCGAGACCAAAGACACGTACATCCGGTCGCCATTTTAATTTTTTTTTGATGCCTTGTTCCTTCGTACTATTTTTACTCTGCCTTCGCCGGTCAGTTAAATTAAATTTTGTAATTTAATAGGGAAAGCCGACGTTGTATAAGCCTCTTGGTTTCTTTGGGCTTTCCTGCCATTTCCTGGCGATTCTTGTCATGTATTTCTATAAAATAAGTAAACTGAACTAACTAAATAAACTTATCCTAACATTTAAAGATTAAATTTGAACAGCATCCTATGTGGTCACAATATTGTCTTTAAACGCGCAGATACAAAACTAAAAAGCCCTTACGTGTTTTACTGATGTTAGGGGAATATGTCATAGGATTTCAAAGTTGCATGTATGGAGTACATTTTTTGTGATAATGCAGGTTTAAGTAGTTGCTGATACATGTATCTTTATACGTACAAGAAAATCAATAACATTTTTTCCTAAAGGCCCACCATTCTTCATTAAAGATGCCAAAAATCATCGAAATATGTTAATGGTAAAACGTTTCAGGCCACCTTAACCTTGCATTTTGGACCACTGACCTATTCTCTATATTCAAAACACTCTGCTTTGTGTTACAATAAACACTAGTTTTGCAGCCGTCCAGGATGGACTTTATATATTCCCAAGAGCATTTGAAAACAATAACTTATGGAATTTTGTTTGAGGAGGGGGGCGAGTGGAGTGGAAGGGGCCAAACAGGATTTATTAGGGGGATTCATAAATATATACATCTTACTAGTGAGAACGTACTGTTCATGAAGAGAATAGTGCAAAGAAAAGGCACAGACTATTTTTATTGCAAGAGTAATAAGTTAGAACTATAATAATATGCAGCTATGACAGAGAGCTCACTGACAATACAAGTGTTGTTCAAAGATGCTCGGGAAGTAACGTTTTAATTAATAATGTTAAATGAATTATCCTCTCAGGCTTTGTAGCAGCAGATAACAAAGATAATGGTGCTTGGACCCAGCTGTGGCTTGTAACTGACTACCTGGAGAGAGGGTCTTTGTATGACTACCTTCAGTTTGTTACTTTGGATGTTGAGGCAATGCTTAAGTTGTGTGTCTCTATTTCCAGTGGATTAGCACATCTCCATATAGAGATTGTTGGTACCCAGGGTAAACCTGCGATTGCACATCGGGACTTAAAAAGCAAGAACATTCTTGTGAAGAGAAATGGTAAGGAAGTGGATTTAATAACATCAACAAGTCATTATCAAAAGGATATCACAATATACACTGAATGTCAGGTCCCCAGAGAAACAGTTTTGTTTTTTTGAGACCCCTTAGATAACAAAACTAATTGGTTTCCCAAGAGACCTGACATTAAGTTTTTTGCTTTATTCTTAGACTTTCACTTCAAAAGTAGCAAAGAATAAGTAGAGCGAATCAAAACATTGTTGGTACTTGTAAGAACAAATTTATTTTTTAAAATCGCCAAGTGAATGACTTTCCTTCCTTCCTTTCTTAACTATTCTTAGGTGTTATATGCATCTTTTTACTCCAGTAGCTGCTGTTTCTCTTCTGGGATAACTTGGAAATTTGTTGCTTTTTAGCTTACGGTTTTTATGTTTGTTTTTTTGTTTTCATTCACGAGCGTGAAAACTGGCAGTGTTTTTTTCCCGCCTTCTGTCACGTCACTTTCCACCATGCTTTGGTCACGTGATGTTGTGTCCTGAGGGGGATACAATTGCTCAAAATTAACGTGTCAAGATCGGGATACATTTGTTTTTAGTCAAGGAAGTCCCTGTTTAGTTGAGTGAAAGCCTACATCTCTAGGAATATAGGAATATTTGGTTTTTGATTTTAGATGGCTCCAAGCCATGGAAAGGTTACCTTTTTTATATCTAACTACTTCATAGTTAACCGACTTGCTAATAACACTGATAAGCAGACTGTCCCAGGAACACACTAATTCTTAACATCTCATTGTTGTGAGATTTTTAAAGTTCTTCATGTTTCATTCATCTCAAAAATATTTTTTACATATTAGGTATAACTGCGCAACCGGTAATTTGACAAACAATAATTGACTGTTAAACTGTGACAAGAGACAGATTGAAACGCGCCAATGGACATTTCGAGTCTTCATAGCCAACAGCATCATGGCTTAACTGACAGACGATTGTGACTTAATTGACCAATCAGGTGAAAAACCAGGGAGAGTTTAATACCATCGTCTGACGTTATGCAAGTCACTTTGACTCTGAAGATGACTACTGCACGAATTATGGGAACGTCAGTCACTGTCAACAACAGTCATATCCAGGACTACGTTCACCTGGACGATCATCCTCAACCTACTTATTTAAAGTATAATAATTATGCTGAGATTTGTGACTTACCGGCTAAACATCCTATTTATGATTTTAGTCCATGTTCATCTGCCTGGAGTAGCTGCTCTCTCTGTCCCCTCTTTAAACTCCTTTGTCTTCAGAGCAATACTGGGGAGTGTTTTCTGACTTCCGTCATGCCTCTTTTTTCTTATATCCTGATAAATACATTTCAGGGAAATGCACTTTACTGGTCTATACTGTCACTAAACTGTTCAGTTCTACTCCTTCTCTACTGCAACCTAATTCTCTTAAAATTCTATCGTTTCTTCCCTTACATTTGTAAGTTTAAATTAATTATGTGGACAAGTTTATATTGAAGAAGTAAAAATGAGTTCAGGGCAGCTAACATTTTGTACACTTGTGCCCATTTCACTTTATTCAAAACTTACAATGTAATAACTAGATTTGCAATACATTTTGCATTGAGTAGTAGTCAAGCAATTTCTTGAAAATGATTATTTGAAGGAAGGAATTTCAAACTACAGTTTACATGTACCAGTATGACAAAGAGTATTTACTTTCTGGTTTGGTAGGGACATGTTGTATTGGTGATTTGGGACTTGCTGTGCGTCACAACTCAGCTAATGATACAGTGGATGTGCCACATGGCAACAAAGTTGGTACGAAACGTTACATGGCACCAGAGTTTCTTGAAGACAACTTTCATGTGCGACATTTCGATGCCTACAAGCGTGGTGATGTGTATGCCTTTGGTCTTGTATTGTGGGAGATAGCTAGGAGGTGTGTGTCAGGAGGAACTTGTGATGAATATCAATTACCGTACTATGACAGAGTTCCATCTGATCCCAGTGTTGAAGACATGAGGAAAGCGGTTTGTATCGAGAATTTCAGGCCAGTTGTTCCTGCCAGATGGAGTCAAGATCAGGTACTTTATTTTATGTGACATTTTATCAGCTTCTTGTATAACTTCCTGTTGGTATTGTGAATATTAGACAATAAATTGTATTATAACTTAATTGCTGCAAAATGTGACCTTCTTTGCCGGGGAATGAAACAAAATTTCAGATTTTCTACACTTTATCAGAAAGACCTGTTAAATGAACTTCTGACGAGTGACACATCAAGTGGCTAATGTCAAAAACTATCGCCATCTTTCACCAGTGACCTCCCTTAGCTATTAATTTTAATCAGAGGGATTGCTCATTCACTCAAGTGTTGTATAGGCCAACAACTGCATGTGCTTAAGAGAAGGCAAGGCTTTTTTACTTCAGAGGCCATGTAGACAACATATCGTTATTATGAAAAACAAAGGGGACAAAAGGGTGAAGAAGAAGTTGGAGAAAACGTGAAAAGACCACAGCTTTGTAAAACAATCAATATTCACTTTACACCTTTTTTGTCTTGAATACTTCATCAAAGACTGTGGTACATTTGTGAATTTTTACAATAACGATTTTGATGTACAGTGGAGACCCGCCTTACGGCCACCTTGGTAATACGGTCGCCTCGTTATTACGACCACGTTTTTTTGCCCGACAAAACGGCCGTACATTTTCTTATAAAAAACCCTCGTTAATACAGCCAACGGTCACATTTTGAAGTCCCATACAGTAGAATCTTTTATAATTTCACACCGTTAATACGGCCACTCGTCCGAAATTTAGAAAATTAAAATGCTTGGGCCTGATCTTGTATTGTTTTATGGACTTTGGTATATGTAAAATGCATTTGTGGCGGTTTAATAGCCGATTTTTAGAAGTGCTATCTTTGCTGAAGGAAAGTTTCAAGTAGTTTTTACAATTACTGTACGTGAATTTACATTCCGGGTCTTAGAAATCATACTTGGCGCGCACCATGGGGTGTTTGTTAAAGAGAACAGTTGTTCAAGAAGTGGGAACGCGATATATCATAGTTAATTGAGTGGAATGGTTATGAAACCCTTCAGACTCCTTTGTTATATGTTTTTGTGGACCTGAAAGTGCACAACGTTCCAAAGAATTCCTATCATTTTGATTGTATTGACCAATAAAAACGTTGCATTAATTTATTCCGTAACAATTTGCCAACAGAAAACAAAGGATTGTGCACTTTCACGGTACTTCCAACATTAACTGCAGCACTGTTGTTCTTATCATTGATGTTTGCCGCTTTTCATATCCAGTCTCCTCTAATAACTATGGATATATGGTGTATTTGTTGTTACAGCCCTTAAGTCATGAACTTTGACCCTGCCCCAGTAATACGGCCACTGTATAATTGTGAGGCTAGACACTCTTAATAAACTTAGATAACTCAGCACTCTCCTTGTAAATAAGTTCAACATGTGCTTGTGTTTACTAGTAAGAGCTGCAAATTTAAAAATTATTCAATGCCATGAACTTAATGCTCACCAGTGGACACATGTAATGATTGTTATTATTAACATTGTGTCAAGACTTTCTGTTATTCTCACACTTAACACACTGTAAATTTTTTTTGGCGTGGGATGTTTAGTCTTCATACAAGTGTTATCATTTCCCATATTCAACACATTTTTGAAATCCATCACCAAGAATCGCGTCTTTCTATTGTCTGTTTTTCCACTGTATGCAGTTTCTCCACGAGAAGACTCACAACTGTTACTCTTGCTCTGCAGGCACTGCAGTCTGTTTCAAAGGTTATGAAGGAATGTTGGTATGGAAACAGTGCTGCCCGACTAACAGCCTTGAGAATCAAAAAGACTCTGACAGCTCTCTGTCAAGCTTATGATGTGGATATCATGGTGTAATAATGCTGCTGCCCTATGGATATCACAACCTAAATGTTCTGCAAGCAGATGATTGACATCCTCCTGGCATATGGATATCTTACTTAAAGGATCTTCCTACAGTGTACATGTAGCATGCGGATATCCTGTCCAAGTATCCTCTTGGAAAGTGAATGTTTTGTGCATGTGGATTACAAGCAACAAACACTGTACCTACACGAACAACGTGGGCATGTACCACACTACTGCCAAAGGTACAATGAAGAAGCTGGCACCACCAGTAAGACACTGTGCAGCACATTTCTCGTACTAATCTAGGTGAAAAACAGACCCCAATATTTGGGGCAGTTCATTCAAACAAAGCTCTTTCAGAATATTATTAGCCACACATGGACCTTTGCCATTCACCTTCCCCATGTAAAGCAAACGCTTTGTCATTACAAATATTTTATTCACTAAATTGAAATGTGTTTTTCATTTATTAGTACATATCAAAACCATTAGATATCATATCCCTTTCATAAGTAGGTGTTGTGCGATTGTCCGGAAGAGTATAGTCCAGAATAGGATTGCTGTTGACTATGTCTGACATTGCGACAACCTTTGCCGAAGTCATCGTCAGAGTGAAACTCAAGGTGACATGGTGTTATTGACTGCTTGTTAGCCAATTACATCACTGCTCTACAAGCAGACGACCAATAAAATCGCCGTTTACTTGACTAATCAGGTCAATAAACACAGGCAAATACCATCAACTGACGTTGCACGACTCACTTTGTCTGAGATGATATTGTGAAATGTCAGCAACAGTCATATTTAGGACTACATTCGCCTCCGTTCACCTACTTTTGACTCGGCTCCTGGGCTGAAGCCATTTTCAATTCCCATCTAGTTGTGTTATTGGACAAAGTGGATGGAACAAAGCAAACTTGTTTATGAAATCCAGGAGGAATATAGATAATTAGTTTCAAGTCCTCTCTTGAAATTGTGTAGGTAACCAGATGTCAAGAAGGACACCATTTAGTGGCCTTGTGCCAGCATTTTATGTATCATATGTTCTTATCACAGTACTTTAAGTACAGTACTTTTTTGTTGGTGTTTGGAACAGCAAAGAGTTTTTCTTATGGGACACTAGAAGTGTTGAAGAGTATTTATGTTATGATGGTAGATTTGTGGTCAAAAATAAGGGTTTTTTTTTTCCTGTATGAAGTTTTTTTTTTTATGTCGATTGTAGTTGATTATATTATTGCTGTTACTAGAAGCATTTTTTTTGAAATAAAGTTTAATTACTTATTACAGAAACCAATTAACTAGTTTCCAGTAATAATGTCCGATTAATAAAGGGATACAATAGCATTTGACGTAACATTTAGAATGCGCTGCAAAACCTGATTCAGTTAATTTAGTATTTTCGGTTGTTTTTCCTTTTCTTCCAAATTTTTTTTTCAAGAAAACAAATATTTTTCTGAATGCTAATACTCCATTGTCTTCCCCTGTAATTTAGTAACTCGACCCTTTCAGGGCAGAGAACTTCGCTGAAAAAAAAACCTTAACGGAGCTAAAAAATAAGAATTTTTAAATTACTATCTTTACCGATAAAACTTAAAAGATTTTTGACCCTTCAGGCTCAGTTTAGCCTACGAAGGCAGCCGTGCGTCTCTCCTCACCCCCCACCCCCAGAAACAAAACCAAGACAGCTGTATGGCAGGAAAAGGTCATTAGTTACATGAACTAATGATTGTACACATCCTTGTTCATGTTTCCACTTACAGTAAAAACCCGCATACAAGAACATGTGGATTAAGAACACCCAGGCTGAAATTTGGTAAAAAAGGAGCATATATATAAGAACACATTCAGCCTGGAAATTGAAAATTGTTCTTATATATAAAAAATCTTCCCTTTTCAGTTTAATAGAACAGTGTCTGTAGCTTTATTGTGGTATTGCACTATGATGTTGTGTCTCAAGTTTAATTTTCTCTCAAAGTTATGTATTTCATCATAGTTAGTAAATCCCTTACATTTTTTTAGAAGTAAAAAATTAAGAACACTTTCAGGCTGATTTCACCTAAAATACCCGATATGTAAGAACCCAATCAGCCTGAACCCCGAAAATGGGTTTTCTTGTATTCGGTTTTTTACTGTACTGTAAACTGTTAAATGAAATCCCATTTGATAAAGCAAGACGATCACACGCCTCAGAAGTTTGGCCGCGGTTGTGAGTGAGGCACTTATTATTCGAAAATGGCTGACCCATGATGGGAAGTGAAACGAAAGTAAATGGCCTTAGATTTTTAACACAAACCAAAAAGAGAGAAGGAAAGTATATGTATGGTCTTTTGAAAAAGTACCCGATAATTGCTGGTGAGCAGTAAGGTGGACGACTACGTTTTCCAGTCCTCCCACCATCGACGTTATTAAAAATTGTTGACGATGGTTGCAAATATCACTTTCGAGAAGGTGAAAAATCTTTTAAAGCAGGAGCTTGCTCTTGTAAATGCAAAATTGGAAGAACTATTTAACCAACTGAATGAAATAAATTCTACGGTAAAGTTTTTGAAAGACACTGAACTTTGACGGGCTATTGAACGAGATAAAGAACACGAATGAAAATGTAACTCGCCTTGCCTCGGACATGGCAAACGGTAAAGTGAACATAAAGAGAGTGGAGAAACTTGCTATTGATGAATGAATGAACGAATGAATGAAGCTTTATTTCATCTCGAGTTTGATGAGGTTGATTAGACCTCTATCAAAAATATGCTAAAAAGCCGAAAAGTAAAATAATAGAGAAAGAAAGGGAAATGCAAAAACGTATTTACAGTGCAAAGCCTAAAATTACGTGATTTAGCTATTTACAATGAAAAGCCTAATTACATAATAAAATATAGATATTATTGACAATTAGCTAGAACCTTAGCTGGCGGACTGCTTTTTTAAAAGCTGACAATGTACTTAAAGAAAGATACATCTGTTGAGGATGAAGAGATCACTCAATGCCTGAGGCGAGACAGCCTAGAGATGACGGGAGCCTAAGGCAAATGACGACTGTTCGGCGGAAGCCATTGTCACATCAATTGGCAGCCTTATAGGAGTCTTACAGGAGTGCCATTAAAGGGGAATTACCACCTATAAGGAACACGCGCTACCTTAACTCATCATGAAGTTAACCCGCCACGGTGTCAGAAACAAATTCGGTTGTAACAGAAGAAAATTGGCGATGAAGAAGGCAAACGATCTGCCAAAATCACAACCTGTCATCCCAGGCCGATGTATTCATCTCTGAGTCACTCACTCCATTCAAGAAAAAGCTCTTCGGTGATGTCAACAAAGTGAAAAAGAAACTTAAATGGAAGTCAATTGATTTGGACATATACTGATAGGACCTTTATTAGGCAGGACGAGAATAAGCCATCTTTCTCGTTTGACTGGGAAGAAGATCTGGCTAAATTTAAATCACACAAGTCACGCTTAATGCTATATATGTACAAGGTATAAAAGTTCACAAAGTAGAGCACATTATGGCCATTCAAGTAATCGTCCTTAATGCGTTTAGAATATTTATTTTAACTTGTTTTATTTTTGTTATGGATTTGTTTTGATCATTTCGAATTGAACCATAATGTGCTCTCTGAACTTCCATTCTTCACTTTGGATTCCCAAAAGTTTCTTCCGATTACTGGAGGTTGGTTACACCAGTCGTTTCAATCTGTTATGGAGTCTGATCACTAAAAAATGGAGTAGAATTGTCTCAAAGACAATTTATCCAATCGTATTTAGGCAGACTGCAATAACACGTACACACTTGAATTTAGTTCGACATGCCATAAGCACAACGTTTGAATCACTGTCGCGTCGAGTCTTGTAGCACCGCAGAACTTTGCTTCAGACGTCGTGCTTTTATAGTGCTTTTGTCGGCATCTAACTTTGGACGTCAATATGTCTGATCAACCCCTTTTTCACTCCACACAAGCCCTATTTCCATGTTCTTTATTTGAGCACGGTTTAACGGTGATATGGGATAAATGTAAGAATTCTATCTTTTCCCATTTGTCCTCGTCTCGTTTTCAGTTTGGTAGTTGTACGTTGCTGTCAGCCTTACACTTCGCATTTCAAATCTCTCCAAGTGTTTGTTTGAGCCAGTTCTCCAAGATCCAAAGTTGGTTTGCCAAATTGAACTCGCAGTTCGCTTACGCTGTTACTGTTCTTTGCCTTTATTCTGTAAGTCTCTGAATATCGCATCCAAGTCCGCAAACGTTGGTTCTCTTTGACTGGCATCCTTTCGAATTTCAATAATTTGAAACTGATGGGATTTGTGTCGTTGCGACACTCTTGTAGCGTTCCTTATTCGTCCTTTTGAGCCAATTGCTAGAAGCCATCTCTTTGTCACATTTGTACGCTCAGTTGGGTATAAGTACGAACTGAATGAATAGAAATGATTTTCTTCCTTTTCATGTACTAGCAACGCTTCTTGATTGGACAAAATACCCTAAAAAACAATCACACCGTTAAATCGAATTCTCCTTTCTCCTCACAGCAAACTGATTCAAATGTACATACAACGTTTTTGTTAGAAAAACCGTCAGTAAAATAATTGGAAAATACTTTATTCACTGTTCTAAAAAGTTGCCGAGGGGAAAGCTACAGTTGAAATAAGTACTATACGAGTTCTCGGAATTCAAGGATACCTGTGCGTCACTGAGATTCCGTTCGCAATACAGTGAAACCTCTATTAAGCGGACACTAAGCAGGGTTCCGAAATTAATGTCTTATATTTTCCTTTATAAAGAATCCCTCTTAAGCGGACGCGAACACTAAAATAAATTGTACTTGGCTTATTTCTTTTGTTAAAAACCTCTGTTAAGCGGACACCGGACTGATATTGGATTACGTTCTTGAAATACGAACTGGAGTCGATTAATAAGGATAAATCAATACATTTAGCTGTCAATAAACTGTAGATTAGACTGATATCCGGCCGTATGATTGTCATCCGCCATCAAAGTTCACCTAAAAGTTCTTTTTTACAAACTCTATTAAGCGGACACTTGGAAAGGTCCCGAAGGTGTCCTCTTGATAGAGGTTTCCCTGTGTTTTAATAGCACGCTAGAAAAGCTGTATGCTCGTAGCCTACATGTTCAGACGTTAGGCAATTTTTACAGTGTAACCTGCGCCCAAAAGTCGGTGATGAGTGACGCAATATCCAGTTTCCCATTCAAGGTGACATCGACCAATATAACTAAGGCAAACCAAGGATTCAGCCATATGCAAATATTCTCTGTCACAGATCCTCCCCCCCGCCCAAAAAAAAAACAAACAAAAACAAAAAGCTAAATCTAGTTTGAGCGCTCCCTCTCTCCCTCTCTCAGGATTTAAGATGAAACCCTAACTGCGAGGTTGGAAATAATGTTTTAAAAAGAGCACATATTATTGAGAGAACCTTAATGATGTCCAGTTTAATGATTATTACCGTGGAGTAAATTTTTCCTAAGCTGTTTATTGCAATGTATTTCTTTGTCTTCAAACTTTTCAGCTTCACTAAGCTTGGACCGTGAGACTGAATACGAAAGAGACCTGAAAATAAAGATTAGATTCAAGTTAGTCACTCTTTTGTTTTTTCGAAAACTGCAGCTGCCTGGTCACGTCTTCTTAAACTCAACGGAATTAAACTTGGACTACTAGTTCTGGTTCCCTCCTAAATACGTTGAAAACACTTTTTAGGCCAGCCAAAGTAGTTTTAGATCTCTAGAAATTCATTCTAAGCAGCGCTATGGAATTTGTCTCTGTTCTGTCATCCTAAGGCAAGTTAAACCGTTTCGAAATTACAATTATATTTTTCCGAAAATTTTTAGATGCCATTTTATACTTCACGAAGGGGGGAACAAGCACCATCCTCCATACTTTTGTTCAACCGGAAGCACTTCTTGTCATCGGCAAAGAGGCAAACAGATGTTGAGGTCGCCATGTGAGCAAGGTCATTCACATACCGTATTTATTCGAATAAGCGCCCAACTTCGAATTAGCGCCCACCTCGAATAAGCGCCCATCCTAAAGGCAGAAAAATTTAATAAGCGCCCAGCCTCGAATAAGCGCCCAACCCCTCTTTTTCCCAATCAAACTCAAATAAGCGCTCACCCCCACCCCACCCACTTGAGTGAATAAATTCTAATAAGGGACTTCCCCGAAGACGGAGTTTTCTTCAGAGTATTTTACAGAAAGCTTGCTTTGTTACTTCTTCGCGTTTTGTTGGAAAATAAACATACTTCACTTGCTGAAAATGGTGAAAATTTAATAAGCGCCCACTCTCAAGGTCCAAAAATTTAATAAGCGCCCAGGGCGGTTAATCGAATAAATACGGTATGAGGAATAATGGTGGTCCAAGTATTGATTCTTGTGGCACGCCTGATAAAACAAGGAGGACGCGGACTTGGACGCGGTCAGTGACATAGTCTTTGAACTAAGCCGACAGGGTACCGCTGATTCCGAATCGGTGGAGCTTCTTGAACAGCACTTTGTAGTTAACCCTGTCGAAGGCTTTAGCGAAGTCAAGATAGATGGCGTCAACCTGCACTCTCTTGGTAGTTGATACCAAGTATCTTATCCGTGCGTTCTATCATCCGTCCTTGTCGCTTGGATAAAAAATCTGTTGTTTTTTCCAGTTGGCTGGGGTGGCAAATAGGTCTTTAGAGATGTAGTTCCTCCGATGAAAGGCCCTTTCTGTAACCACTTTGAATAAACATTGTCACTACTACTTAGAATTCAATAGCTGTGGTCACACTACGGGCTTTTACCTAGGTAAAACCGATTTACCATCAAAAATCTCCCGAGGTAAATTCATCTCGGGTTTTGTTTTACCTAGGTAAAAATTCTGGGAAGCTCACACTACTGATATCGGCTCCGAAGGTTTTCACGCAAAGTTGAATTTTTTGGAGCGTAAATTCAAGAAGGCAAGATATGCAGGGATCTAGCCTATATCAAAGAGACGTTTTTTCTTTTATCTCGCTGTTATTTCTTACGCTAATTCAACGTGCAAGGTGAAGACAGGCGAAGACGTAGACGACTCGTGCGACTCGTTCTTTCACCGCGTGAGGTATGTTCGGTTCTGTCATCAAGACCATCGCCGATGAGCGTCTATTGGCTAGCAACCTCAGTATTTCATTTTTCCTATTAAGCTATCGCTTTGGAGTACCTGTCAAGGGAAAGTCTAGTGTTCTCAAGACATATTCATGCCCTAGACGATAAAATTTCCCCGAGGTAAGTTACCCAGGGAAAAATCGGTCACACTTAAAAAATCAAGTTTCCTCAGCTAAACTGTCAACAAGTCGAGTTTACCTAGGTAGTCTGTAGTGTGACCACAGCTAATAACTTGGTCGTAAGACACTTCATTTGTGAGGACGTGCTGTTGCGCTTTAAAAGGGTGGAGGCAGTTATCAAAGTCATGTTCAACAAATTATCTTTCTCATGTATATGTTAATGCAGTGTAATAGGTTTACTGGCACATACCAAAGACTTTTGTGAGAGAGTTATTCCAAGTACCAGCTACAGTGCCATTTGCAAACAAGACCAGATTTATCCCTTTTCTGTTAACCAAGCGAATATCCACCCATGCTGATGGCGTTATTATGCTAAACTTCTTGTCTTTATCTTTCTTTGTCGTTGGAAACGTTTTACTGTGTGTCGTACTTGAGGTTACTGTACTGGCGTAGTTCACAGGGGCTTTTGTCGTTGAGAGCAGGGAATTCAGTACCATTACTGAGATAAGAAGCTTAACGAAAATAAACACTGGTCAATATATGACACGTTTTTCTTTCTTTCTGATTGCTAAGTTTTCATTTCGCTTAAAATGATCGAGCTAAAAACGAAAGCCAAGACATCGATGGGTGCATAATGTGATGGGTTTGCCAGATTAAGCGCCCTTTACGTGAATGATCTACATTGTAGTTCTGAGATAAGGTTCATCGTGGTGTCTGGGTCTGAAATTACTTTGCTGAACACGAAATATTTATAGAAGTGTTCATCCAGTTTACGACATTCATGTAAAATGTCAAGCATGAGATGCAGTGTTTCATCACCAGAGGAAACACCGAGAAGAGAAACGCGCAGCCGAGTATTTTTGACGAACTTCGAGGTGTTTCATCTGGTGATGAAACATTGTGTCGAATGCTTGATGTTACTGCACGTCGTATTTTCATCTCTCTTCTCAGTCGGTTTCATCTGGTGATAAAACACTGCGTCTCAAGCTTGACATATTACTTGAAGTAAAAAAAACTCTGCCATTTCCATTCAATTTCCTGACAAAATAATCGTAGATAATATTAGAGTCAGGATTATATTTTCAGTTCCTCTAAAACATAGGGACTGGTTGTGTCTAAACTATGAAGTGTTTCCATTTGGGTGATTGAGTTTGAGAATGGAAAATCACAGTTATCTGCCAATCAAGTGTCGATTTAAAAAATAACTGCTTCTTTCTGAATCTACTACAAAGGATGCAAACGATCAGGCCAATGAGGAGGACATAACTAAAAGGAATACTAGTGGGTGAAAGCGTGGAAAAAAGTGTGGAAATAACGTCTTATTCAGCTATGTCGAGGCAATCGTATCGTAATAAAAGAAGGGATGATTTGGAAATACCACTTCAACGATCTTAGAATAGAATTCAGTTTCTCTTTTGATCCTATCCGCTATGCCTTAAAGAGTAAGCGTGTTATAACATTATGACCTTTGCTACGTCAAATGACGATTTACAATTTATCTACACTGCCTTTGAAGGTTCTAGTACACGCGGAGACCTTTGTGCAGTGGTCCAGTCTCATTTCAGCTAACGTTTTCATCGTATAAGCTATTATTTTTGTGTGCAATAATTGAAACAGTGACAAAAAAGCATCGTCTCCCATGGAGTTCATACCCATCTCATGCTGAGCTATGCTGAGATTCTCATCAAATTCATCTTTCGGTTTTATAATTGTGTTTCTCGGACACTATCTCCAAATTACATGCAGCTTACCTATAATGAAGCCTACCAAGTATACCAGCGGAGTACATTAAATGAATATTCGTCAAATCAACGGGTTTTTAATTCATTTGCCAATTGGGATAAAGATTATTGTCGTGGTTTCCTTTGATCCCGTCGACTCGCCTTACTTCGGTAAACCGTAAAGTGTGTATACTTTATAAACTCGACATATGCTCTTAAATTAGATGGATCGTGGTATTCATGGATTTAGGTTGCATACACCAGCTAAGATGTCACAAAAGCCACTAAACAGACTGAAGCATGATAGAAGTCTGCAGTCATACGAGCCTAAAGTCCGTTTACCACAAATCCTATCTGCAGAGTTTGAGCACTTGAAATCTCTCTGTCACGCATGCCGGCTCCTTCTTTAGCGGCTATAAATCCAGCTCTTAAGAGCCTGAAAGTCCATAATATATGTTCTTTTAGTGTGAACAAATGTTATGTCGATCGCAAGAGAATTCTTTACTTACCGGTGAGGCCATCTGTAAGCCAACAGCGGAATGATCCCAGAAATGTCGCTTGAAGAATATTCGGATGTTTCAGCTCTCACGCAGGAGGAGTTTTTAACAACAGGTGGTTTTAGGTGATTTCTGCTCCCCTCATCGACAGAGACAGCTTCTAGAACTCTCCTGCAGTCCGCCTGCATCTTCCATCCAGCAGTTTGCTACACTTTGTGAGTTACTAATAAAGTAAAACCCAACAATATTTACAAAAACAAAAGTATGTTAGTTAAATCGATGCGAAGTTATCAGCTTCATACCCGTAAGTATAGTTTCAGCTTCACCTGACAGTTGTCACTTAATTTAACGTTACGTTGGTTCTACAATTCCATCAACTTTATGAAACAAAAACGATTCCAGCCTATTTTAAGGCAGAACTTATTTCTGATAGGAAGGCGCAAATTTGCCTTTTGTGAGCTTCCGAGTAAACACTGGTAAAGACATTTTTGTAGGCTCATGATTTGTTTGTACATGCAGGGGGGTATTACAGCTATGGCAAACAAGGACAGAGAGTGTCCGTGTGCGATGCAAGCAGCATAGGTGGTGTAACAGATGCTATCATGTTACAAATTTTCGTTTTCAAATTTGCTCAACTAGGAAACTGTGCTCTAGGGTCAACGCCGAAAGGGGTACCTTTTCCAGGCATTGGGTATGTAAAGTGTAGGGACTTCTTGTGTTGAAGTATTTGAAAGGGTAAGGAAATTTGTAATTTACGCATTTAAAAGGGCCTTTCACTAATCAAAAATAATTCGAGCCGACGCACCTTATGGTTAACAGTGGAACCTCAATATAACGTAGTCCTCGCTATAACCGGAACGATTTTCTTTACCCCAGTAATAATAAAATCATAATGGAAAAGGACATGAACACATTTTGCCAGTCCCGTGACCCTTCGTTACATTGAGGCTCCATTGTAATAATAAAATAAAGTATCGAAAATTAAAGAACATCGATATAACGAAATCTCGTTATAGCGAACAAATTTTGCCTTCTTTATGAGATCGAATTTCCTTACACTGCTCATTTACTGAGGTGTTCAATGTTGGGAATTAGACTTCTTGTACAGTCTTTTTTTTATTACTATTTCTCTTAACTCCTGTAAAACGAGTTTATATATGTACGTGAACAAAGGACAGGGTGAAAAACCTATGGCTCATTCGATTCTCTCTTTCCCATAGTTTCAATAAATTAAAAATTATAATGTTGAATAACTGATCTGCAAAAAGTAAAATATTTATGGCCAAAAGTGTTATAGTGTCAGTTTTTGTTTGTTTTGATAGTGATATTCGCTACTCAGCTTAAAGGGCGTAGGAAACAAATTAAACCCACAGCGGGCATCCTTTGGACAATGCCTTTTAGGGCACACCTGCTGAGGATTATTCATTCTTTTACTCTTTCAAAATTCTTTTCAGCTGTGCTTTCTTATTTCACACCATAAACTATCTCAGTTTTGCTGCTATATTTCCACACGTGCAAACAGTCAGTGTTTTTAGTTTTGATATTAACAATTTCCCCTTGTTTCAAATTGTTCTCCGTAGGACTGCATAACTTGCATAACTTGCTACGAAGAATGATCAACAGGAAATCACTACAGCAGTGAAAGAATAATTTTCCTATAACTTACCCCGCAGACGGAGTGGACTAGAGCAACTTCTGTTTAGTGAACTGTAGGACGTTCATTGGGATTATTATTGGCTCTTAGTAATTCGAAGGCTGGAATCAACAAAATTGCCTTTGTCTGTTTCGTTAGTTCCGCTGTTTAACTGCTACACGTATTATGGAGAACCTTTTTTTGTTTTCATAGGTAGACTAAATAATATAAGCTGGTCATGTCATCGGAAATTTTCTATATGACGTCAGTTCCTTTCTATTGTTGTAATTGATACAGATTTTTATGGCCACCTCTGCCTGACATTCTACCCTTCCTGACTCATCCAGTTCGCAAAACGCGCACGTCGGTAGCAGAGGATGATGCAAGGGAAAATAGAGTCTCTCTTCCTCGCTTTCCTCCTCCCCATCACACCCTGCGACCCCTGCGTGCTATTAGGGAGAGCCGGTTCAATGAGAATAACTGGGTAAGAGTCAGCCACCTATTGTCTTAATTAGTTCAACCAATGAAGACTAATTCCGCTACTGTTCACCCTCAATACCTTGGCAGAAGTCAAACAGTCGGATTTTCCATAATCAGCTCCTGACAGCATGAAGAAAAATTCAAGACCTCTTTTTCTCACAATTATATTTGTATCAGAGATGACATTTTTTGTCAACCGGCCCATTTTTCAGATCTACATAACACTGAAAAAGGGGCAGGGGTGGGGATAGAAGGCCACTGTCTGGGTATGGATTGCGAAACTAAAATGTTTTGTTTAACGTAGAAGTGGAATAAGTTACTCTAGCTAGTTAACAGGCATTTAACTTAACTACTCGTAAACAAATACCCACCAATGTTCACCAGGTGTTCCACCAGGTGAGTTACATCCATTTCACTGTTCAGAATCAACTTTCACGCCTGTACATCATTTTCGTTTAGTCATACGGATAGCTCAGTTATACCAGGTTATAATGACTTGAATATTCTGGAACCTTTGAACAGCTTTTCCTCAATCAGACCGCTGTTTTTCTTGTTGCTCAGTAACGGGTGGCGGGTAATGAAGTCTCTTGTAAAATTTTTTCCCCCGACCCAAAGCTAACACAAGCCAAATTCTCGCTCATATGGTTTGCCCTTCCGGTCTGTTCTGTGTTGTCGTAGCTTAAGCTACTGCTTCCTGTTCTCTTGGACTACTAGATCCAGTACTGCTCCGGCTTACTCATTAAGATTACGAGCAGGGAGCTGTTACATACAGGTTTTTTTTAGCACGGCATTTCCATTAACTTCTGTCCTCTTTGTTACACTTGCTTTATCGATAGTCACATTTTCCTTTCTTGAAGTCTCATTTCAGTAAAGACTATTTCCGTGTCTTAACATGCATACATTACTTCACATATATCTTAAAGGTGCACTGAAATTATTCAGTACCATAATTATCTTTCATACACATCAGTTGGAAGGGACGGCGTAAAATAACCCGTGGCTCCGGCATTATTCGGAAAGGGTAGTTGGGCCGGGCCAGTGTCATAGGTACAGGTGAGATCAAACATGGACTAAAATGGTTACATAGTGCACCTTCTCATGCTGACGGTTGATCTCACTCCAGTGGCTGCAAAAGAGGGAAAACCCATGCCTCGTCTGATAGTCAGCAACAAATCAAGCACGATATTCACGTAATCTTCGATATAGTCAGCTCGGCCTATTCCTTTGACTCAGAGCGCACTAAAGTAAGAGAAAACGAAGGAGAGAGCGTTTAACATACACTAATCTCATGCACAAATTAAAGGATGAGGCTCTAAGCCAGAGATTTTCTCTTGTTCTTGCGTTCGCCTGTAACAGGTGAAATAAGAAGTAAAGAGGTCTAATCTCTGTATCATCTGACAAAGGTTACAGATTTCACATAGAGACACATCAGATAAATCAGTAGATTGTGCCGGGATTTTCAGTTTTTTTCTCTTTAACCAGAATCTTTCCACCTAATTATGGCAAGTACCCTCTAATCTGTCAACTATTGCACCTGAGATTGACACCTTTTCAAAATTTAGTATATCTCCGGCACCCAAGCCTGGTCTCCCTCGCAGCCGTTTTTTGGATGTTGCGTGACATCCAATCAAGTAGGCCTCTGAGTGCCTTTATGTATGTTTATATTTTGGCTGGGTCTTGTTGTTGTTCTTTTTTCCTCTTGTACTCTTTAAAATCAAAACCACTAACCACACTTAAAATGTAACAGGTAAGTTGTAACGAAAGGTCCCAAGATAGAGCATAAAAACCCGGAGTGAAAAAAGTGGAGATACGTGACTTCCCAAGGACTTCCTACACGCCCAAATACACGCCCAAGCTCGGAACCGGAAATAGATAATGTGACACCAGTAGCTAGCTACCAGACTTTTCTCGGTCTGAACAGTACAGCGTAAAGCGATATAAGTCAAAGCACCGAGAGCTTCAAGTTCGGAATATTTTGTATCGTTGTTATGAAAAATACGTAAAGTAGTCTCCCTTTGTTGATGTTTGGAGACAGATATGCCTTTTGGCATATGTACGAAACCTTCAAAAGATGAGTTAGCAAAGGAAATATCCGTGCGTGTTGAAATACCGAGCCAATCTTATATAGAAGTTGCATTAAACAAAGATGCTCTCGGTCTGGAATGTTTGGAAAACGTCGCTAAACATCTTGGCCTTCCGCAGGTAAGAATTTAACTAAAAAAACGTGCGATGAATGAACTTGTTACTTTTAAGAGTGGCTAAACAGTATTTAAGACAAATAGCAAAATTTTTCTTGTGTAGTGGAAAACAAAGAGAATCACAGTTGGAAAGGGCTGTTATATATAGTTGCGATGCTGGGAGGGCTTTCAACTCGATTTCGCGATCGTGCTCAAGCTCATTTTGGATTTACCGAAAGTCGGGGTTTGATTAGTTACATTTACGGTAAGTTCAAATTATTTGAAGGGTCATCCATCCTTAATTACAAGGACTTGTAACATATTGTGTTATTTGCAGTAGTCCACTAAACTTGGTGAAAAATATGCCGAGATGGGAAACATGCCGTCCGAGTTTTATATTAATCGGCTTTTTTCGTGCCGATGCGATAGATCGTCACTGAATGTTTACACGCTTGTCGTGCATCTTCGCATAGTTTACGATTATCTGCAGTGACTATTGTACTTAAACATCATTTGTATTCGTATTTGTGTTATATATACACAAACTTCGGATTAATGCAAACTCAGGTGAATGCAAGGATCGTTCGCTGAAGATGATTGAGTACTTAAGTATTGGTCAAGTTCTCATCAATAACATTTTATGGTTAACTTAAGCTATTTATGGCCAAATGAAGCAAGAATGTGGCCAATATAACCCCACAGTTGAATAATTTAAATTGATAAAAGCAGCTAACAGGGGACAAAAACACGGAAAGCGAAAGAAGTTCATTGCTCATCAGTGAACACGATGCCTTTGGGAACCTGTTGTCCCAGATTAAATAAATACTTAACTTGTCAATTAAGCTTAATTAAATTAGCACTTAGAGACTCACGATTTTTTGCCAACTACTGTCATGATCCAGTTCATGACAATCCATTGACACTGCTGGAAAAAATGTATAATTTGCATTAGAAATCTTCTTAAAGACAGGGGTTGAGAAATGGGCAAAGATTTGCTCTGCCAAATTGCATAATTCTAGGGCCATTTTTGAGAATTCCATGACTTTGTTCCGCTCCATAAAGAGTGTAAACAAAACTATGATACTAAATTGCAGGAACTTGATTTGATATTATGCATTATCTCACAGTCTCTACAGAATAGGGTGAAACTTACATGTGTTCTTTGAAAGGGTTTTTAACCTAGCTAGTTTATCAAATTAAAGTAGGTACAGTCCGTTAAATACAGCTTGTGTTAAAGTGTTTAATGTAGATACAGTAACTTATAACTAAGAGCACTCAAAGACTGTTTTCCGTAAAATACCTCTTTGGAGAAGCAAATATTGCCAAGCATTTTCTATTAATTGAGGACTGCTAAGAATTTCCAGATGACCGTTCTATTCACATACGTGTACATGTTTTTGAAGCTTTCTAATAAATTCCCTAAGATTTTCGGAAGTTTAATTTTCACATTTCACTCCCCAGGTTAGGCTGCTTTTTGTAGAGAAAAGGAAGTGTAAAATTTTGAGATCCAACAATGTGATGGAGAGAAGAATCAGAAAAGTTCTCACTTTCGTGATACATTAAATTGCATCTAAAACAAATACTGAAACCCTTGTAACTTTGAAAAGACTTAAGTTTTCCTATGATGACGGAACAGATACAAATTTTATAGCGCCACTTACAATGCATTTCCAGAGATCTAAAAGTACTCTTTAATGTATGCAGGTAGGAGGAAACAGTTGTTGGGTGCCTCTGTTATAATCCAGTGAATAGCCATCAACAAAGCAATAAATCAATAAAGTGTTCCAAGTGGAATAAGTGTACATCCCTTGCACAATAATTATTGTTAATTATGATATTATAAAAATTAACAATTATACATGTATAAATGTGGGGACAGCAGAGTTTACAAATTACTCTGTGAAATCAGTTTGATGTGCCCTTCTTTACATATGTTTCCTGCGTAAGATGGGTTTCTATATGCAAGTTTATTGAGAAAGTTGAAATGAGAGGGATGAAAGGGCAGGGAAGAAAAGGAAATGCTAATTGCTTACACTCCCCATGATTCTGAATCAAATTATCAGGGTACATTCAGTGAAATTTTGATCAAGCAAAAGGAAATCGAGTTACATACATTGTTACTTACATACAAACTTTATTCAAGCATCAAAGTCTCTTTGCATGCCTAAGGGGGCCCACTTTACCTATAAATTAGTTATTACCCCCCACAATACAATATTAAGATTTATCACTATAGCTGAACTAATTATTTCAAAATTTTTCAGTATATTTTAATGTTATTAAAAGTAGTCAATAAAAGATATCAGCTTCTAAGAATCCAGTTCAATCCAAATCTAAATTAATGGTCAAATATCTAAGAAAACAGTTTCTAAATTATTTTCTTACAAATTATGCTTCACAGCTACTTTTATACTGACTAAGGTCATGCATGAGTAGCATCCATTACATGTTTCCCCTTGAATTAACCCCTCCAAGGTTGTTTTTCTTTATACTTTCTTTCAATCTCTTTAGGGATGTCTCATTTCTATCGCTCATACTCAACTTCGACCATAAGTAGGGTCTGAAAAACATAAGTGAGTGTTTTCTGCAAGCAACAGTTCAAGTTATCCAAGTAAAAAAAAAAAGTGAACCTGAAAAGTGGGTGAAATTCAAGGGAATTAAGACTTAGTTCGAGTTAGTGGCGAGTTTAAGTTATCCGAGTTTGCGTTACTGGGGTTGTACTGTAAAAAAAAGTGTATATTGTGCACTTGTGTATTAATTTCACAAAGGTAAAGCGGAAGAAGTAATAAAAACACTGATAATGAGTAAAGAAATTAATAAACTTCTAATACCTTACTCCTGAACAATTGGCTGCTATGGGCTGCGAAGGCTTTCGTGTCGGCAAACAATGAACAAATTACACAAGTGGGACTAATTTCAATTTCAATGTGTTTCAACAACAAAAAATCACAGAAAAGCGATTACAATGAAAGTAAAACCAGGAAAGAAATAGAGAATTAAAAAAAAGATGCCTAACGTATACCAAAGGGGAAAAATTCCTACTAAAATTTAACTGCAATACTTACAGTGATACACTGTAAATGTATGTTATCATGGACGGTCGGTGTATTACAGCAGCTAATATTAATCCTTTGCTTTTCTGCTGCTTAAAGTATCCATAAGTTTTAAACTGTTGTTCTTGCCAATAATGACTAGTGTTAATGATGAATTTCACGGCTAACTCTCAATTAGCTGCTCTCGTTTCTTATCTTGTTAGGTGATGTGTTGTTTTTTGGTTGTGCTAGCCACAAGCTGCATGACGACGAGTGAAATTTTGTTGTGGTTTTCTAAGGTCTTCTTGGCATTTTTCTTGGCCTTATCCTCATCAATTAATTTTTCCAGCAAAACAGAAACACACATGTTTTACTGACGGGGCCTACGTCACAACCAAATTTTCTCGCATCAATACATTTATGTAGGTTTCTAATCTCTATAGCAATGGGGCTCTGTCAAGCACATGAAGCATGCTTGGAAGCTCCGCTTTTAAAGGTAATTACCAAAATTGGCAAGGGTCAATTACTGTTTATACGGTTATTTAATGTAATAATCAATATTACATGTTGCGTTGTTTACATTTGGGTATAAGTAATGCTGTACACATGTAGCTCTCAAATAACTAGCATTTTTAAAAACATCATGCACTTTCATTCAATATGCAGATTGAACACTATGGTTTGTCTTACAAAACCAAGCGAGGACATGAATGGTGGTTAGTTCTAGAAAAACCCATCAGGAAGCAGCTAGAAAGGAATGCAGCCAGTGGACTATATAATGCTGAACTTAAATTTAAAGTCCACTTTTTTGTGGCTGACTCCTCTTGGATAAGACTTCAGGTCAATTCTACCAGGTAAACTTAGACTTTCTAAAATTGTGAAAGGCGTGGTGCAAAACAGGCATAAGTAATAATTAAGCTGACAATAGACCATTTGCACCAAGAGGTCATGTGACATCATTTTTATGAAAATGAAAGTTATATGATTTTGCCTACTAAAAACGATTAGTGTGTGGATCATATCTTAAACAAAATAATAGTGATTTGGTTTTTCAAACCCGCACCATTTTCTTAAAAAAATGAGTAAGTTCGCAGCTGGTAACATGACCAAAATGTGATTTTTAAAATAATGAATTACCTCTCTGAACACAAATTTTGCACTTAAACTTCAAGGAAAATGTTGAAAAGATGACGTGGTAACGTTTACAGCACATCTGAGCATAACTATCAAACGTTTAACAAGATGTAAGCAAAAAGTAGTTTTGGCTGCCATGTTGGAGGGCAAAAGTATGCCCTCCAACATGGTGGCCAATACAAATCATACTACTTTGCTGAAAAATCAAAGTGCCATAAAATATCTCCCTTAAATATGTTTCCTCTTAAATTTCGGGTGTAAGATAATTTTTATGTGCTCTGTCAATTTTTGGCATCAGCACAATTCCAACTCATTGTTGATCACGTGACCTCTTAGTGCAAGTGGCCTATTATTGTCAATTTTTCTGGAAAAAAAAATTGTCCATATTGGTGTTCTGTTTGGACTCCAAAACAACCTCTCTGCTTGACAGCAATAACAACAGCTTTTGTCATGATGATCTCGCACATCATGTCCAGGCCTGAACAATGGGACAGATTTAGACTCTTAGTGAAGGACATTTAAATTAAGAACAATATCTCAGAGGCATTCTGCCATTTTCTTTTGGTGGGTTAATCAGAAGAAAAATCTTTGGCTTTTTATACATGTATCTGCATGCTCATGGTAATTCAATTATCTTAAATAGATCTTTTCTTGGTAAGGTCAAAATAAAATTCAGGTTAATTAACAAATCAACAACAATTTTCCATGGTCTTAGTAACTCTTATTGACCATAGAATTGATATCAAAACGTTCCAAACTTTGGTTTCACTGCAGACTTTTAAACATTTGGACATCTTTGTATGCTCGATAAGAGTACAGACTGGGAAATTGATGTTGATTTGCTTTTTACAATAACATTGACAGTTTTGAAGTCCATATCAGTTGAAGTTTCTTGGAAAATTGTGCACGTGAGAGAAAAACAAATTGCATCACCATCACATCAGTTCCATGGTGTGTACACTTATCAAACATAACTCTCTTCATCAATCGATCAACGCGTGAGAAATTGCTCAGTTATGGTAAAAACACAGTTTCAACCTAGTTTATTGTCATTTTCCTTATTCACTGAATTTCCTATTTTAATTGCTTGGCTTTTCTCAGGAGGCTTTACTACTTGCAACTAAAGAGTCAAATTCTTGAAGGCAGCCTCTCATGTGGAAAGGACACTGCTGTTTTACTTGCATCATACTCTGCTCAAGGTGAGGGATATTCCTCAGATCCTTGGTGACTGAGTAGTTCTACATGTATTTACATGCACGTACATCAATCCCATGTACCACAGCTTCAACCTACCTTGCACCCTTATTTATTTACACCAAAGAACCCTAACTTTTTCCCGTTATTCAAAAATATGTTTATAAAATTAATTATAAACAGGTCAGCCCAGAGAAAAATTGTGTATTATATTTCTCACCTTTAAAACATCAATTGTGTTTAGCGGAGCTTGGTGACTATGAAGCTGAGAAATTCAGTAGCTACATTGAAGATCAGAGCCTTTTCCCTTGGGTAAGTTTTCAATTGCAGTAATTTAGTTTCATTGATAGTAACATACACTGTAATAGGTTGAGTTTGATCGTCCGGGTGAACGTAGTCCTGAATGGGACTGTTGTTGTTGACAGTGACTGACATTTCGACAACCTGTGCGGAAATCATCTTTAAAGTCAAAGTGAGTTGTATCACGTCAGTTGATGGTATTATACTCTGGTTATTGATCTGATTGGTCAACTGTGTCGCGATGTTATTGGTCGCCTGTCAGTTAAGCTGTGATGTTATTGGCTATGAAGACTCGTAATCAGTAATTGGTGCATTTCGATCCGTATTTTTTCACAGTTAAACAGTCGTCTATTGTTAGTCACATTGTCACTTCTCTGGTCATTCTCTCGTAGTTTGCTTGATCTCGTCAATAAGTCTTTTGTATGGCCCTGGTAACTGTTGGCTACCATTCAGTGGCATTTGTTTTAAGTTAGTAAACCAGCTTTCTAAAGTAAGACGTTGATAGTAGTCTGTAGAATACATTATACATGTCGCAGAGTCCCAGTCATTTTGATGTTTCGTCTTTAAGGACAAAGACAAACCGGAGGACAGACAGGGAGCAGTATACAAGATCAAATGCTGGAACTGCCAGGCTTCTTACATTGGTGAAACCGGCAGAAACCTAAACACGCGACTGACCAAACACAAACGAACACAAACGAGCGACAAGGAATGGTGATGTCAACAATCACAATTGCTGAGCACCATTTAAAGACGAAACATCAAATTGACTGGTTCTCTGTGACGTGTATAATGTATTCTACAGACTACTATCAATGTCTTACTTTAGGAAGTTGGTTGCTAACTTAGAACAAACGCCACTGAATCGTAGCCAACAGTTACCAGCACCGTACAAACGACTTATTGACGAGGTGAAGAAAACTATGAGAGAACGACTGGAGAACTGACAATTTGACTAACAATAGATGACTGTTTGACTGTGACAATAGATGGATCGAAACGCACCAATTACTGATTACGAGTCTTCATTGCCAATAACATCACGGCTTAACTGACAGACAACCCAACATTGCGACATAATTGACCAATCGCATCAATAACCAGAGTATAATACCATCAACTGATGTGATACAACTCACTTTGACTCTGAAGATGACTACTGCACAGGTTGTCGAAACGTCAGTCACTGTCAACAACAACAGTCCTATTCAGGACTACGTTCACCTGGACGAGCAAACTCAACCTACTTTTGAAATGACTCCTGGGTTCAAAACGTTCACAGTTATAGACTGTAATTTTATTTACTACATGTATGTAACAAGATGAAAAGAGAATAAAAGCATTACATGTAAAAATCATTTGCACCGATCTGCCTCTCTCTTATGTCATTTCTTGGCTTTCTTAATTGCCTTCACATAAATCAAACTCCATCAAACAAACTCCTTTCCATCAAGCTTCCTCTTTGTAATATTAATAATTTTATAGAAATTATAGTAGCTGAGAAGGCTGTCAAATATGCAAGGGAAAAATATTATTCGCATTAGCCTGCATAGCTGGGGGCATTGTTATGGTGTGCATGTGACATTTTTGGTAGTGCATGAAACCACCCTGGCATGATTGAGAAATTTTATCTGCCATATAGCATAACTTTTTTTAATGTCACTCACTTTTTAATAAGCACTTTGTTGTAAACAATAGCTGTAACAGCCAATCAGAGTTAGGGTGTAATGCAAAAACCCACATTAATAAATTACCAGCATGCAGGGGTTGTGCGTAAAAACAAAAAAATTATTGTTTTGGCACAGAAGCAACCAAAACATGGACGATTGTCAAGTAAAGTTGCATTTAACAATTTAGTGTAAATTATGATATGCATGTAATCTACAGTTTTGTAAAGTCAAATTTGCAGATTTCCTTAATAGTAGTACACATTGTATGTTTCAACAGAAAACCTGTTTCCACATACAGTAACGAAATTGTGGTGGACTTGTAGTCATTGAAACCTAGCAATTTAGCAACTCATGTCTATTTATTCATTCATAATACTTTTCAGTGGCGAAACAATGATAGAACAAGTCTTCGTGGACTTACTTCCTCAACAAAGCTAAGATCTTGTAAATAATAAAACTTGTACCGAAACTGGGCAGCAAATCCTTTGCAGAAGTTTCCAGTTCTTCTTGCCTTCCTTCTAATCATTAACATATTAAAAGAAAAAGATTTTGATAAGTCATTCTCAATAGAGAGGAGAAGGGTGACATCACATAACCAACTGGATCACAACAATAGGGAGCTTAAGCGACGGCGACGTTGACGGGAACGAGAAAGACTCAAAAGCAATAGGTTTATATTAGCAAAACAACAACTTTGCTCCTGCATCACGCTATTTTGTACATTTCTTAGCTGTTGCTTAGTGCTACACAACTGCGACATGAAACTTCCTAATACACGGCTGCTTTAGGAAGTACTGGTGAGCACAACGCAAAAATTGTCTTTTTTTTTCTAAACTTAGACATGGTCCTTTTGGATTCAACCCCTGAAATTTTGCTAACATTTGACAAATTAAATGAAATCGAACAAGATCGATGAGGTTTGTAACCATGTGAATTCGCTTTTTTAGTGATGTTTTCGGTTTGTTATCATCCAGAAATTTTGCTACCATGGCAATGTGACGTAACGACTTTTCCTCTCTATAAGACATTTTATAGTACTGCCAGTAACAGCGTGGTTAGAAAATGTTGTGATTGGGTTTGTTTCCGATGAGAGACGTGAGCTCTCAGGTACTCTCATTTTGACTGACATGTTTCTACTCTCAGCCTATCGAATATAATTCTGTCCACACTGTGTGACCAAACCATTCTAAAAATCATGGCTTTCCTACGCCCACAGGCGAGGTTTCAAAGTCTCTCCTCCCTATTCTCCAAGTACTAACAATCCCGCCAGCTACACAGATGAAATTTACAGAAGAAGAAATTTTTATTTTGCCCTCTGAAAAGAAGAAGTGTTGGAAAATTTGTTTATGTGTATGATGTGCTTCACAGTGGGACAACTGATCCCATTTGCAGTGAAACCAGTGAGATGTTTGCATTCCACATCATGTATATTAACATGCCTATTCAGGACCGGGGAATCATGTGCAGTTCAATTTCAACTTTCTTTACAACTTTCAACTGACTGGAATTTTATGTTCGTTGTCTGCAAATACATTGTGCGTAACTGTTTTAAAACAATTTTTGTACCGCAGAATGTTGCTGTTAACCATTCAAGGGATATCCTTGAACAGCAGGTACTAATTTATATTGTCTTATATATGAATTATTTTTATATTGTCGATAGTGTCCTTATTTCGTCCAGAGAGTTATATCATGTATGATGTTGACTTTTCTTCTTAGTGGTGATTCACTGTCAAATTTGTTGTATCGCGCTGTGCGTTTTGCAAACTTCTAAGCAATTTTGGGTTTTTCTGTTCTGTCAATTATCTTAGCAGACCTCTCAGGAAATACATGGTTACCTGAACGAGTTCAAAAGGTCATGGTTTGTGATTTGTGATTGGTGGATTTCGATTCGTTTGGTTTGTTTCTATGTTTCAAAGCTCATTGCTTGTGATCATCCTGTTTTGGGCTATAATCAACTAGTTTGCTTCAAAGATTTTTCCAGTATTTCTCATTCTTGTCATTTGCAAGAATAAAGCCATTTCTGCCTCCTTTCCTGGGCAAAAATTCCACTCATGATCGGGATTTCCTTTGCCATTCCCTGTTTTGTTTTTGGGGCCAAGCTGGGCGAGCATGTTAAAACACTGTGATTCGCATTAACCCCGCCCCACTAAAATAATTGACAGAAACAGAAAAACCCAAAATAGATAGATACGTTTTTTAATGAGGGTTTCACTTGATATCCACAGATAATATACGCGTGGCCCACAACAAAAAATTAAACATAAAAAAATTAAACAAAATTAAGTAGAGATTAATGTACAAAATTCTAGAAAGTCTAACTTACGAATAATAGTTACAGACAATATGGTCATAAAAGGTATGCTGAAATGTACTGATCAACTGGACCTCTTTGATGTCTTTTGGGAGTTTGTTTGCGCTCCTAGCTGCTGAAAACTTAAAAGCAGTTTTTGCCATACTAGTCCTAACTTTTGGTAGTATCAAAGTATGCTTTGCATTTCTTGTGCTCGCATTATGAATGTCATTAGACATTGTTAACATAGCTCTTATGTTATTTGGTGCGAGATTGTTGAGGGCCTAATGAAAACTAAGATATTCCACGAGTAGCCCAGTCTTTTATCAAACGGCAAGATATTCAGGTCTTTGAATAGAGGTCATGATGGAGTGTGTCATTTTTTTGTCCAGGAGTATTCTGGCACATCTTTTCTGCAATTTGATAATTCTTGGATGTGCCGTTTGTTCCTGGGTCCCCAGACAACCACTCCATTTTCCAGTATTGGCTGGATAATTGAGTTATACATGTGGAACAAAGTGCTTGCTTTTAGCAAAAGAAGTTTCTTTGTTCTTTTCAGTAGGCCAAGTCCAAGTTCCCTATTTTTTCTTTAACACAAGCCATATGTTGTCCCATGTTAAACAGTTGTCTAACTTTAGGCCAAGTAGTTCATCTTCCGCTAAAGAATCAAGTTGGCCCTTATGTGCTTATCTGTTCTCACTTTAAGATTTTTACCAACCGAGCCCCGAAACTTTGGCTTGCTGCAGACAGTTATTGACTTTGTCTTGCTATGGTGTAAAACCATTTTATTTTCATCGACCTGTCTACTTTGAAGCCGTAGTTCATGAGTGATGATGGTCCCTACCTCTTCAACAGTATATACCCATGTAATTTGTGTTGTATCATCAGCATAAATTTCGACAGTACTTCCAGTGAGACTTCACTGGAAGTGGCAGGTATAATAATAATAGGGGACTGAGATCGAACCTTGAGGAACGCCAGTGGTAATAGATTGAGGAGACGATAGTCGTCTTTGTATCATGACTTTCTGCTTACATTCCTTAAGATATGAGTTGAACCACTCGAGAGTCATCTACCTGAGACTCCATAGATGGCGCGTTTCTTTAACAATATAGCATGGTCAATCAGGTCAAAAGCCTAGTGGTAATCAATAAGATTTAAACCAGATATCAATCCGTTATCCATGTTGGTAACTAAGGTGTCTACTAACTTTATCAAAGCTCTATCACAATAGAGATGGGAATGGAATCCTGATTGGTGTATACTCATAAGATTGTGTTTGATGAGGTACTCATACATTGAGATGTGTACATTTCTCTCAAGTACCTTAGAAAGGATGGCTAAAATAATGCTGTGCTCAGTCGGTCTCCAGCCTTATAGACAGGACAGACTCTAGCTTATTCTTTCCAAAGCCCCGGAAAGTTTTTAATTTCCAGTATTGGTACTCATATTGATGACCTTTGTCAAGGAAGACGTTATAGCAGGTTGCGGCGGCACACAGTAATTGAGCACTGATACCATCAAGGCCTGTTGTTTTGCCAACTTGCAGTTTGCTGAGATAATTCAGAACAAATTTCTGCATGATCTCTGGTACTTCAAACTTGTTTTCGCGGGTAGTTTGGCTATTAATGAATGCTTTTAGCTTCATGGAGTTTGGTGCTGAAACCGCATCAGTTTCAGTCCCTTCCCTGTAGGTACGTATAGTGGCCACAGAAGTAAAGAATTCATTAAAAAGGCATTTGCCATTTCATTCGGCTCGTTGATGATGTTTTCTGTGCCAACTCTTATTTGTGAGACTTAGGCTTGCTCATTTGCCCAACAGCACTCTTAAGATGTTTCCAGAATTCTTTCAATGATGAGTTTTGATCAAATGAGTTGAGGAAGTGCTTGCGTTTTGCCTATGTGATGGAAAGGTACTTTACGATGTGATGGTTAAGGTTCCGCCGCTCTTGATGTTAAAATCGCCAAGTAGCGGGGCTTCCTTACTCCCGACATAAATATTTTCTATGAGGGTTTCAAGCTTGGAGTCCATCTCTGCAATGAAGTCTGGCACACAATAAATACCAGCAACAATAATAGGACAAGTTGATTTGAAGGATAGAGAAGTTCAGTGTCATTTGTCTGTAACTTAAGGATACGTTTATATGCCATGTTATACATTGTTGTAACTACTGATTACATTCATCAGAACACAACCTCCATTATTGCCAATCCTGTCCTTATGTTCAAGATATCTACCTGGGATGCTGTATTCATCATTCAGAGGAGAGGAACCTAACCAAGATTCAGTTAAAACAAGCACATCGATTTCTGTACTTAATGAATGTCCTTAATAATCTGCTGAAACTTGTCATTATTAAAACTTCTCATGTTCGAATGGCAGAGCCGGAGGCTATTTTCAAACATCAACATCACTCGAAAGACAGACCAACAGCAATGCAATAGAAACCCTTTGCAACTCTACAGCACATGAAAGAGCGAAGCGCGATACAATGATACAATCAATTTTCCGTAAAACATACAAATAAATGTTTGACTGAAGTTTTCAATCAATGTAAACTCTACTTACCGGTGGTCTGTTTCCTAAATCAACTGAATATTGCATTGTATTTTAGTCTTTATTAGTATTATTTCTTCATTGACTTGCAGGTCGTAAATTTATATCAGCAGTACAGGTAAGGTTAATAGCAATCATTGGTGGAAATGTTTTTGAAAATGTTGAAAAAAGTAGCAGCTGATTGTGGCTTTTCTTATAAATTATTTCTACTGTGAAATGCAGGTTGATGAGCATTTTGTGATACATACAGAAATTAAAATAAGTCGAGAGGGTATTAGTAAACCAACAGGAACTTCCAAGTGTTGTTAGAGCACGGAACTGCTTCTGTTTTCTAAGCAAGTCCGCATTACTCATAAGTACTGACCTCTCCTGATAAATTTCTTCTGAGCTGATGTCCTTAAGATCCCATTTTATTTGTCTTGTAATGTGATGTGTGTATCTGATATTAGGGGCATGACAAGAGAGGAAGCAGAATTAGAGTTTGTTATCATTACTCAGAAGATGGATGGATTTGGGGATGAATACTACCCTGCTAAGGTATCTACAGTTAATGTTTATTTTGGTTCCAATCAGCAACTATCCCAGACATTCATCAATACATCGAGTTCCAAACTTGACTGACAGGTTTCTGTCCGATTAAAATCATGTTATTGATATTACACTGGCGTCAGTCTTAGAGACCTTGATGTGTACTCGTACACCGGAGGGAGACGTTTTGGAGTCAATAGCAAAATCCGAAATACCGAGATGACGATCTGGGACAAAACTTGCTTAGTTGGGAACCGTAAATTCCGCTGACCGTAAAAAGCCAAAATAAGCCAAGGTTCAGGCAGCCCGGGCGGTGTGCGTCACGACCCACAAAGGTTCATGGGTAAAACTGTTTACCTTATTATAGAAAATTAACGCTGCATGAAATTGAGGTATTGGAAATTAACGCGACTTAAATTAACGCGAATTTTATGGAAAACGATTTTCGAATAAAGAAAATTAACGCGAAAGAGGAGGTAGAATTTCATAATAAAGGAAATTATTGACATCACTTCTGACAGCGACAACGATGAAGATGAACTCGAAATATTGTAAACCTTCGCCTTAGCTTTTGTGAAAGATGAAAAATAAAGAGTAAATGGAAAAAAAGAAAGCTTGTACGTTAATGTTTTTTAGGTGTCAAGAATGTCTGCACAGATTCCAAAATTGCGGTTAAAATACTGGAAATTAACGCTGCACTTAATTAACGTCGCGGAAATTAACGCTCAACAAAATTAACGCGAATTTTAACGATTCGCGTTAATTTCATGGAGCGTTAATTTCCTGTAATAAGGTATGCGTCTCATTTCAATCGTGACACGGTCGAGTTCGCATCTCGTAAGAGAGAGATAAATCAAAACCCGCGATCAAAACACTGCTTCCTTTTCTGAAAAACATTACGGAGGAGAGCGATTTGGAGAATTTTCAACATCTTATACTGGGTTTAGATGCATGCTTGATATTAGCTTCATAAGGTAATTTCAATAAGTTTAACGCGATTCGGAGACGATCGAAGGTGCGATTTTAGGCGGCGATTTCCTGCTTCTCAGAAGATTTTAGGTACTCTTTAGGGCTGTGCTTATATGTATATTTTTATCTCACAAGAGTGAAAGATATCTGTAGCTCATACCTGGATTTGCTTAAATAAAAAATTCGTCCTTTTAACAGTAACTTTTGACTGACTTTATTAACCGGGCAAGGAAGGGGAGCGCGAACAAAGAGCAAGGTGAGACATCTTGCATCGTCTCGCATAACAATTTTATGTTCACCGGCAATTTTATATTATTTTGCAAACAATGACTGTTTGTAATCCTTATAAGCAAATAAATCTTCTATAGGCAAGTCAAAAACAGACCAAAAGTAGCGCCCGAACAGCTACAGCATAATAGGAATTTCACCGAAGCTACGGCCGCAGAAATAAACCACAATCTTGTGCTGTACGTTCATTCAAGTGAGCGCAGTGAATCGATTTTGTTATCAACCTAACCTCACAGTTTTAAAATCCTGTATGATGTTGTCTACAATCTTCGATAATGGTTTTGTGTTTTGATTGAGATTTATTCCCTGGCGTAAATTTACATGAGGATTTGCATACACATAGCACGCACTGTGTGCAAATTATTTTAAAGACACGCTTTCAGTTTCCGCACTGGGTTATGAAAAATGTTTTGTTTCCAAAGGTTATTCAAACTTATTTGCCTTTTCTGATTTAAAATGAAACAAACTCTTCCTGGATTTTGCGTTACTCGCTTCACGTCGGCTTTCGCTTCGGCAAGTTTCTCAGCCCGTTTCCCGGGACTTTTGCTACTTGGCTGAGACAATCTGTTCATTCCAAGACACTTTCAACACCTCATAACGGGGAAACTAACAGGGGTAGACCCGGGTATACCCCAAAATTTACAAAGAAGAAAGGTTGAAGTAACAAATTGACCAAAATAATCCGATAAAGCCGGTAACAGTAACCATTAATGAATGCAAGTAGAACGGCGAAAATAACACTCAAATCATCATTGCGGCTTGCACATGACCGAGCAATTCAAACTTGTCACAAACGCTCAAGAAAGCAAAATATTTAAAAATAACGCAACTACTGTCAAGATAAAGTGTTCCAACAACTTTCCTCGGCGGTATAGTGTCGAAATTGCCTACACAAGCTTGGAATAAAGCGAAAATTTCACCACATATACCTCTGAAAACGGCTCTTTCCGAGCGCGAAAGGCGCTCTACAAATGACGCATTCTGATTGGTCGAATCTCGTGACGCACGCCGCCTGCAGTCAGCCCCAAGCATGCTGTGGTTATACCGAGCTAGATCCAAAGACTTGTAAGCGATGGACGGAATAGAGTCCGTAACTGGTAAGTGTAGAGCTGTCGAGTCACCTTGCGAACGCCTAATTCCCATAAGAACCCTTTGCAGTCTAAGACAATCTACTAAAGGGGACCTTTGGACGTCAGCATGTGAACCACAGCCTCATTGTCAGAGTAAAACATAATATGTTTCCGGAACCACTGAGGACCCCATGTGAAAGGTGCCACCACAACAGGGAAGAGATCTTTATATGCAATCGACTGTTGAGCCTGACACGGAAACCAAGCACCACTGCCCTTGTAAGTAGGCCTCGAAGCCCAAGGAGCCGGCAGCATCGGAGGCGACCTTTAAATCTATGGGAGTCGACATTTAGGATAAGATCAAAACTAACTCCGTGTCAGATGGTGAGTAATTCGTGCCACCAGTGTAAATCCAAATGGAACTCCCGATACAGACGAATAAGGTGGTCTCTCCTCCGGAAACAGCAAAGAAGGTTAATCATGCGCCGCAAGAAGGAGCGTTCTGGCCACACAACTCTAGTAGCACGGTGAAGATGGCCGATGAGCGGTTCCAACTGCTGCCTCGTACACCATCTTTGACTAAGCTAGGAGTAGATGAGACCCTTCAAGGCTGCCAGTTTGTCTGCAGGAAGGCGAGCTGTCTGCTGCTCCAAATTCAAGTCGATACCCAGAACTAGCATACAAGTGCAAGGGCCAATGCATTTGCTCGGATGGCGTGGTAGACCCAGAGAGCGGCAAATGGAAATTGCTATGGACAAATTACTTGCACATTGGTCTGACTGAGCGGGGCCTGCTGTGATGAAGTCATCCAAATAGTGCAAAGGTCGGAAAGATTGTGCTTTTTCAGGAGTATCGGGAAGGGTAAGTCGACAAAATATTAGCCACGCCATTTCATTCAGAAGAGAAACCTGTCGTCTGGGTGCACAGCGATACTGTGGTAAGCGGTTTCAACATCGAACTTAGCCATCAAAGTTCCTGGACCATACTTAGAAACCATCCTTATGATTTCATCCACTTTGATGTAATGCATTGAGAACTCCTCGGAACTTATGCCATTATTCACGCTAGCACTCGCGGGAGACGAGAGATCCACAATCATACGCCATTTCCCCGGCTGGCCTTTCTTGGGAATGACAGTCGCCAGTAGGTTCAGGACGGGTTGACGATTGCGCCGATGAGACGCGAACAGCAGGCCCAGCGGCTGGAGAATTGAACAACTGAACCTTCATGGCGGACCAGTCGGCCAGTTTTGACGTCGCGGCGTGCTCGCGGAAAGCATGATACGCGAGCCATACTCGACCGCTGTAATGGCTGTAAGTGCGGAGAATAAGGAGTTGATACTGGATCAAATCCTTTCAAAGATGCGGAAAATGAGACACCAGCACGAGGAAGAAAATGCCAGAGGTATCGCACCAGCTCGCAATATCCTCGATCCGTCGACGTTGTTTTTAAGGTCGAAACATGAGTACGGGGCAGCCCTCAAGGAACTGATAAGGCGGCGACATCGCGAGTCGCGCTTGGCGATAAGTTGACAGCGTTCAAAGTAAACGGGGCGAGCGACATCGTCGGAGCAGCGAACGTCGGAACAAACGACGGACTAACAACAGGACACACTAGGGTTAGGTCCCTGAAAGCCAGCGCCAGACGCCAAGAAACTCGCCGCGGACAAATCCAAGGCCAAGGAAACACCCCCAGCGTCGCCAGGAATCGAGAACGAGGATGAAGCTTGCGACGACTGACAAACCTCCGGGCCGCGCCAACGAGCTCGCTCGGCAGCCATCGCCTCCTGTACCGACCGCGAAATAAGAGCGGCCATCTCTAGGGAAGGTGTGGTGCCCAGCGCTGCAGCAGCAGAATCATTAACAGTTCATGATATTGTTGCATCACCAGACTCCGAAGGCGCTTAAGCAGCCGCATCCAAGGAAAACAGCGCCGATTGCAGGCTGTGCTTCGTTGAACCAGAGGAAGTTATACCAGCAAAAAACGGGAGAACGGATAACACGGGTAGCAAACTAACTAGCACGAGCAATGAAAAGCAACGTGAAGGTAACAATTTGGGTTGACCTCAGCCGAAAAGCTGTTAAACCCAAAGGCCTTTGCGAAGTCATAGGGCGTCCCCGAAAATCACAATCAAGAGAATGCTGGCCAGCATTGTCTCGGGTTTAGCTTAGCCTAAATTTTATTTAACCACATTTTACAAAGGGTTTGTGAAGTGTTTTAGTGATTATGTTGTGTTTGTTATAATTAGGACAAAGATGGTTTCATCATATTAGTTGGTGCATCTTTTGTTGGTATTGTTGTTCGACATCCACATGGCATACCACCAGTATACTTCAGGTGAGTGTAAAGAAAAAAACATGGTTGTCATGCACAGATGCAAAGTGAACTTGTAGGCTGAAAATGGTGAGATTTGTTTTTACAATTAAAGGAAATTATGGCACTTCCTGCTTTCATTAGGCAGCTATTGTTAAGAGATCTCCAGGAGGTGCCACCTATATTTGACATAGAAGCACCTTCCTTGCGTGCTTGTGTGTTAATTTTTTTTTTTCTGAGTCAGCATCGTACACATGGACACTATGTCAGCTCTAGACTGATCGGATTGAAAATAGTCAGAGCACAATTATACCTTACTAATGTTATACAAAAAAGTCAATGTGCTAACTGTGGATAACATTCTTATAATAAAACGTGAGGGCATTGTATCAAAGAATATTTGAAACTTTGTAAATGCTGTTAGAGAACATATTATGAATGGACACTAAAATGTGATGTAAGAAAAAGCAATGCAGTACATTAGAAAATTGGAAGTTATTTCTTGACTAACATGAGCATTAAGTTAAGTAGAAATTTGCTAAAAATAATACCATAAGTAGAGACAAGAGAGGATAAAGGGGACAAAGAAGGCATCCCTCATACACACCCTATTCCATAGGTAATTCGTCTCGAGTTATTTTTAGAATCGGGATAAAGTTACCTCGCGCGCTGCGTGGATGTTTCGTGGAGGTTTCGCATGACTAAACGCCGTGCAAAACATGTCGGGCGAAAGGCAGTCAAAGGGTAAAGAGATCGAGAGCATTCCTGAATATTGAAGCGAAATGAGCCGGCGCTCACTTGGGAAAAGGGAATCGCTGGACTCTTTGACAACCCTTGAAATCAGTTTACTCGAGGTTGTCGTAACCTCAGTGCTTTCGCCGGTCTTTTGAAACCGGTCGTTTGTACAATAATGCAGGTAGGACGCCAAGTGTTATTTTTGTTGAATAATAAAAGACTAATAAAAGAATAAATATCAAACCAGAAATTGCTCTCTTCAAACTGTTGATCAGTGTGTTAAGGATTTTCCTGCCGTACTGTTATCTCTATACAAGAGAGGAAGGGCGATTCTTTTTTAATTTCCGTTTCGCTGACGCAGCTTTAGCAGAATTCCCTCTGTGGTAGTTTTCGTCGACAAAACGAATGGCAATATCGCTCTCCGCGTCTTCTGCCATTTTGTTCTGCGTCAATTCTTGAAGGACGCGTGGCTCTGAGTGTGGGTCATCCACGCGGAACACATTCGCGCTATGTGATTGGCTGTTGTCTAATCCCCCTTGGGATCTTTGGTCTTAAAAATAACTCGAGACGAATTACCTATGGAATAGTATGTGTATGGGGGATGCCTTCTCTGTCCCCTTTATCCTCTCTTGGTACAGATTATTCCATAGAAAGTGCGCACGAACGATTTTTATTCACGAGTTGCGATCCATCAAGAAAACGAACGAGTGAGCGCAGCGAACGAGTGAGTTTTTTTTATGTAAAGCAACGAGTGAATAAAAATCGTTCAAGCACTCTCCATGGTGTAATGTTTTTATTTCATACATACTGAGATTGTTTCGACAAATTTCAAAGATTAGAAGCCATTTAAGTGCAAGAGCAATTATTATTAACACTGCCAAATCCGCAACGTGGCGCGATATCCAGTCTCTGTTGATAACTGTATATTTTTTATTTTGTTATTTGATACACACTAATTTTCGATGGAGAGATTTTACTTTTAGAAGAGAGACAAAGATAATTAATATGGCATCGCGAATTTGCAGATGCGTAGAATTGTGAAGTATGAAAAGAAAATGGGAAAAATGGGACAACCTCGGTTTTAAAAATGCGAAATTCTCTATTTAAAAAAAGGAACGTACATCAAAATACGGTAGTTTTTGTGAAATGGTTTTTATAAATAGTTCTCCTTTAATCTTCATCAGAACTGCTGGACGAGACGCGGAGTCTTTTCCACGGCGGATTTTCTTGTGGGGCTATTTTTGGCAACTGATTCACGGTGTTAATTGTAACTGAGAACTGTCTTCCTTGGATCACTGCTCCACTAAATAACGGTACCAACTTCTGGTCTGTGATGCTGGTGTTTTGCTGAGGCTGAGCCAGGGCTTTTTGTAATTCCAAAGGTAGAGGATTGCTCGCTGTTGCACTGGGCAGGCTGACAGCTTTTTCATTGGATATGTTCGCCAGCGTGTTTGACATGGATTGCTGTTGTTTTGTGGAAAGCGAACTGTAGTTCTCGATGCTTTTAAGATTCTTGTGTCCGGAGAGTCGTCAGGGGCACCCAACGAGGATATAGTTTAAAACCACTTAACATAGCATTGTTGAACGTATTTTAGTATTCAAACGGTAGATATAGGCATATTTTTATCCCCTAAAAACTTTTCATCTGTTCGGATTTCCTAGCTGAAAGTCCAGTGATCCGAAAATTATAGGGGTAAAAACTTACCTTCTCGAAAATTCTAGGTCGCCGTTTTTGGGGTCAAATTCCGTTAAAAATGGGTAATTATACCATTTTGTAGATGTTCGAAAATCCTAGGAGAGCAGGCAAGCAAGAAATTTTACAGCAAATGCTCCGAAAATTCTAGATCTCAAATCGTCTTCCGAACAGATATTTTTCCGAAAATTGCCGTTGGGTGCCCCTGAGTCGTGCTTTGTGGGTTGTTGGAACTCCTTGGTCCCTGAGACTTTGCACCGTGTTTTCTGAGCACTGTGAATTCTCAATTTAGGATTTCCAGACCAACCTTCTTTACCATTTCCTTCATCAGCCCACCGAGTTGTTTACGCCGACCTTTGAACCACGATTTGCTCGAACTGCTTCTGGCCTTCACATGGTTTAGTGCCAAATAAAACGGGCTTTCTGCTCCTGTCATGCCGTCAGGTCTTTTCTGTGCAAATAGCTTGTACACTGCAACTGGGTCTTTCTCACTACTGTTTGTAGCAAACATTTTCGGTGCTAAAGGCCTCACATCAGAGACATTCGCGTCGATTAGTGTTTTCGTTTACCGTTCGTTGTACTCTAAAAACTCGACACCGTCCGCCGTTTTATTCAGAGTTACATCACCCCAGCACGTATTGTGATGTTCCTGAATTCACTCCTCGAAGACCGAAATGGAGGCTATTGTTTAGCCAAAGAGAGTTGAGAAGCACTTCTGGACTTGACATTCCAAGAAGACCTTTGTTGTACAGGACCGTCATTTCCTCTTCTGTTACAGGTACAGACGCATTTGGCTTGTTGCCTCTCCCTTGTTTCTTGAGCTGTTTTTGCTTGGAGTGCAGCGTTTTGCGAGTTTTCTCAAACACTAAATTGTTGATGATACCAGCTTGATAGTTTTTCCGTTTGAGGTATCGTTCAAAACTGGCAATCTTACCTCGCAGTAATGTGGGCTCGAAATGAGTGTCATCTTTGGTTCAGAACCAAAGATGACAGTGACTCACTGTCAGACTGACAGTGAGTACGAACTCGCTCAGCAATTCATTGAGTTGAGCAGGAGGTATTTCTTCAACGTTTCTGATCTCTTCCTCCCTTTGAAGGAAGGTTGTTAGCAGGCTTACGCTTCTGTCAGTCTTTGCACTCGTGTTTTTGTTTTCTTGCTCATCTATGAGGTCATCTATTGTTCCTTCAAGGAGAACAAATCTTGGCACCTCTGCTTCCATTTTGTTTTTACAGAAAGCCGCGCGCTTGTTGCCCTCCACTGTGAAGTACTATCGTTCGTGTCTGATTGGACGAACGATGTATTTTCACAGTCGTTCGCTTTTCTGATTGGTTTGTTGTATATTCCGACGAATTTTACGCGGGCTTTTTTTCATGTGTAAATCTCAGTATGTTTGAAATAAATGTATTTTTGCCTAGTCCCTCTCTTTTCCGATTGAAGGTTCAGGAATGTACAGTCTTTTTCTTTCACAGGTGGCCTGACATTGTACGAATGAGTCATAGCAAGAACTATTTTTGTATTGAAAGTGCCAGGTCATTTGACACTATTCACTTTGAAATGGTAAGTATTGACTTCACGTAGTGAGCACCCTGCAGTCTCATGATTAATTAAGTCCTGAAGACATGATGATTATGTTTTATCATTGTTTGTCTGATGATGATAACAATACTGATAATAATCGTAATCATAATCATAACTATACCAAAATTGTCAAATCTGATTGGCTATCAACTGCCCTGATTTCAGCCTTAATTGGACAGTTTGATAGGACAGTACGCGTCATGCCTAAGTAATTGGACAGTGCGCGCCATCACGCGCGCTTAAATGGCTTTTTTTTCACTGCTAGCGAAACAAAATTTCGAATTTCTTGTGTTTTGATTTAATAAATAGCCTATTATATCACAAATTTTGTTAAAGTTATGATTAATTGGTAACAGAACTTCGTGTCGTCCAATTCGGTCTGTAATCATACTCGTCATTAAACAAATCGGACTCCCGCGATTTTGTTAATCACTCGTATGATTACAGACCGAATTGGACTCCACTCAGTCCTGTTACCATTACTTATTCCTCGAAAAGCGAGGGCTGAAGGATGGAGCGTATGCAAGGTTTATAATTTGGCAAAATTTGCATCATGCGTGGAATGTGCAGGTTGTTAACAAAATGAAAGCTTCTATCAATTTGGTAGTTGTTTCCACTGACAATTTTCTAGCAACAAAGCTTTGAGTAAACAAAACCGCAACAAACTTGGTCTGGTTGTTTTAACGGCCATTTTAGCGGTCAAGAAATGCTTTTGGCAATGAATTTTGAATGCCGTTCTTAGTACTTTCAAGTAAAAACAAACCATTTGGACCATTGCTTCTACATAGCATCAAAATCAAGGTGAGAGAGTTAACAATATTGTTTTGAACCCTACTTTGCAGAGTTTATCGGCTCTGTTGGGCATTTACGCATGTATATTGTTTTTCAAATCAATAAGATGCGTTTAAGTCCCGCTTTTTAAGTTCAAAAACCTTGCTTATTTTCCTGAAAATTAATGTATATTTTGAACAGCTTGATCAGCCTTAAATGGCATTTTCCAGGAGAACCTCCATTATGAAAATCCTTTAAGTATAATATTTTTTAAAGGGCCAATGTAGTTTCTTATGTAGTGCCAAGGAATCTGGCCAGCAAAACATGTGTATTTCTGGTGATATTAATTGGGAAAACAATATGTAATAACGAGAGCATGAAATGGACATTGTATCCTTTGACAGGAAGATGCAGCAACAGCAAAATATGTATGGCGGATATTTGTGGCTCATCACCAGTTTTGCCGACTAAACTTGTCCAGGTCCAGTACTCTGCAGCTGTCAAATAAGTAAGCTATAATTATAATGGTGCATTACATACTGATTATTGCAATATCTAATAATTAGTTAAACAACTGGATTTTAACCCTTATTAAACATACTGGACAATAGTATGAGGCTATTCAGAGGTGCACAATACACAACATACTTACAGTGTACAGGTGCAGTTCTCAAATGCATTGAATGTGATCGCTTCACCTTACACTTTGACATTGATCTTGGGATTTCAACCACATGTACCGTGCACTAAATTTTCAGGCTGTCCAGGCTTGTTATAAGCATTTGAATAATTTGTGGTTGTTTTTGATTTTTTAAATGTACCTGTATTTTTAGAGGTCTCTTAAATGTAATCACAGTTAATAGTAGATTAATATTCTTTTGATTGTGTTAACTGAGTTAATCCACTGAATAAATAGCCATATTAATACGAATTATTGCCAGTTACATTTAATTACCACTTTACCATACAGCAACTTCACGGAGAAAACTACTTTTTTGGTTTGGCTTCTCTATTTTTATACTGCACCATTAACCAATTCTTCATCCACTATGTGCATCATTTTCTCTTTCTTTTAGGTCTTGTCTGTGAGAATTTTTTCTGAATTGGCTGGGTGATAATTAGCTCTTCTTCTTCTGTATTTTTAAGCCTATGTGCTTCCTACCTTTATCCTCTTATCCTTCTCATCCAACTACAGTTCAGTGACTTTGTTTTCGGGGAAAACAAGACGGTGATGGCTTTTTGGATGCTCTGCCATGATTGAGCTTGTCTCGCTGTAATCTTGGAGTCAATAGCACATTTTATCATTATTATTTTAAAAAGCGAGTTGAGCAGTCTATTGCTTTACTCTTGTTTCTTTTATAAATTGTTAAATCAAGACTTGAATTGTTTTCAGTGTACAATACTTACCTTCCAGAAAAATGTTACGCTGAACTTTTCATGAGCCGAACCTAATTCGAATTAAGGCCGACCGACCCAAGTTATTTAGACCGGCTGAATTGATTATTCAGATGTCGATATTAATTCCAGCCGAACTAAATTCAAAAGGAGTAAAATATTCGTTTTGTTCAAAATGCGTACAAAATGCGTTGTAAATAATTTGTGCATTTGGTTTGGTACATGAAAAGTTCGGCGTCTGAATCAAAGACGTTTCAAAGTCGATTCAAAGTCGAAATTCCCGGCTGGACTAGGCGGAAAGAACGGCTTAGCCGCTACACAAAGGAAACACGCGTTCCAAATTGATTCAGACCCAGAACTTTTCACGTACTTAATGCAATGTATTAGGTTCGGCTCATGAAAAGGTCGGCGTCTGAACCGGGCCTAAAAGTAACATGTAAATTTAGAAAATAAAAAGTCGATGTCAAAAGCAAATTTCCAAATTGAAACGTCGAAATCAAATATCGATTTCTAAAGCGCGAAAATCAAGTTTCGAATTCTTACTTCTCACCTGGCACTTTGACCACCCCTCCGTAGCCCCCCTCCCCTATCAATTTGCCTCGTCCAGCAAATTTGGAGTCCAAGCCCGAAGGAGGAGGAAAACCTTTGAGAGATCACTCCAACGGTTTGAATGCGACACCTCATCACATATCTGGACCTCATCTCATATCCGGATAGCAGGAGACATGAACCTCCCTGGATTTGACTGGAAGCACAATTGCCTATTTCCGACGTGTCGTTTCCCTGAGTTAACCCGAAAATTTGCAGATTGTCTTGACGATCATGGCTGAGTCCAACTTATAACCAACCCTACGCGGGGTAAAAACGTCGTAGACTTGTTTATAACTAATAACGACAGTCTTATTGTCAAGACTCAAGTCATTCCCGGTATTAGTGATCATGATGCTGTGTTTTTTGAGGGTAATATCAAAGCAACATTCACCAAACAAAACGCAGGATGGTTCCCTTGTATAGAAAAGCACACTGGGATGGCCTTAAAGAACACATGTCTAAATATGAAGACTCTGTCGTACATTCTACTGACTGTGATCTGCCAATAAATGATTTGTGGTCTAGTTTTCGAGAGGAATTGACCTCTGGTATCAAGCGATTTATACCACATAGGTTTACGAGCTCAAGAAATTGCCTGCCATATGTGTCCCTCTCATTGAAACGCCTCATGAGGAAAAGGGATCGGCTACATACAAGAAAGGATCCTCGGTACCAGACCATTAAGCATGAAGTCCAAAAGAAGTTTCGTGCCGCATACTGGCAGTATCTGGAAGAGATTGTTGCCGCCATCAAATGACGAAGACTCGATGGGCGCTAATGCGGCCCGTAAGGCGAACGTTTTAAACACCTATTTGCAATCAGTGTTCACAGGCTATGTACCCTTAAATTTGAAGCAACGTTGTCAAAATCAGTGCGATAGAGTCCTCGACCATCCCCCTAACCGTACGCCATTTCAATTACAACTGCTGGTATCGCTAAGCTATTAGATAACCTAAAGCCACACAAGGCCACTGGGCCTGATGGCCTTTCTCCCAAAGTTCTCCGGGAGCTCTCCTCAGTAATAGCACCAGCCTCTTAGAAGATCTTCAGTAAGTCCCTATCATCTCACCAAGTACCAGAGGACTGGAAAAAGGCCTTTAAGAGAGGCGATGAGGACAGTCCGGCAAACTACAGACCGATTTCCCTGACTTGTATCTGCAGTAAATTGCTAGAGCACATCTTCACTAAGAGTATCATGTCACACCTAGAACATCACAATCTCCTCTATTATTTGCAGCATGGTTTTCGTAGATTCAAGTCAGTGAGTAGCAGTTAATTGAGTTTGTAAGTGATATTGTCGACACCTCACGTGCTAAGCAGACTGATTTATCATAATGGACCTATCTAAGGCCTTTTATACGTTTCCTCACAACAGACTTCTTTGTAAACTGGAGAATAATGTTATTAGAGGCGACGCTGTGAACTGGGTTAAAGCCTTCCTTGAAAATGGTTAACAATGCGTAGTGGTGAATAGCGAGAGGTCTGATTTTGTGGCTGTCCTTTCTGGTGTGCCTCAAGGCTCCGTCATAGGTCCAGTGCTCTTTCTAACATGCATTAATGATCTCCCGCAGAACATAAGATCAAAGGTTCGCCCATCCGCCGACGATTTCATTCTGTATTTGACTATCACAAGTGAAGATCACTGCTGACAGCTCCAGGTTGACCTTGATAATGGGAGGCAACTTGGAGGATGGAGTTTAACGACACTAAGTGTGAGGTGTTGCGGATTTCGCGGTATAAGACCCCAATCCAACATACGTATTAACCGCACGGCACTCCACTAAGGGAGGTTGATCATGGGAAATACCTAGGTATATGGTACTCAAAAGATCTCCAGTGGACTCGACACATTGACGAGATAACAGCCAAGGCAAACCGCACGCTTGGCTTCCATAAAAGAAACTTACGGGTAAATTCGTCGACTTTAAAAGCCAAAGCTTATAAAGGCTTAGTCCGCCCCCAAGTTGAGTACTGCTCAAGTGTTTAGGACTTCTGCCCAGGCGTTGAGAATAGCGGTTCATACAAGATCGAAAGGGTACAACGCCGCGCGGCTCGATGGTGCCCCCGCCAATGCAACCAGGGTTCTATCTAGCATTTATCGTTTGGGGGAGAAGTCCTAAGTGGCCAAAGGCCACGAGCTTCCTGGGGTGATCCGGGGGCATACCCCCCGGAAATTTGAGCATTTTTTTGTGGGGAAGCTTCTACCCCTCAAGTACCCTAGATAGAGCCCTGAAAACAACACATCTAGCGTCACCAACATGCTTGAAGACCTGGGATGGCGTACCCTAGAGCAACGTAGGATTGACAGTCGGCTCACGGCCTCTTTAAGATCACACGGTGGCTTCTCTCTGTTAACTCTCACGGGCTTCTGCGCCCTGTCATTTGCAAGACACGTCGTTCGCACTCGGAAAGTTTCATCCCCCTTCAAACTAGCCTGTCCTCAGATTATCTGTTCGTTTTTTCTCAAGAACAATTATTGAGTGGAACAATTTGCCCTTTTCTGTCTTTAGCGAACACTGCTCTTTAGATACTTTTTAATCCATGTAAGCTACCTAAATCATCTACCAGTTTATTAACCTATTTAGTTAACTTTTTTTTTTTTGCTGACCAACCCAGCCAATAATCCTCAAATGTGAGGGGTAGGCTGTACGCTGTAAATGTAAATGCCTCGCACATTCAAGGCGACGGCTTGTTCGTTTTACCATGGACAGTGTTCTGGAACAAAACTTCAGAAATCCTTGAATTGAAGTAAATGAGGCGAGGCAAACTTTAATTAATATATTCAGTACTAACAGAATTTTCAGAAATGTTGTGGTTCAATCGTATTAGTAGCTGACTACCTGGTGCGGTAAAAGCCAATTGTTCAGTAAATGTTTTCGCTCAGTTATAGTAAGGTTCATCGCCCAGCTCGCCTCGAGTCCTTCGTAGCTCAGTGTTTAGAGCATCCGATCGGTGTAGAGAAGGTCATTGGTTCAATTCCTATCGGGCACTCACATTTTTTCTTTGTCCCGTGCTCGTGACATGTTAATCACATCACTTATCATCGTGTATTTATTACAATTGGGCGTTTGAGCTTGCTCGTTCTGGCAGAAAAGGAAAATAGGGAGCTTTGGTATCGACGACGGTTACGGCAGCAAAAACGTCACTTTTAAAATGAATTCGCGTTTTTCAAACTTTGTCGCGTTTTATATTCCAATCCGCTGAAAATGTCAAATGTAGGCGAATTTTTCTGGAGTTGATTTCTCACGGGTCGCATTAAAGTTAAGAAAGAGAAAGAAAAATTCGTCGGTTCTTATTTACATCCTCAATAAAAACTCGTAATTAGGCATTTCCACGTCGTAGTTGTGCAGTAATGCACAAAAAGGCAAAAAGTAATGTACAAAAAGGCGTGATGCACGTGTAAAGTTAACGTTTTTTTGACGTTCTCGTCAGCCGTCGTCGTCGTCGTTGCTAAAGTCACCAGAGGGGTAGAATTTTAGTTTTGGCGAGTTTAGTTTTGTGGAATGCACTCCCCGTCACCTTGGGATGAATTATTGCCGGAGCAAAAAAAGTTCTTATCGTCTGTCTTTTCATCGTCCATGATCTGGCACGAAAACTTTGTCCCAGTCTTCCGCTCCGTTAAGAAAAAGTTAGGAGGGGGGAATAGGGGGGAGACGGTCGAAGTCGAAAGTGAGTAGTCGAAAATAGATTTTCGCGCTTCAGAAATGGATATTTGATTTCGACTTTTCAAGTTGAACATTGACTTTTTTAATCGACTTCTTAGGTCAGAAATCGACTTTTGATTTTTGATTTTGACTTTTCAAGTTGAAAATTGATTTTTTGAGTCGACTTCTTAGTTCGTGAACCGACTTTTGATTTTTGGTTTGGACTTTTCACTTTAAGATCGTTTAAAAAGATCGACTTTGATTTGCGTTTTGACTTTTGATGGCCACTGTTGGCCGCCGTATCTGCCTATATACATGTAATTTGTATCCAAATGTTCATGGGTCTTCCACAATAACCAATATAATTGTTGCCGTTTCTACCATAAGTTTTAATAAATGTTATTGGAAGGTACTGTACTGTTCCAGCAAGCTAACCTTGAATTCAAAGCTACCACTCTGAACCGTATGCCCTCATGCGAAACGTCTAAGTTGTTTGCTCTTTTCCCTTCCTCATTTGGTGGTTATCTGGAGTTTTAGCCTGATGTCACGTGTCAACTTGCGAAGTAGTTTCAACTGTCGATTCTAAAACTTTCTCTTGACTTTATCACACCACTTTGTTAAATTCACTTTGGTATGCAGTAAGTATGCCTTATGTTTTATTACCCACTTGGTAGTCACGGAAAAAAAAAACACAGAATTCCCTGTTGCCTTACGTAGTACGTTTTTTTTCTGTCTTTTTTCGCTATCTTTTTACTTTCTTCCTTGTGGCAATATTTGGGAAAGTCATTCAGAAATTATTTAGCATCCCTGAGTATCAAACTACTTGTATACAACATAAAAAGAGCTCAGACATGAATGACTGATGATGGATATACTTTCTGGTTTATTGCAGCAATTCTGGCAAGTTCACTCTTCGCAACAAAACTAAGGTAAGTTTTTCACGTACGTGGAATGTAGTGAAGCAATTACTGCTCAAAGCCTCTCTTCTCCGCAGAGGCTCCCACTGGGTATTCCAGTAACTATACTACTACACGAGAAATTGCTGGAAATTCATTGGCTTAGAGCAGTGGTATTTCAGCTTAATATGAAATACCTACATGTGAAAATTACAAAACTATTGAGAGTAGTAGTATAAACAAATAATAGCATGATTCCTACGTGTTATTTGGCAGAAATACCACTCGTAATATTTCAAAATTGTCTCAAATTTCACTCGCCTTACAGCACGTGAAATTACGTACAACAATTTCGAAATATCACTTGTGGTATTTATGCCAATATCATTACAAATCATGCTATTACCTATACAAATAGAAAAAATAAGAAATAGCAAGCGCGAGGTGGTGATGGGAAGAGAGAAAAGGCGGAAGCCTCTCTTCCTATCTTTCCACTTCCCATCTTTTCCTGCACTTTCGCAGTGTGACTGCTTTGTATTTAAGTCTTTTCCAACAGCTATATTTTACGAAGCTTATTTATGAAACTTTTTCTTGATAATTTTACTGTTCAATTGTTATTATAGGTTTCTGCCAACAATGGTGAAAAATGCTCACCCTGCAGCTCAAGTAAGATTTATCAAATAAGGAGTGTGCTTTCAGTGTTTCATATGATAATGGACAACTCAAAGGCGTTGCAAAAACTCGGTGTGATGAGCTCATAAATTTTTCTCAACTGACTTCTCGGTGTTGTAATATAACACTGCTTCTCGTGTTTGATATGCGGTCAGGAGAGCATCGAGCATCGGGTGGCAAGAGTTGAAAATCGATTTCTTTCATTTTTTTTGGTCCATAGATAGGTAGATAAGTAATCTGATGTAAACTTTTCTCCCTAAAAGCCTTTTATTTTCAAGAAAAGTAAGAATATCAGTTTTAACATCAACTCTCCTCGCGTTCGCAAACAAAGCTGCAATGAGAAAATTTGGACTCTTTCCATCAACAGAACAACGCTTTTTCTTTCACTAGAAGATACTTTCAAAGTAGTAGCGAGACTCGTTGAACTGGCGTAATTAAAAAAACGAAGAACAGGTTTTTGCTATGACAAAAACTTTTATTTAGTAGTTGTTTTCTGCGGCATTAGTCTTCATGTGATATACTTCAAATTTCTTAGTCCTCGTTTTATCACACATTTAGACATTCATCTAAAACATACCTGAGATTTGGCTGGGGTTCAGCCTCCAAGTGAAAACATCGAATTCTGGCAAATAAATTGAAGCGTGACCAAAATAACTTATTTAAAATTTTCCTCGTTTCTAATTACAACAATATCAATATATCTTCTTGTTCTGTCATCCTTAGTAAATTACCATTGTCAAAGTCCTTATTTCTCGACAAAAAGTGAGTACCAGAACTCCAGCGCGTGTAACGTTTTCTTCAAAACACTATCGGCATCGAAATGTTACTTTTCCAAGAATTGCGTTGCGTTACTACCGTGACTCCGACCTTTTTACCTCACTCTTTGATTAGAAAAGCAACTTTGCAATGGGGAAACCTACAAGAAGTACGAAAAACGGGCCTTCGCTGTTCAAATATCTTCTTTGTGTGTTTCAAAATTGGAAGTGTTTACTCAATTACCGCCAGCCTGCAATGAAAATTCCTGAACTTCGATGGCGTCTTGCAGAGATTTCCTTTAATAACCCAAGCCAATTCCCAGGTGTGTTTTAGATGAATGTCTAAATGTGTGATTTAAATAGCATAAGGAAAGTTTGGAGTGGTACCACATGTTACATATTACCGTCGAAAACGATTAACGAACTTAAGTTTCTGATGACCTATCCCTCATTTTCGAATTATTTCAGCAGGACAAGCCTTGCTATTGCCCTGAAAGTGTATCTTCTGGTGAAAGAAAAACAATTTTGTTGCTCTGTTCATTGAAAATGTCGAAATTTCTCCATGCGGCTTTGTTTGCAAAGGCGAAGAAAGTTCAGTGATGTTAGCGAATTTCCATAATTTTGAGACTCCGACATCGAAAACCGATCTTCTAATTTTTCTCAAAACTTAAATGCTTTTGGCGGGAGCAATCTACATCAGGTTTCTTGTCTATCTAAAAATTATCTATGGACATAAAATGAAAGAAATTGATTTTTCAATTCCTGCCACGAAATTAAGATTTTGCTCGATTTTTCCTACCGTCGCTCTTGAAAAACGGTGCATCAACTTTTTTTTAGGATATGAAAGTGATTTTTCTTTGTTTTCAGTCACCTTTGTCCGTTATGTGATTGTGTTAATAAAATGGTTCTATTTCGTTATAATTTCAAAAATACTATGACCTACTTTTTGAACAACAATGGCTTTTTTTATGCTGGAGAAGTTAAAGTTCCCTAGACGCATTTAACTTCTGAGATGTTGAAAGGTCGACTGGTGTAAAAACGGGACGCCTAAACGTAGAAGATAACATTGAAAATAACAGGGTTTTATGAAAAAAATACACAACACTGATTCTTCCCAGTCGTTTCTGGAAGGGTTGGTCATAAATGTGTCCAAGTTTAGGGCGTCCCATTTTTATGAACATTAATGGTCTTACGAGTCTTTCGTCTTTTCCAGGTCTTGAGAAAGGCTTAGTTAATCCTGTGTTTGATGATGAAAAGAGTTTTACAGATGAGAAGGATATGGCTGACAGTGTGTCACGAGATTCCTCGTCAGGTTCCAAGCGTAAAATATCCTTACCCAGACCGCAGTCACTAAACTTCTCTCAAGCAAACAGTCAACGAGACCTCTTATTACGTGATAACTTGTGCACATCTCAAAACTCTCTTGACCATAAGAAAGGTCTTTATAGTGAAGTACTTTACAACAGGCCCGTAAGTAACGAAATTGGCAGCTCACTTTCTATGGATTCTGGGAATCCCCTTGGAACACAGTCTCTAGAAAGTCTGGATGACAGAAGTCACGCCACTAATAACGTGACCTCAGACGAGGCTTGTTTCACCAGTACTGTTAGGTGTGTACACTCTTTAAGGGCTGATTAAGTTTTACTTTGATGCTGCGTTATAGAGACCAAGCTGAAAACTGAAAGAAGTGACTTATTCTACATTATAGAGCAGATAGTAATATTAAAAAGTTCTTATTTGGATTAATGTGTTGAACTGTATGTTTCATAATTCGTTAATGGGCACTTTTTAGGCCGTTCGTTACACCTTATTTGAGTCTCTTATTGTACGCTCAAAATAACTCTGGCAGGGTAAACTTTGTTGATAATTGGTAAATATAAGTGAGATGTAAGTGGGAACGGCTACACATGTGGTAGTGAAACCATTATTTTCAAGTCTATGAACTGATGGGAATGTTCTGTGGATTTTTTGTTCTTTTAATTCTTTTCTTTTACTCTTCTAGGCCATTTCGTCCAGCGTCATTACACTTAGAGCAACAGCAGCAGCAGGTAGCCGGAGATAACTCAAGCGAAGTTACAGGTCAGACCAGTGGTTACAGCACTTCAAATGATTCTGACCTAGAGGAGGCCAGAGAACTGGACTTTGATGATGGACTGCCCTTTGAAATGATGACGATCGAGAAAGTTTTAGTGCTAGATTTTGCCGACTTGTCAATTTAAAACGAGAAAAATGTTCCTTTTGTAAAGTGTCACCCAGATGGAAGTACTAACCCGGGCAAAAGGGCCGTTCCTTTTTGGTCATTTGAGGAGTCGCACTTAGGGATTGTATTCAGAGAATCTAAACTTAGAAAACCACCAGCTTCGTTATAAACAGCATAAGATCAGTACTGGCCGTGGTCTTTGGTGTGATGTTAGGGAATAAATGTAGCCTCGGTTCCCATCTTAGACTTGAGTCAATTCGCGATATGTTGGCTGAGTTTGTTGGTTGCTGTCCTACTTCCGAGAGATTTTTAACAGGTTAGTCCTGTTTACACCGCTTCTCAAGAACCAGTACTCCCAAACCACAATTTGATCTTGGACGTAAAACCCTGACACGTAAAAAAAAGGAAATCAGAGAAAAAACTAAACTGCAAGCAACAACGGTTATTTGTTTGTGGTTTTTTATTATCTCCCATGTGCTGATCTGTGTTGTGATTGGTCATAACACAATTAAGTAAACAGTCCTGAAATATTTTAGTTCATTGTTCACGGATTTTAGAGTTTGACAGTAAGAACGTCTGGGTGTTTTCTGGGTGAAGAAAAACATTTACATTTTTGCATGTAATTTTAGGCCGGGCCTTGTTCCACTCTCTAAAATAGTATGTGTTTAACATGTGCCTAGAGGCATTGTATATTTTACCACTTGCCCGTGTTCTAACTTCATGCTGTTTCAAATAATGGCCTTGTCATTTAAGAGAATGTAGACTTTTAAAGTATCTGCTGTTGTCATGTTACATTGCAGCTGAAAGAACTTGAGAAAATATTAAATGATGGTCAGGTGTTTACGGAGTTTCAGAAGTTAGAGCGACGAAGTGAGGTGAGTGGTCTTAAAAGAGACACCTTGGCATCAGGTTTTTCATGGGAAACCGCAAATCACAAATCTGAGAATGTCAAGTGACGACGGTCTTGAGGTAGCGTTTGCAGTTTGCAGTTTACTGTGAAACTGAGAGCGGTAGGTGGCTTACGGCAACTTTTTTTTCCTGATAGAAATTGTACAGCCTCACCTTTGATGGCACAGAGAAGCATTCTATATCCGCCTGTACGATGTGTTAGATTTTTCAACTCGAATCAATCAATGTTCAATGTTTGTTTGGGCGATAGAAGTGTTGCGCATCGACTTGACGAAATGTAACATGGCAGCACTACACAATGATCGCCTTGCTAAATTTTGAAATCCCGGCAACGTGAAACTGCAGATGCGTTACTGCAATTTGTGTTTTAAGGTTTCCTATGAAAAACCGGATGCCGAATGTCTCCATTCATTCAATGAGCCCGCGTTGTATACGAGGCGGTAAACTGCGAAAGGGCGAAATCGGCTTTAACTATTCTCGTATCCAGCAAGGGCGAAAGGAATAATTGTTTCTATTTCATTCTCCCCCTCCACTTTTGCCCAGTTTTGTGTAATTTTTGTCAAGGTAGCTGTCTGTAATCGTCTTTTGCAGCAACTTACAACGTCTAGTGCTCAGTGCAATGGAAATGCTGAGAAAAACAGATACAAGGATGTGCTTCCGTATGAGGTGAGATGGCTTATGTCTTCCCCATTGCCAAGCTGTTGACTCAAGCGTTTCTTTTGTATAGATTAGAAAAAAGTGCCTTCCCTCTGACAGTGAGACCTGATGTTAACCTGTTAAGTTTTGACAGATATTCCAGTCATGTTATGGATTTGAAACAGCGTTCACATACTCCTCTTAGACTCATTCAATTGAATTGACCACTCAGGTTTGTCATTTGTTAATCAACAGGAAACTCGAGTTCGTTTAAATCCTCGGAAAAACTCAAATGGTAGCGACTACATTAATGCAGACTTTGTTAAGGTAAAAATCATTCAGTTTGTTGTTACGACATGTATATGCACTAGCAATATTTTTATCGCAAAAAGGCAGTGATTTCATCGTCGCCGACTTTGTCAAGCTAAAGCAGTATAACGGAATGGGGCTATTCTTATGAGGGGTTTGTTTGTTTGCTGTTTTTTTTGTAACCACTCATAAAAGGTTTAACTTAAGAGGTCAGGGTTTGCTGTTCCCGTATCTTGTCTTTAACGTACGTTGAACCCCTACGCAAATTTCATAACATTTGGTCACCACTGTGTAGAAACAGCGGTGCAATTTGACCGCCAATAAAAAGAATCGCTGTCATGAAGTTTTGCCGCGGTATTTTTTAATGGTGTCAATGGTCGCAGTGAAAAGAAATTATCAAGGTACGCTAACTGTCAGTTAGCGGCTATTTCAATTACCTTTGTCGGTTTGGGATCTGGGATAAAGTGACAAACATTGCATTAAAACTAATGCTAGGCTTAAGACATAGGCATGACACCAAAACCCATCAGAGCCGGATAGCACCAAGGAAGCAGTTCCGTCCTCCTTTGGACTCGACAGTTGCAAATGGCTGGTGAAATTAAAACTGACTGCAAAATCTCTGTTGAATTCTGTTAAGGACAAACAGAAAACGAGCCACGCTAATATCACGTGTCCCGGAAAGGTCGTCCATGTTGTTATTTTGATGCCTTTTGAACCAGAATTAACTAGGATTTTTCTTCGGCTCTCACACCTTTCCTCTCCCTCCACCGCATTTCTGTTGCTCCCTCCCTCCCCCCACTCCCGTCATCACCACCACAACCAGTTAGGGCAGGTTTCATTCGTGACCTTTTTTGCCGCCGAACCTCTTTACCTTCCCAAATATAGCCCGCCGAATATAGCCCCCATATATCTTTCTGGTTTGGTTTACCTCAAGCAAATTTTACCTGCAGTGCTCATTTTTAGATTGGAAATGTGCGAAACTTAACATAATTAAAAGAGAACAAGTGCCAAATAAGATTCTTTTGCAAAAAACGAGAGAAATAAAGGAGAAAAAATTGCTTATAAGTAGTAGTTTAAGGATGATTTAGGCCTGGTTTTGGTTCTCTTCGTTTTTGTTTCCCCCTTCTCCTCCTCATTTTTTATTGTTTTCGACCCTCCTCCTCCTACTACTAATAACTTCGGAAGAGCAGGAGGGGGAGTGGGATTGGTAAGACATTGTGTTTCGTGCTAGAAAGAGCAAGTTTGCTTTCGCCCTCATTAAATTGCACGATTTGCAAGCCAAGAATCAGTGAACCGAAATTTTAACAATTTGTTGGACAGTGAAAGCGGCAGGAAATAGAACTTGCATAATTACGTTACGACTCAGTGATTTTAAGTCACAGGCGAATTAGCACTTATTCCTTCCATCGAATAATTCATACTCCTGTTCAGGCAAACCTAGGTAGGTCTTTTGTTTCTATTGGAAGATTGTTGCGCGAAAGTACAGTCATTATTTGGGCGTCACCCAAAATAGAGTTTTCGAGATCACTTGTTTTGATTCAAAGTTGCAATAGGCACGCAATACGTGCGAACGTAAATAAGCCAAGTAAAAAAGCAAAGCAACGAGAATGTCTGGTACTCGAACGACTCGTACAACGTAAAAAGCAGGCCGGAAAGAAAGCTCTGTAAGCGGGGTACTTGATCTCAAAAACTTTGCAACAAAGACACACAACAACAGTGCGGGTACGAAGAAATTAAAAGCCGGTCATTGCTCTGTCGATTGCCAGTAAGCAGATGTCCGCTCGGAGGACGATTTATGTTTGAAAAAGGTAAACTTACAAATCTTAAGCTTACGGTATTTTTTATTGTACCTTGAAGCCTGGTGTTTTTTTCTGAAGTTTGAAAGCAAATCTGTCAAAAATAATTGGAATTGACGGGTTTAGCGTACAGCCAAAATTCCGTGATCGTGCATGAGATAAATAAGGGATTGTTTCAATGAGGGGATCGACATGCGACGAGTAGCCAATTATAAAGTATTTATTAAAGTGTTTCGGCAGTTTGATGTTTGTATTGGAACTGATTGATGTTAGCCTATTCATTGTAGATGTTCGGAAAGGAGGTGATTTCTTAAAATCTTATTGAGCAAGATGATCTCGTAAACGAGTTGGATTCTATCACGTTCGAACCGTAAAAGGGGCAAAGTCCAACATCTTCAAGGGCAAACTGCGTGCGTGACAGTTATTTTTAAAACCCTTGGGTTAATTGCCCCCGCATCCCGAGGAGGCACCCTAAATTCCCTACTTCCTTTTCAACACGACTTTTTCCACGGAAATCGAACTCCAACGGTAAAAAAACATGCTAGGATCGTAGAAATAGGATAGCGTCAGGCATAGAAACGAATGAAGCTTTCCCAGCTAGAGAAACGAATCCAGCAGGGGACTTTGACAAACTCAAAGGATGTAATCCAAAAAGGCCAAAAGTCGTCCCGCCGAAGTGGCTGCGCGTTGAGTTCGAATTTCATGGAATTGGAAAGAGAGCATGACGGCCGAGATGCCATCTCGTGCCTCCTAACTTGTGTATTATATTGTATGGAGGGTCAATTTGAGCAAATTATCACGAAAATTCGTTTGAGCATTAAGGACAACAACAACTAACTGCAGCGTAAGTTTTATTGACCTTTATTTAGTATTTCCTACAAATCTTAGGCCCGGTTCAGACGCCGAACTTTTCATGACCCGAACCTAACTAAGGCCGACCCAAACCGGTTTCACTGATTAACAAACTACATCCATTATCTTACTAATCCACGTCCAATATAACTCCACGCCTTCCACTCCACACTTATCAACCAACCCCTAAAATATACAACGCTACTGCGTTACTCACACATCCCTAACACACACAAAAAGATTCACATACGCCTAGTACAACGACGCCCAAATACACGCTCCCAGCGTCTTGTTAACATGTGAAAGAAACGACTATCCACTTATTAGCTATACCACTAGTCTTATTATACTACTAAGGTGGTCGTTTACGTCGTATTTCAAAAAGCAGGGGCTAATTTAATAAAACTTTTACAAGAGAAACTTACAAGTGTAGCCATTGTTTTAGAGTCTGAGAACAATAGCTTCACTTGTAAATTAGGCTTGTAAAAGTTTTATTAAATTGACGCCGCATTTGTGTTGATATTGGGATGGACATACGTGTTCTGGGCTGATCTCGTGGAAAATGCTGACTTGAATGACTTATTGAGCTATTTTTTCAGCTCATATATCAGTGGTCTGAGCGTATGTATCTTTGTGGCTTTGTGTGTTCGGATTTCTGTTGCAGGGGCCAATAAGGTTGAAGGTACTTTGCTTAGGAACTTAGGAACTTTGCTTAGGAACCAGTGAGATTTTGGCATCTAAACATGACGTTGCTGAGGGTCAAACAAGGGCACTTTGATTCTTCTTCACAATTGTATCGTCTTTTATAAGGGCTAAAGTTGTTTAGAAGTAGAACATTTAAATATCTTCATGATTCAAACGCTGAGTACAGTGATGCAGCTCTTTAAGGGTTGATATTTTAGTGTGGGTAGTACTTCAGGACATTTCTGACCAAGTTCGGCTATCGCCAACGGTACAACACACGTATTTCATAATTTTTGAGTTCTGTTTCACCTGATTCAAAGTAGAGTAGGAAACGTCATATATTTTTCAAAGTGCTTCCAGTGAAACAACAATTAATATTTAGATATGGGCTTTAATTCGGAAGTATGCGGCCTATAAATTGTGGTTTTAGAAGTTTGAAAGGCAGCTTATTTGTTTTGAAAGTTGTACTGAGTAAGTTAATCCTGTAAACATGCTATATTCTCTCGCTTACAAATTTCAACAGACCTTTTTCGTTCCGCATTTTCATAAATGTACAGCAATTCCCAATTCTGCCCAAAAAGTTGTTAATTTAGGATTAAAACAGTAGATTGTTAGTACGGTTACACTGAAGCATTCAAAATAGCTCATGCACGTTAAACATTCCTATGTTTTCACTTATATACCATTGCAGATGAAAGTAGGGACACGAACATATAGATACATTGCAACCCAAGGTCCTATGGAGAATACAGCAACTGATTTCTGGCAAATGACGTGGGAGCAAAATGTTCGAATAATAGTTGCTGCAACTGATAACAAGGTAACCACTTCTGAGGATGGTCGTACACATAAATGATTGTTATTTCGAACTGGTGTTTAACTTGTTCGAAAGCCGTGGTGTATTTAAAGTAAAGCATTTCAGTGTATTAATGGCTGTAATGATGCTTTTGCCAACAGATTGATAGCAAGAATGCTTGTTATCCTTACTGGCCAGAGGATTCTGGAAGCAGGAAATGCTTTGAGTCATTTGAGGTTGAAACAGTGTCCGTCAGAGATGCTACTTCATTTAAGGTGCGCACATTTTCCTTGCGCCAGTCATCTCAGCCTAAGCAAAGTAGACTCATTTTTCATTTACACTTCACGGATTGGCCGGATCATGGAGTACCTGAGGATCCCAAGAACTTCCTTGGTAAGTGTTACATGATACCGCTTAGCTGAATAAGCATTGTACTGCTTATATTCTCACGATTATTTATTTTTTTTATTTTAAGAACAACATCAAAACGAAAAAGTGGGTCCCCAATTATGCTCTACCCTAGACGAAACGAGCCATTGTGTGTGTAGATTGGGTTCAACGTTCAATGCAGGAGTCTCTGTGACTTGCGACGAGCCCTTCCTTCTTTCATGTAGACAGCTACTAATAAATACTGAGCTTTGTATAAAATTGAGAAAGATGACTTATTCCTCTTGCCATGAGCTTGGAAGTGACAAACATCCTGTGTCCTTACGAAATTCGACCTTAGGTGTCCTAGAATACCGGTTTGGCGCTCTGACATCGCTAGAATTGTGTGTTTTCGAATTGTCTGCGCGTGCTAAACTCTTTTAATAACCACTGTTTATTGTCTTTGTTTTAGAATTTCTGGACGAGCTAGAATCTGCAAGGCAACAAGTCAGCATAGGTCAAGGTCACATAAATGACATGGATCCAGTGATGGTTCACTGTACAGCCGGTGTGGGAAGGACTGGGGTGATAATACTAACGGACCTCATGCTCGCCTATATCCAGAGCAACCAGGTAAGCTGTCACTCAGGTCTTGGCCTCATTTATACATTTGTCATTGTAGGTCGTTCCTGTTTTTCAAGTAGTTAAGGAAACCGGAGGTCAAAGGCATTAGGAGGTCTTAAAAAACTCTGGCACTCTCTCTCTCAAAGGATCATTGTCAAGGGAGTTGTAAGTGGCAACTTGATATCACACGCCACTCAGAGCAACAAAGCAACAAAATACCTTAAAAAAAGGGTCCCTGTTGCAATAATGCAGAGGTACGACTTTGATTTCGCGGCCTTTAACCGCGCTGCCAGGTATTGAGTTTTTTTGTTAGCTTTATAAAGAACGTTGTTTTTTCTTGATATATAACTTGTGTGAGGTCTTATTCCCATTTTTTAAACTCCCCTCGCGGACAGAAAATTTATCCGCATTCTTCATACAAAAAACAAAGTATTCTTTGAAAATAATCCAAAATTAATAGTTTCTCGCATTACTTAAAAGAATACTCGTCACTTCTTTGAAGATCAGTCAGAAAGGAATTTCCCCGCCGAAGCCAACTTCCGTTTAGTCAAAATTCAGAACTCGTCACATGCCCATTATAATATAACAGCATAGCTGTCTGTTTCCCTTTCTGCAGCGAATAAACGTTTTGAAGTCGCTGGTTGATCTCCGATGTCAGAGAATGCTGTTAGTGGCAAACTTCGGACAGTATCGGTTTGTGTACACCACACTTATACACTTCATCAAGAACAGCAGACTGATTTAAGAAAGACTGTCTGATCATCAGCTCGTTGCACGCTCACAGCGTGTCGCAGGATTAATCACCTGAACGACTGGCCTGATGATCAGTGTGGAGGCAGTGCAGCCTGCGTTATCACAGTTGGCCGTATACTCCCTTAATTTGGCTGGCTAAAATAGTCATCTGTCTGTTTAAAAGCGAGTGCGCTTTTACAAAAGTATAATTTAATGGAATGGCTATGATACCACACTAGTTGCGTACTAACGGAGCAGGTCTCCCGTTTGGGAACTCCTGGTCCTTTCGGCCGAGAGCTGTTCGTGTGTGATGTAATACTACAACTCCATGTATGCATCTTTGTTATTCCCCAAACCTTTGATACGTAAAAAGTACCTTGTTGTGAACTCGACCATATTGACGTATATACTCATACTAACTTCGAGCTCGGGGTATTTTTAAAACTGCCATTTTCACTGCAAATTTGGTCCTGAAAATATATTTTATCTACTTGTATTTAATATTTTGCAACAAAAAGACTATATTGTAAATAGTTCCAGCGTGTCATTTGTACCAGTAATGTACAGAGAAGCCCGATAAAAGAAATACCCGTGGACTGTACAATGAGTAATGTCAAAACTCCGTAACTGGGGTGGAGAATATTGTTCATTATACCCGGTTCTTCGTTATCGCTGGGTTTATTTCATCGGTCCCCGCAGTACTTTTTTGTGTGTAATTCCCTATTACTAATATCAAGATATGCGACTTACGATTTTGTGGACAGAAGTGTACATTGAGACCCTCTAAATGAAAGGCTTCAGTCGAGGAATATTTTTTTGTGCTACGCAGGCTGATAATATTTTCTTATGCTGTTGTTAACACAGCACTTTGTGATCATACAGTGTAGTTTCTGTTTTGTTGTGTTTTATTCTCTGTGTTGGTATGTTAAGAACTCACTAACGGGAATATATCTATTATAATAGTGAAAGGTGGGTAATAGTGTTGGCCTGTAAGGCTTTTAATGCCAAGCTGAAAATGGGTTTCCTAAATTTCGATTATTAACCCTGTACATGGTAACGTACTAGTAAGTGTTTAATATCAAATTAATATAATGAACAATTATCTACAATGTCTTCGAATCAAAATGTATATTAATTTTTTAACAATATATGATATATTTTTTATTAAATATTACTTTCTTAATTTAAGACTGTGCCTTTGTGTGTGTTACTGTCTTGACACATTTTGAGTAATTTTTAAAACACGGAAGGCAGTGATATCTCACTGGTTAAAACTTCCAGCGCCAAACTGGGCACATGGGAACTTCTAAAAACCCTACCCTGATATCGTTAATGTGTGTGTACAAAGAACCGTGTAATCGACCAAGAACCTTATTGTTCATACGCTATCCATTGCAATTTACGCATCAAGAATGTTAACATACGGCAATTAATTAGCTCCATGGATTTGCTGATCTTTTTTTTACCTTTTTGGCACTAAGGAATGCAGATAAGGCCTTGAGAATATTCACTTAAGGACGATAAGGGAAAAGTGTATAAATGACATTTAAACTCTCTTTTGAATTTAGAATTAACTTTGGAGTTAACATGGAAAGACATTGTAAATGTATCACATTGGCGCAATAAAACACCGTACTAAAATGTGGCGATTCATAACGTCCACCCAAAATAGAAAGCAAACGGCTCCTCGATATACACACAGACCGAAAAAGCGGTGACAAAAACCACAAGCCTTGCCTTTCCGTTAAAATCACATTCCATTTTAAGACGATAAACGCTTGGATTCCTGTGACAATGTAGCCCTCCAATCTCTGGTTCGTAGGTAATTCAGCCACTGGCTGCAAGAGAGGAGAAAAACGCACCGTTTTGGTTTTTTTTCTGAGGTTCACCTCTCGTCCGAGGAAACACTCCCTGCAGGGACGAAAATCGCTAGAGAGGCAACACCTGCTAGGTGGTCAACACTTGTCAGGGAGACGACACTCTTCAGAGGGTAAACGCTCATCACTGGAAGAACACTCTTCAAGAGCACAACAACAACACTCGTCAGGCGGTTAGCATTTGTCAGGGAGACAACAACTAAATGGCACGACCTTCGTCAGAAGAACAACACTCGCCACAGGAAACAACACTCTTCTCAGTGGTACAACACTCGGCAGATGGACAGCATTCATCAGATCGACAACACTCGTCAGATGGTCAACACTTTTCAGGGGGAAAACTCTCCAAAGAAGGTTAACACTGGTCACAGGAGAAACGTTCTTCACAGGGCACAATACTTGTCATTAGAACAGCCCTCGTAAGAGGGACAGCAGTCATCAGATGGACACTCTCTTCAGGTGGCCAATGAAAACTTTTCACAAAGGTTACACTCGTCAGATGAACAACAGTTGGCTTAAAAGGAACACTCGCTACGACGACAGCACTCCTCAGAGGGTATACTTTCATCATAGGAGGTCCACTCTTTACAATCTCTGTTTTCTCTACCCTTCAGAGAAAACACTCTCGCCAGAAGAGCAACACACATCACATACAGGGACAACACACTTCAGACGTTTAACACTTGTCACAGGGACAACACTCGTCATGTCCCCAAATCTTGTCAGAAGAGCAGCAAAAAATCGCCAGAAAAATCGAATCGACATGTGCAGTTGCAACGTGACACTTGGAAACTTTCGTGCTTAGTATCGCGCCTTTTATTACAGAAAATATATTGGGGATAGTTTTTTCGTTTGTCGGTATATGAAATCTTTTCCAATCACAAGTTACTTTACCTCTTGTTTTCATCACGCCCCCGCGAGGATTGTTTTGAGGCGTTGTGGGGCATGAAAACGTTCGGTTTTGCGAATTCATTTAAGGTATACTTTAGGACGCCATTTTGATGGCCTTTGAGTCAAAAATCGTCGCTGACCCGGATTATATTTTCAATTTACAGAGGTGCATAAGTGCCACTTACCTTACTTTGCATCTAATCCATTCGATATGTTCCAACAAGAAAACGGCAATGAAGTGGTATTTTGGCTAAAAGTCAACCAAGAGGCACTCTCTAACTGTAGAAGAGAAAAGGTTAATACTGGCACCTTACAACTGGGTATTCTCTACATTGACTTGGTCAATTTGAGTATACCTGGAAATGCATTTCGCTTGAACCGTCCAAGTCAAGGACTAGAAACACTGCTTGCCAATAGCTCCATTGTTGCTGAGGCTAAAAGACCACAATTAAACAAGAAAGGAAGTCCCACACAAAGGCAAGAATTCTTGGACTCCTACAAGAAGATTGCCATACTTAGAAATGACATCACCTCAGTACAAGAGTGAGAATTGGATATTAGCACGCTAGAGTAGAAATTGAACATCACAGGGACAGAGATTAGTCTTTAGAAGCAAAAATATCACAACATCGTAAAAGAAAAGCAAGATCTGTTACAAGAAATGCTTCTAGAGAAAGAACTTGTCAGTTCGTGTAACTAAGAAAATGAGGATATGAAAAGATCAGTTCAGTAAGGTTATGGGGACAGCTATTCCAAACCTAAAAACAGTACTGGCCGAAAACAAGAAACTGAAGGTACTGAGAAGAAGGGCTCGAAAGGCTCAGGGAATTATTTGGACTGCAGCTTGACTGCTCAAGATTAAAGGATCCAGATAGTTCCAAAACATACACAGTTGAATTCAATACTACAAAGAAAGGGAGCTTTGAAGATTTACCTGATAATAGTGTCTCACAAGATGGCAACCGACCTGAGACACAACCTGTTGACCTATTGCCAGACACCATCTGTTGACCCACCACCTCCCTTATTAACTGACAATCTTTCAACTCGTTTACCCGAAAAGCAGTCTAATTGTGCACACCAAAATTCATTCCAGGGTGGAACACAATATGCTAAACTAAGTGAGGATGGCAAAGCCAAGGTTGAAAACATTTTGTATCTCATTGACAAGTTCGGCGTTGGGATGAGTTCATTCATGAGTTGTCAATGGTAGTTGATGGAATGCCAAAGTCCTACCTCATAAAACAGTGTCGAATGGACCTTAACAGTGTCTGCATAATCAGGTCTACCTCAGGCAAGGCCCCTGGAGCACCGTACTTATTTAAAGAATTACTGATTCAACAAATAAAACACATGGTATGTACCAAGTATAATTTTTCACTGCATGTAATGGCTTGGATAAAGAAGACATTTTGGGTTTGTTACAGAAGCAAATTTACCTAGGACTTATATTTAAAATTTCAAACAAATAGCTTTTAAAAAATGGGTTTCCATGAGTAATGCGATTCCTTTTCAATTTAAAACCCACAGAGACAAGCCAATTTGCTTCAAGAAGGAGAGAAGGCAAAAGTGAAGTTGAGAAGGGATGGTGCTCGGATGAGCAGAGTGAGCAAATTCATTCTCTTGAGGCGCTCAGTGCTTCAGAGTAAAGATGATTTGTTATCATCAAAAGGTAATTAATAATAAAACAATAAAACATAACCATCTTCATTATTAGACAAAGAAATCTTTATTTTCAGTTGTATTTGTCGATAAAAAAAATCAAGCAAGTCAAATTATGTGGTTATGATTACAACCTAACTTTTAATAATTACAAGCATTTCATTTCTTTCATTAAAAACAAGGTACTCACACCATTGCTGTAGTAAATGGCCCTCAGAACAGCGGAACATTGGCCAATAGTTTAAAGGAACTGTTTAAGGATGTGAATGACATCCAAAAGAATGTCTCCATAACAATTGACGAAACCGAGTGGACATCGAACTGTTTCTTGGAGGTGATTACAAGGTAAATAACCGTGGAAAGTTTGTCTCGGTACCAAACTCAGGTCGCTGGAGAATTGAAGGCATAAATACATGAACAAAAGTGTTTCTTATATCAGACAGGAAGCTCTGAGATTGTACCCCTACTCTTGCATTCTGAAATTATATCTATTTCCTCCTAGTTTCTGCTGTTGGTCATTGGACTCAACCCTGCTAACTCTACCTATGCCTGCTTGTGGTTCAAAGTTCATAAGAAAGACAGGTATAATAACTGACACATTCATCAAGTTTTTAAAGGAATACTACCTTCAAGTGATTTTAATACTGTTTCACCAATTACATAATATCACTATAAAGTACTATTATTTATAATAATAAAATTATTGACAATTTATATCGTCAAATTACATTTGTATTTGGAACTCTTGAAATCAGTTTTGAGTTCAAATTCTCATCGCTATGTGGATACATTTTCAGATTCATTAAATATAATCATATAATCAAATACAACCAAATAATGACATTCTTTTAACATGGTGTACGCATGCCATATGTATGTTTTCCGTACGTAATGATATTTAAGCCCCATATACAATACTATTATTTACTTTTTTTTTAAGGGGCGACATGAGCAAGTCAGAACAGCATTATGAAAGTGACCCTCTAAGGAGGACATTGCAGAAAAAAAAGGAATTTGCAAGCAAGTCCAAGGGTGAAAACTATTGTTGTGTACATGACCTTCTTCTTAACATCCCACTGGATCACATCATTTTGGATGAGTTGCATTTATTGCTCCGCATTTCAGATATCTTGATAGATAACATTGTACAAGACGCAATGCAGTGGTATGATAAGGAGACTTGATCACTAGCAAGAAAAAAGTACACCTGGACAAGCTCATTCAGGCAATCAATAGCTGTGGTGTTTCATTCTTATTCTTGGAGAAAGGAAATGCAGATGGAAAAGGATCTGGAACTGGGGAATGGACTAGCCTCATGGGGTATGACAGGAAGACACTCTTGAAAAATTTGCCTAGGAAACTAGAACCCCTGTTCCAGCAACTGTGGTAGAATTGTGGAAGGTTCATTATTATCAATCAATGTATTTCAGATATTACCAACATTGATATCTTCTTTCTGGTTTTTTTGGCAAATGAGACACTTAAGTTCTTTGCTTTGTTGTTAATTTTTGGAATTTAACGTTTTTCACTTCTTTCTATTCCTGTAGGGCTTTGCCGACATGGACTTCAATTTCATTCTTCTTTTCAACCATCTAGTGTTGATGAGAACCGTAAAAAGGTAGTTGGAAGAAATAGAGTCTAATCACTTCCCCAAAACTATATTGTTCCTTAGACAAAACATTGTGCCATTTAAATTTTTATATGTATATTTTTCATCTTTTTAGATAAAAAGCTGGATTGATACATTCTCCACTTTAGGGGAAAAACGGATCGGTTATACAAAAGAACATGTGACATGCTACATGCATGCAGCAGCATGCCATATTCCCAATATGGTAAAAAGACATGGCAACTTCAAGTAGTTTAGTGGTCAAGGTAAACTTTTAGAAATTTTCGGGAAAAAAAAGATAAAAGCAACAAGAATTTCTGAAGACAAGTAAAACCTGCTTCGCAAAACAAATCACACTGATGACGCTGCAGACATATTGCGAGCAGAACATCGCATTCGTCCTCTAGAACACAGGGAAAGACAACTCAGAAGTTATAATTATCAAATCATACCGAAAAACACGCAAACGTGTTAGCTATGACAAGCCCCAAGAAATGACATCCACAGAGGAGGAGCCAGTAGCAGTTGAGCCCCCACCCAAACAAACTAAAAGGGCAAAACGGAAACAGTCTACTAACAGCAGTAAATCTATCTATCCGCTTCGGTCCCTTGGTTAAAGCATACTTCTTGGTACATGTCAGGTCACTACATTTGTCTACAATACCGTTTGTGTTGACTTTGACGAAATAGAGAACTTGTTTGGGATATCGTTCGCGGAAAATTTGTAAGACTTTCAATACAAACGCGCAAAAATTTAAGTTTTACTCTAGTACAGTAGAATATTTTACACTGGCAGACCTCTTAGGAAACCAATAAAGTTCAAGAGGTCAAGTTCAGGGATTGTCATTGGTGCATTTCGATCCATTTTGCTTCTGACTATTTTGATGCTTAATAAGCAGATATTTTAAAGCTGTTGGTTGTTTTTGGCAGAGCAAAAATACGATTTCGTTCATTTACACAATTCCAAATTGCACAGAAGAACAACGGTACATAATCTTACTATGATCGACAATACTTTGAAACTTTAGCGTCCATTGACAGCTGTCCATTTTAGTAGAAAAATTCCACTTTTGTAGCAGAATTTAATTCAAGTCTGGAAATTTCTGGGGGGACTCGGGCCCTCCTGCCCCCCCCTCTGCTACGGGCCTGGGAAGTAAACCAATTAGGTCAAATGTTACAATTAAAACAACATCTTTTTCGCACGTTTTTTTCCCAAGAATGTCGCCATCTACCCTGCATTATGACGTTATCTATCACCCACTCCCCATCAATTCTCAATATTTGAAGACGTGGGAGGTTGACAGCGCTGCCAATGGAAAGCACTCTTAGAGTCATCTCGAAGATCCACTTTAATAAATTTGCGAATTAAGTTTTTGATCTAACATTGTAGCAAGGATAAGTGTCCTTTTCAAAATGAAAATAAAGTAGTTTCCAAAAAAGATATGACTTCTGAAAAAGGGCAGAATATTGGTATCAATCAGTCAGTCATATCATAGCTCTCATCGACCGTAGCCCCTTCGGACACCTCGTGAAATATACACAACGTAGTTTTACCCTTTACTTATCAGGGTGAAGCACTGCCTTTACTGATTAGGGTTAAGCACTGTTTCAAAACTGGTTTGGTTCTTTTTTGGGTTGGGGTTGATGCTATATGTACTTAAATTATTTCACCTCCATTCAGCAAATCCCCAGTGGTCTAGTGGTTAGCGTAGTATACTAGACTACCTGGGTGGTGGGTTCGAATCCTACTGTCTTTCGTATCAATTTCTTTTTCTTTCAAATTGAAAAGACTTGCACTTTCATTACCATTTCCGGCTTGAAATATTATCTAAGTATGATATAAAATCAGAAAACAGTTCTACCTTGTCTAAATTTCGTGAGGGGAGAAAAAGGATACGGTCGATTGGATCTAATGCTGACGTATCCGGCAATCGAGGGAAATGTTTTTCTGAGACTCGAGTTGATTCGTATGGAGAGTAACAGGGGTCTTTTTTGCATGAGCATGCGCGACCGCTGAACAAGCGATGTGCATGGAGGCTCACCACAGGGTTTGCCTTCATCAAAATGGCGCGTCTCAAAGCTATCATAGCGATTATTTTGCTCGTTGGTCTTGGCGAATGTGTTCGTGATTTAACAAAATGTGTAGTTTGCAAAACAAAAAGCTCTATAACATGGTCTTAACAAAAGCGAAGTAGACCGGCTTTAACATACACGAGCTACTATCAAATTTCATCTCCTCACTTGACCTGGACAACAGCGCGCGTATATGTAGTGCCTGGAGGATTGCGCTGACCTCATCAAAGTCGAAACAAAGTGCAGATACGTTTGTTGATGCAAGTAAACACTTTTAATTTTCTTTGTTTTGAAATGGGAAAGGAAGAGAAATATTTTAAAAAAACATAGCAAATTTCAGCGAGTGGGTTCGAAGTGCGCGAAAGCCGATGTTCAGTTCAGCAGTGAATTAATATATGTTCTACAATTTTCCCAGCACTTTAAAGCTACAAAACAAAGAGCACACTAGACGGAGATTAGTCATCTGGTGATATGTTGGTGGTAGTCACTCTGTATGTCTCGAACAATAAAAAAAATGAATATCAATGAGCCACAGTCAAAACTGCATTCAATAGGACCTCAATTTAAGTCCAATCTTGTGACCGATTTTGATGAACCAAACGGTTAGGTTTCCCAAGAAGTACAGTAAACATGTGATGCCGACCAAAAGTTAAAAATCATTAGAACATTCAAGTTCTGGCTAAAAGCAAATTCCTGTAAAAGATGCGTTACAATGTTAGTCCACGCAAAAACAAGAAGTTCTACAATTTTCCGATAAACAAACTTTGTATCGCTAAAATACTTAAGGGAACAACTTTCTATTCCAAATGATAACGGCATGGTAGTCGCCCCCTGATCATTATTAAACCACTCCCGAAATATGGCTAAATCAGCTATCAACAAATTATTGACAGAAATCCTCTACGGCATCGAGAAACTAATTTACATCCGATTTATAGACAAACACTAAATAAAGAACATTTTGCTCAATAGCTACGCATCAGCAATGCATTCTATGCCAAACTTTGCGGTTCTTAAAGGGGAATCAAGACACGAGTCGAGCGCCAAACAACAACAAGCAGCCATGCTCGTGTCAGACATCCTTGAGAAACTTGCTCTTTCACCTCGTTCAGCGCATCAGTCACTTTAAATCAACAGATCTTTACTTATTTTGTACAACGAAGGTCTTTCCTAAGTTCCCGCTACCATTTCAATCTCAAGCAAGCTTTCAAAGTGAACAATTTGCTATGACTATGCAGCACGGTCGTTGTCACTGGTCGCGTGCTGTTTGACAAGTCAGCGGTCGAGCATGCTCATGTAAAAAAGACCCCTGTTATGGAGAGTAACCTCTCCTTAAAACTAAGCATTCAGGAAAACCCTGTCATCAAAAATATAAAAACGTTGAAATGCAATCATCCTTTCTTCTCCTTCTCTTTTGAAAGTAGGTTATATGCCCATAGCCGGTTATTTTCCATAAAATAACTGGGGTTTCGATCTCGCATGCAGCAATAAAAGCTTGAGCTTGCAAAGCTTTGAGCTATTAACAAGACTTTTAAAAGTTTATACGAACGAAAGAATTCAACTTAACGTGGCGTTTTCCCTTCGAGCAATGAGTGTCTCCACTTCTCACAACCGTCCTATTTCTTTCCGCTTCCTTTTTTGCATTTGCGGAAGTACATCAATGCTTGATACGTTATTTACCTTTCAGCATCCAGCCTTCCAGGGGGCATTTTGAAAGTGCCATAAGACCCCACTGTAAATTGTGCTGCCAAATGAATTTGACCATGAACGCTACTATATTAGAGCTTTCAGTTCGTGCATGTAACAGTGACTTTGTCCCAAAGGTATTGCACAGAAACAACCCAACATAGCCATTTTTCAAAATTTCAGTATTTTCGCCTGCCTTCTTGCATAACTTCCAGACCTGTACCACTGTTTACTTTAGACACCCAATTATCAAAATCAGTTGAGAAAAATTTGGCCTATTATGGTTTATTGAATTTTTGGAACAAACACTTCATGCCCCTCTAAGGCGATGCAAAATGAATTTTGAGCATAATTCAGGCCATAAACAAACCAAATTATATACAACATTAATTCATTCTATACTGCACAATTTATGTTTTCATATTATCATCAATTACTGCCACCGCTTTTTTCGAACCTTTTTGTTACTAGTAGCAATATTCATAATTATAATACTAGAAGTTCCTCGCATTTCCGTTCTCATGCCTGCCGAACTAACACCAAACAATTTTCTATTTTGTTCCAAGGCCCTAAAATTTGGAATTCTTTACCAAACTCAGTCACTTCGATTTTTACATTGCAATCGTTTAAAACGAAAGTTTTTGATTTTCTACTATATCGATAATGCGTCTTGTACTGTCCGTTGTTGTGTGTTGTTATAGTTCTATTGCTTAATATTATTGTAACGAGGGGGCCTCCTCGTACAAGCCTTGTGGTTTTCTGAGGTCCCCTCGCCACATCTTTGTATAATGTAATGCTTGTGTAATCTTTGTTGTG